ATTAAAACACAGAATTTAACCGTGTCCCCCCTCAGCATATGAGAGATGACCCATGGCGGCCCTTTGGAAGGGAGCGACTCAGAAGGCTGGGGCTGACATATGTTACTCAGCTTGATCAGCCGAGTCCGTAGACACCCAATTTGTGGACTTTTGACAAAATTTTTCGTGGCAGCAAGCGGGCCTCGGAGACGTTTAACGAGGCATCCCTTCCGAAGGGAGCGACTTAGAAGCCTGGGGCTGACATATGTTACTCAGCGTGACGAGCCGAGTCCGTAGACACCAAATTTGTGGACTTTCGAGAAAATTTTTGGGAAATTATTAAAACACAGAATTTAACCGTGTCCCCCGGCAGCATATGAGAGACCGCCCATGGCGGCCCTTCGGAAGGGAGCGACTCAGAAGGCTGGGGCTGACATATGTTACTCAGCGTGACGAGACGAGTCCGTAGACACCAAACTTGTGGACTTTGGACAAACTTTTCCGTTGCGACATTCACACTAGTCTTGTGTCTTGAGGTGTGGCACCTCAGCATATGAGAGATGACCCATGGCGGCCCGCCGGCGCCCCCCCCCCCCCGGCATTACCATCAGTTTGTGTGTGTACTTTCACAGGTACTTTGGTGGACCCACCCACAAGAGGTTAAGTACCTGGGTCCTACTCCACCTTCTCGGTCAGACTAGTGCGGACTAGAGAGACCAATACATAAAAACTGATGAAGCCGCTTGGATAAGAGGCGAAACGTCTTCCAGAGACAAATACAAGTCCAGTTGCCTTCGATTTAATTTGAGAGAGAGATATAAAATAAATGGAGTATCTGTGGTACTTCAAATAAACACATGTGAAGACTTTTTATTACTTTTTTTTGCAAATCAACAGGTGGTGCCAAAGCCAAACGAAGGGCAGCTACAACAAATTATCATTGTAATCTCCACAATAATACTGGTTGTCACCCTTCCCCATATCGTTTCCTGTTACAGACTAACCTCGGCCCCCCATCTCAGAAAGGAAAGTTGATGTGGCCCCCACTGAAAAAAGTTTGGGGACCGCTGCACTACATCTCACTGAATGAAGACGTGCAATTCAATTCAGCGCACCAAAGCGTCAGTTCTTTTCAGTAACCAACTTGTACAATAAAAAATTGAACAAGGAAGTCGAGAGCCGGGAACAGAAACAGCTCGACTTCAAAGTAAAGGTTGCGTGTTTTAAATTCAATTTAAGAAGAGTTAAAATAATTCCAGCGTTTGTTGGAAATTTATTCCCAATCAGTTGTGGGCTAGCAGAAGAAAAAAACCTGTAACAGTTACGAATTATGTTAATTATTTAGACAGTTTATTTATTTAGCTTAGCTTACATAGCACAGTGGTCTTTCCTCAAGAAGAACCTGACCTGCTGATGGAAAAGCAGCAGCGACTCGGTGGATGAGCGGAACTGTAATCTGACGACAGAAAGCACCAAGTAATCACTTAAATTATGAAAGTATGTGGACATTTACAGCAGAATATTTACAGTTACACTCACTAACGTAAGAGAAATACACATCTTATGACGGCATTTCAAGGTTCAGTGTTTTACAGTATGAAAGAAGGTAAAACGGAGATGTTTAGGCACTGAGGGTATTTAAGTGACAAAGTACAAAATGTTTAATCTATGAAATGGAGGGACAAAGTCACAATAGGACATGTATCATGTATATTTCCAAATTCAGTTGCATATAAAAATTAAAACAATGGAAGAAAACAATCCTCACAGCAGCTCAGACGGGATTTATCCGGACAAGCAGTGGTTTTCACGTCAGGCTGGGAAGTTGGGAAATTTATTTAGACAGCTGACAAACACGGAGACTGACAGACAGGTGGGCGGACCTGCAGGGAGGAGGAGGTAAACCTGGACAGGTATAATGCAGCATATTTTATATTTCCTCTCTGTCCCTTCTTCCATCTGACAACATCTCCCACCAGCTTCACGCAAACATTCACGTGGGATTCCAGTCGTTTGGGAAATGAAGTGGTTAAACTCTGCTACAATTACAGTCACAGTATCAAACACACACACACACACACACAAACACATTATATACACACACACAGTGGGATCCATGAGTCTGAGACCAATACCGCTCTCATATCTGTCAGCAGCCAGGAGACTGTTAGCTTAGCTTAGCACAAAGACTGTAAACCAAGGGAAACAGCTAGCGCAATCTGCCTACAAGCACCTCTAAAGCTCACCATCACATTGTTTGTTTAATCCGTACAAAAACTTTAGTGTAACTAGAAATACAGTCACAATCGCTCCTTCCTGAGTTACAGCATTGAAGACTGGCCACAAGTGTTTTTACAGAACATTATGACATCACCGTGACCGTTGACCATTTGGATATAAAACGCCATCACTTCATTTTCATCCTAATAGTCCATTGAGTTAAACTGTGTTATAATCAGTGTCTGAACTTGTGAGTATAAACGTGTTTTGTGAGGTCACAGTGGCGTTCCCGATACACATCACATTCAAAAGAACATGAGGTCACCGTGACCTTGAACTTTGACAAAATTGAATCACTTCATCTTTGAGTCCGAGTGAATGTTTGTGCCAAATCTAAACAAATTTCCTCAAGGTGGTCTTGAGATACCACATTCAAGAGGCCAAAACTGTGTGTCGTGAGGTCACTTCGACCTTGACCTTTGACCACCAAAATCTAATCAGTTCATCCTTGAGTCCTAGTGAATGTTTGTGCCAAATTTGAAAAACTTCTGTCCATGTGTTACTGAGATATCACGTCCACGAGAACGGGACGGACAACCTGAAAACAATATGCCTCCGGCTCCGACTGTCGCTGACGCAGAGGAATAAAAAATGACAGTTTGATGTTTAATGGAGGATTATAAAGAAAATAATCCGGCATATTAAACCCAGTCAAATGGCTAACTGTCATTTCTACACCAGAACAATGTATAACCTGTTAACTGTGAGCTGTAGAGGTGCGTGCAGCAGCTCTGCGGTCTTTGCTGAGAGAGTTAAGACTGATACTGATTTTCTCATCAACCCTCAGGTGAATTTCCCAAAAAGCATAAAACATTCAACCCTTCTGCTTCTACTTGTGGGCTTTAACAAACACATACAAACAGAACTGCTGATAAATGTTTTACTTCCTGGTCTGGTTTCGTTTCCATGTTTCCAGTTAAAATGTTATTTTCTCCGTCAGCATCAGTTCTTAGTTCTGTCTTTGTGGGGGTGGAGGCGCCTCAGAGGTTTAGCTGTAGCCGTCGTTCCACTCCATGACTTTGTCGTATTCCTGGATCTTCTGTTTGATGTGAGACAGTTTGCTCTTCAGGTACTCGCAGCGCTCCTTCTTCTCCAGGAACGTCGGGTCCTGGGAAGAAGAAGAAAAACTCAGGGTTTATTTTCAGACAAAACGGAGACTTTAATGATCATTTACTGTCATTTCAGCTGCTGGAGCAGTTTCTTATATGACGGCTATTACACATTGGGTGATAATGAATGTATTGATCCTATTGACATATGATTTGCATGCATCTGAAACCTGATAGACTCTGTCATAGCGCTCCATTGTTCTCCACTGAAAGGAGTCGCCAGTAAAAACTCTTTTCAGCGATTTATCTTCCCGTGAAAACAGCACTTTCCCTTCGCACTGCATTTTTAAAAATGCTGCACTTCCGTATTCGTACACCGCAGTAGTTCAGCGGTTGAAAAAAAAATGTAGTGCCAAAGGAAAATATTCTACATGAAGCTTCACGGGTATCGGATTGTTTCGTTGGGCGTTTTTTTAAAAAGTGTCTACAACATGTTTTTTCTGGTGGCCCTGCCCACAGCAACACAGCGCTCTGCCACTCTGCCGCTGCCCCCGGGTCAGGTCTCCTGACGGGGAACGCCCTGCTACCTCACACAACCCCGCGTCAAAAAACCCAAACTATCCCTTTAAGGTTCTGTGGGGAACAGATGTCCATGTTTGAAGAGATAATACAGAACCTGGAACATGAGCGGTAAGAAAAACAAAACACTCTACAGAGAGTATGTGGAAAATATGGAGATGACAATCAGCTCACATTTTTCTTCCTCTGGTAGTCCTGAAGGATTCTGCTGATGCGTTCAACCTCCTAGAGAAAGAGAGAGAGAGGGACAACGTGTTGAACTTACGTCACACGACCTTTAAACAAGCTTGAAAATCAGCTGCTGTAAAGCGTCGCCGCTCCGGACTCAGAGCACAGAAGGAATTTGAGGGTGGAGGGGAAGTAGAGCGGCGATCAGGAAGTGCAAACAGAGGAAGTTAGAAGGATGAGGAAATGAGGCACAACAAAAAAAGGCTGGGCGCAGAATCTCAGACACGCAGTCACAATGCTTCCTCAGCGCTCACATGAACCCAAACACGTGGGTTGGTTCAAAACAACAACAGGAGGAAACATCTGATTATCACTCAAGTCATTGGGACGCATCGTGTGGGAAAGATGAATCTCTGCAGAAACTTTCATGGAAACCGCTGGAAGACTATTTTGATGGTTGCTTATTGGATTCAGCCCCAACACGCTCTGTGAAACATGTATTTATCAGGCGGCTGGTGCAGGCCGTGTTTTGTTTTTACTTGAATCAGGTTCAAGCAGCTGAAAGCAGCATGTGCTGATTTGAAGTGGAGTGGAAATAAAAGTGTTTTCCTCAGAAGAGAATATATATCACAGAAACAACCTAAATATCACAGCACTAAAGAACACACTGGTGCCCGGAAAACTGATCCTTGGGATCAAAGAGAAAAGATGAAGAACAGATAGAAACCAACACTGAGGTTCTACGTGTGTGTGTGTGTGTGTGTGAACAATCACCATCTGGCTGGTCGGGTGCTGAGGCAGACTGCGCATCATGGCGTCCATCTCATCAAACTTCTTGAGGGTCACCTGCACCTCCGAGTGGATCTCTTTGTACTCTGCGTACTGGTCGTTAAACACGGCCCGGTACTGGTCCCGCTCCTCGTCGGTCCGAATGGTCGGGTACTTCCTGCATTGGGGGGGGTCAAAATCAATTTTGCACATTTTGGATTCACTCCAGACGACATGTGAACAAAGGCAGCTGAGATGTACGTGCACTTAACGGTTCATTCCCGTGTTACTGTTTAACGACAACAGGTTAGCAACCAAACAAACACTTAAAACCCGTGACAAGAAATCCACTTCCTAAATATAATTTGTCTGTCTGATGTACAACATCACTCATGGCTCCTCTGCTTAGATTCAAGAGCAGCTTCACGCCAGAGAAAAAGTGCGGTAACTCAGGCAACAATTAATCAACTGATCAATTAGTCGATCAACAGTCAATCATTTAGAGTAATTTGAAATGATCTGGCTCCAGCTCCTCAGGTGTGTATTTGTTCTGGTTTCTTCTGACAGTTATAACCTGCTGGTTTTTCATCATTTTCTGACATTTTATAGACAAACAGCTGATCAATCAAACAAGACAATAATCGGTGGATTTATCAATAATGAAAATAATCATTATTAGCAGTCCTAGTTTCCTTCACAATTTAAACTTCTTTAAAGAAACGGTTCGTTAGCACTCGGCTCTGCCCTCAGTGTCTGTGTAATTTGAAACCTGCTGTTACCTGTTGTCACCTTGTTCTCACCTGTCTGTCTTTATCTACCTGCGTCTTTTATTGTGCCTTTGGGTTTTATTGTATCAGAGTGATTGTGTCTTGTACAAACAGTATGTGAAGCTCTGAACAGGAAATAAAAACCAGCTCCTCCCAGTTTGTAACTCTAGATTTCAACAAAATGTAATCTGCTAAAGAAAATAATCACTGGTTGAAGTTGTTGTCGTTTTTCTTCGCACAACTTACGCAATATAGTCGGGCACAACAACAGGTTTAGGAATGTGTCCTGACGGTATGGCTCCCTGCAGGATCTTTGCTGGAACTGCTTTAGGAGCAGGAGCTTTGACCAGAACGACGGAGGAGCCCTCCACCTGGTCCGCGGTTTTGGGAGCGTGAGCTACAAAATCCTGTGGACACACGACAACAGAGAAACACAAACCGGGTCAAAGTAAATGTGGAGATTGAGCTTCTGAACAGAGGAAGGAGCTGCAGCCTTCATGCTTTCACCAGTGTGGACGTGTCGGTCTGCATTAGGTTGTTTTCTCTGCAGGATTCTTACCAGTGAATGTGCAGCTCGCATCCCAGACGGCTGCATCTGTGCACAAAGAACAAAGAAAAACATTATCCCATTGATAACTAATAATTAGATGCAGCTTCACCCAGAAGACCCAGAAGTTAAGGTGCTAAGCTTAGCATCTTAGCATAAAGACTAAGATATGCTAAGACAAGCTAACCCTCTAGCGCTAGTCTTAGTGATACACACTAAACCCCCCCGGTGTTCAGTTTGGTCTCTTAAAGGAACAGTTCACCATTTTCTTTAGGTCACAAAATTATTCAGGTGAACACTTGGGCCACATATCGTTCTTCTTCTGGCTCAATGTACGTCCAGGTTCCTCGGCCCAAGTCCGGCCCACATACAGCATGACTGTCGGGTGCTACTTCCACATCTGGATCAACGCTGGCACACACACAGAAAATCTCCCTGGCTGTCATCACAGGAGGAATCGGTCCAGATGTGGAAGTATATGGGCCAGACTCAGGGCCGAGGATCCAGGCAGATGTTAGGCCAGAAGCTTCGTCTTGCTACGTGGAGACTTGGGTAAGAAAAATCAATGTCATTTGCCGGTTAGCGTCACACAAAGACTGGAAACAGGAGGAAACAACGAGCGAGGCGAACCGTTCCCTCCTGTTTCCAGTCTTTGTGTGAAGCTGAGCTGAAGCTGTTCTCAGCAAGAAACCACATACACATATTTCTCATATTAATGAACTATTCCTTTAAGAGGTCAAAACACAATCTAACAGGTTCATAGTTAAAACTAACCTGTGTGTACACCTCATTTCCCTGCAGCACACACACACACACACACACACGGATTCACAGACTTCTCCTACTCACTACACCACAGCTGTGAGCCTTTGTGCAAATGATGTGGTTTCTGTTGCATTGCAGCCTCTGTGTGTGTGTGTGTGTGTGTGTGTGTGTGTGTGTGTGAGTGTGCGTGCGTGCGTGCGTGCGTGCGTGTAAAGCTTTAGAAGAATTCCTGAGTGAATCCGAGGAATCCTGAGACCCATCCCCACATCTTACCTCCTGGCCGTACCTCTCCCGGTATCTGCGTGCGGCTTCGTGCCTCCACAGCTTCAGACACACGAGCGCTCCGATCAGATAAACGACCATGGTGACAAACAGAAAGATAATGGCGGCAGTCTGGCCCGCCTCTGTCCTGCAGAACACCCCGTTGATGCCGTTGTTGAAGACCGGGTAGGAGCAGAGCCCTCCGCGGGTCGTGTCACGGACATAGACGATGCCTGGTGAACAAACACCAAACACGTCAGAATGGATCAGAAACATTTGTTGGTGCTGCTCAGAGAACTGAAACATTATTAAAACACAGCAGCTTCTCTTTCCAGCAGAGGTGGAAGAAATACTCAAGTATTTAAACTATCAAAAAGTTCTCATAAAGCAGAATGGCTTCAATCCCTCTTGTTCACACTGACCCTGAAGAGACACAATCCCAAATCAGTTTATATAACTGACGAGGGACGAATCTCAGTCCTCATCCTGTGAAGATAATGAGGCTTCAGAGTAGAATTGCATAGAATGTCTTTATTTATCATTGCACAGCTACGCCAGGAAATTTAGTGCATCTCTGTAGTGCCACAAACAATATAAAATAAAATAAAACAAACACAGAATAAACAGCATGTTGCAGATGTTCAAATTCCCTCTTTGTGTAAATGATTACTCCACACAACGACAAAAAGAAAACAATATTTTGATCATCTAAAGAGAGAAAACATTTGCTGGAGACTCTTTGGACTGTGGGTCGGTCAAAATAAGACATTTGGGGAAATCTAATTATAGTTAGAACGGCGCTTTGAAGAAACAAAAGTCAAATTCAGAGTAAATGATCCAGATTAGCCCCAAATTTTAACGGGTTCTTCTCTGACACGTCCTCCATCCCTCCACTAAGTTCAGTGCAAATCGGTTCATTACGTTTTGTGTGATCCAGACAGACAAACAGGGCTGAAGAAAAGGTTTGTGTGTCCAGCTGTTACTCACCTGCTGCCATGTAGAGCACCGCCAGAGCCAGGTTAATGGTGAACTCCGTCAGAGGCCACCAGGAGGAGTCCAGCAGGATGGTGCGGTAGTACATGGTCATCCCCAGCACTAAAACAATCACAGTCACCACCCAGGCCAGTCCTGCCACCACCAACACAAACGGGGTCTTGGGGCCCGTGTAGTAGCTCCCGCCATAGTTGCCACCGTATAAACCTCCGTATCCTCCTCCAGGAGCCGAGTATCCAAACATGTTGAACCACTCGTTGTCTTTGTGGATGTAGGCGCAGACGCAGGCGAACACGGCCGCCCCCAGCAGCAGCTCCACGCAGCCCAGAATCCTCAGCAGCCCCCCCCAGGACTTCATGTAGCCGTAGCGCTGATGGTACTCCTCCACCCGCTCGCTGTAGGTCAGGCCTGTGTGGTAGGTGTGGCCCGACACAGACTCGTGGGCATCGTGAACTTCCAGAAGCTCCTTCCTGGAGTTGTAGCTGCCCCCTGAGCCCCCATAGGGGTCCCGGTACGACCCAGGAACAGAGGGGGACTGGGGCGGCGAGCAGCGCACCCCCTCGGTGGTGCTGTTGTTGTTGTTGTACGAGGAGGAGGTCATGGACCACGGCTGGTTACTGCTGCGGTTGCTTCCTCTGAAGAAGTTCTTCCAGGAGTCGGGGATGAAGCGGTGGACCGGTTTGATGTCGATGGCCGGGTCGTGGTCCGGGTCGGTGTTGTCCTCGCTGCCGCTGGGATCGAACTCGGGCCCCACGGGAGGCTGGTCCGGCAGAGGCGGAGGCGGGAGGGGGTCGGCGCTCTGAGCGAGGTGAGGCGCCCTCTGCTCTCTCAGCGGCTGCAGATCGTAGGAGTCTTCTCGGGATAAGGAGCCTTGTGGTACCTGGTCATAGTGGGGCGCCTGGCGGACTCGCTCAGTGCGTCCGTTGAAGCCTCCTCCATAGGACATGAGGATAGTGATGGTCCCTGAGAGCGCGCACACGCACGCACACACACACACACACACACACACACACACAGTATTGTTAGCTACTTACTATATAAGGATTACAGTAGTTTAGATGATAATTGTTTAATCATTAAAGTCATTTTTAAAGAAGAAATGCAAAATATTTTCTGGTTTCAGCTTCTTAAAAATCAAGATCAAGCTTCTTTTTTATTTATTTTACAGTAAACTCAACGAATTTTTTTAAACAAACTTAATTTAATTTATTTCATTGTATCAATTTATTGTTTTTATCTATTATTTTATTATTAATTTGTTTGCTAATGTTACTATAGCTTTTTAAATGAATTTTATTGTATCTCATTGTCAGCTTTGTAATTTAATTTGTCCTCTTTTCTTTTCAGCTGTTTTAGTGAAGCTCTTTGTATATACAAATAAAGTTTGACTGATTGATCGGTTGATCGTTAAAGCTCCAGGAAACACCAAAGTTCTCAGAGTCTGCTGATTAATTCTCTGTCAGCTAAAATATTATTATCATCAATTCAAATCATTGACAGAGCTGAGTGGGCAAAGAGGAAATAGGAAAAAGGAAGAAGCCAAAACATAAAAAAAAAAAACACGTCCCAGACTGATGAGAAATTCAAATCAGGCATTCAGACCGACATTCATGCAAAGTCATCTTACTGCAGAAACCTGAGGTCACCAGAGAAAACACCCGTCACCCGGAGCTCATGAGTGAAGATGTTATCCCACCATCCTCCATGCAAGCCGAGTCAAGAACGCATTCTTGTGCTGCAATCAAATGAGGCGCAGGTCGAATTTCCCCTGTCGTCGTAATAACAGCTCACGTGTCGCATCCAGGGGAAGTTCGACTGACACAAAAATACGTTCTTAACATCCCATCGACCCCTCAGACCCCGTTTCTTTAAGGTGGATTTGATCTCGAGAGGTTAAAAAAATAATAATATGAGCAATGCTTGAATACCTCTTTCACACGCAGTCACTCAACACGACTTACATTGGCTTGCAGGTGAGAATGCAAACCTGGTATGAACGTACACTGTTCCAGGGAATCACCTGAAAAAGAAAAGAGAGAAAACAAAAAAGAAAAAGAAATGAAGGTTTGAGACTGAGAGATAAGATGAAGTGGATCCTCTAAACTGCAGCGGCCTGAAATCTTTATTTTCACAGTCATGATTTAAACTCTTGACTCGCCACTGTTGAGCCAACACGGACGAGAAGTCGTTAAAGTGCACGGAGAGAAAACGAAGATCTACAACTTCCAGACATCTGAGCATATTTCATCTGCTGATGAAGACCATGTGATATGATGGAGAGCTCCAGAACAGCTACAAAACAGCTCATGAGGTGAGAATGTCAGTTTGTCTGGATCTATTTTATTTTTCAAGCACAATGGCCACAGCACTGGAAGGTTTTAGGTTTTTAAATGTGAGAATGTTTAATCTACAAAACATAAAAAATTTTATAAAATAGAAACGTTAACTAATAATAAACAGAACTGAATTAACCAAATCAGTTGCTGATTTATTTTCGATCAATCAATTGACTAATCATTGCAGAACTAACTAGAACTTAAAACACTTTGTCAATTAATTGATTAGTCGACCAACAGAAAATCAACCAGTAACTATTTTGACAATTGTTTAATCACCAAAGTTTCACCATTTTCTGATGTTTTATTGGGCAAATAATTGATTGATTAATCATGAAAATAATAAGTAGATAGTTAAAAAAGGAACAAGCCAAACAATAAAACAAGTCCTACACTAATGAGGAATTCAAAAGACATTTAAGAATATTATTTTAGAAAAGCAGCAAATCCTCAGATCAAACTGAATCCCTTCATGGATTACCTGATTTTCTGGCAGTTGAATAATCATCTAATCTCTAATCGTTTGTTACTCATCAGCTGTTTGCACGGTGCCGCACAGCGCTGACGACTCCTGAGCCACAAGCTTGGAGGACAAAAAGTCACACGACGAGTCTGATCTTCTCCAACCACAAAAAGAAGAAGTCGTACGTGTGTGTGTGTGTGTGTGTGTGTGTGATTTCACTGCTTCAGGAAAAGTTCACACCAGGATAGCAGCTCACACTGAGGGGGACTTCAGACTCTTTATGTATGACATCATCACGCTGAGTCAGAAAAACAGACGCCTACTCGTGTTATCAGGAAACTGCTCTGTTATAATAATATCAGACTCTAGAAATATCTCAGCTCTGATACGATGACGTGACACCGCTTCTTCACAATATTCACAACAATATAGGACGAGAAAGACTCCTCCGTCCACGTGAGGCCTTCAGGTCACCTGGGAGAGAGTCTGTCTGCGGCCTGATCCGCCCTGACAAACGTCTACAGATGTGTCCAGACTTTAACCGTGTCCACGAGGGATCGGTCTGATCATGTGTCTGCTGGTCATAAACTTTCCTGTGCAGGACGGGCTGTAAACCAGTCTGTTACTGGGAGAGACCGGTGTGAGTGACACCTTCATGGTCCCATTACACTTCACTACCACACTGCAAAAAAAAATAAAATGATTTTTGAACCAAACAAACATGTTCCCATCCATCTGGGGAATATGATTTGTAGGTCGGGAGGTCTCTGTAGCACAATGCCTCATTTATACTGATATGAAAAATTGCAGCTCCTAAGATTCAAATATAGATTGATTATGAGATTAATTATTAATAGCCCTGGATTCTGGATTCAGCCTCACCTGTCACCAGTCTTTTATAAAGGTCATTAAGGAATGAAAACAGGCCTCAGTGTTGTGTGACCCAATTAAGTTTATGCATTTTGTTTAATTTATTGTTAGATGCAGCTGTAGCAGACTGTGCCAAATCTTAGTCTAATTTGCTGTAATTTTGAGTTGTGAAATTTAGAATATAAGAGAGGAGGCTCTGAGCCTCTCTTCTGATTGGCTGACTGTTTTCTGAGTGATCCAATAAAAATATAGCAGATTTCAGGTAAAATACTCAGAGAAACCAAATCCTGCAAGGTTTGGATGTTGGGTCTAGGTGGGCGGGGCTTGGTGACTGCTTTGTTGTGACATCACAAAGTTCCAGAAGTCCTGACGGCTGGTTTTAAGGCTCAGTTTCTGAATACAGGCTGTGTGCATTTCTCTGTGGACTGAGGCTTTGATACTTTCACAGTATTAATATAGAAGCTAGACCTGATCTATAATCAATCAACACATGGGCATCTACCTTTAGACTGTATGGATCCTTTAAATGTTGTTGTGCTGACTATGTGAAGAGTTTTTTAAAAAGTCAACACACCACTGAAATAATATTAAAGGTACAATACGTGAGTAAAACTAAGTTGAATTCCACCTCTGGGCCTAATAACAGACCTGTGGAGCTTCTGCCTCAGCGGGCACACAGCCAGAGGACTCGGTCAGACACAAACTCAACTAAACACTTTATTCTCATTCTATTTAAACTCATTATCTTTCTCCATGTTGTTCTGTGCAGGTGTTTTTTTTATTAAATTTACTTCCCAACATGTCGTCTGTTTTTACTGGTTAGGTCCGATCACAGCGACGGTTGAAGAGGTTCAACTCTCCTCGAGGAACCTCACGTAACGTCACGTTTACCGCCAACTTTTCGACACAAAAACTTCACGTTTAAAAAATAAAAAATAAAAAATAAAAATCCACGATTGCTAATCGATATTTTACCGAAAGCTCCGCTCGGCTCGTCAAACACTGGATGTAAATAAAGTCTGCGGGCTGGCTTACCTTGTTCGCTTCCTTCTCCTTCTCCCCGTCTCCCTCTCTCCCATTTCACTAACAGGTTTCCCCCTCGGACACGATCACGTGACCTGCCCATCCCTCTGACGTCACCCAGACAGAGGCGCAGTGTACCTGTTCGCAAAGGCTCAGAGCAACTGCTTCTCACCTGAGGAGGCTGCACACTGATACTCTGACTAATTCATCACCTGACACCTGAGATAGATAGATAGATAGATAGATAGATAGATAGATAGATAGATAGATAGATAGATAGATAGATAGATAGATCGATAGATAGAATGTACTTTTCTTTTCTTTTTTTACCCATTTTCATATGAAGATTTGGAATTTGAGTGATTTTTGTAAATGAAATTTTGCTAGTTTTACCTAGAATACTTCCTCCATTACCTATAAATCAATAATATATACATATATATATATAAAAACTATGAATGAAGTTATAAATATATAACATATAAATGAACTGTTTAGTGTTTTTGGTGAAGTAGGAGACATCCTGTGTCCAGCAGTTCAACTTTTGAAATGAACAATATTTGCACGATTGTAGATTTTAGATTTTTTAAATGAGTGGATGTTTTTTTTTTTTAAAGAGTTAAAGCAACTTTTTCTTGAAAAAAAAAAAACAACAACAAATTATTATTCAATGTAGAGTATTTTTTATGTTTCTAATGTCTGCACAGAATATTTAAGAATTTTCTCCAGGTCAGTCTGAGATAACCCAGATGATAACCCGGGTTATTCTTTCATGTTTCCTGCTAAAAAAAGTTTTTTAAAAAATGAAAGAAAACACAGAAGCAGCCTGAAACTGATGAAATGTTACACACATTTAATCTGGAAATGATGAGTTTTCACGTATGGTCAGAATAACAGATGTGATTTTCATCTGAACTGGCAAATGATGTCGCCACAAACTGAGCAAATACCAACAAAAACCACACACACACACACACACACACACACACATACACACGCACACACACACACACACACACAGCATATAGATTACACAGTGACCAACACCTCTGGTTCACAGGAAGCAGTGGACATAAAGGATGACTAACAGATTTAAAAATAACAGCAACTCAATCATAAAATCAACTGCATTAAAACTGGCTTTGTCAAGAGCCGATCGCAGCAGTGACCATTAAACATTGTTCGTCTGTATATTTCAATACTTTGTGTGTAACGACAGGAAGTCACAGCTGCAACGTAAAAACACGTGACACACAACGATCAGGATGGAATGAATCATAGAACAAATTTCATCTGTTGAACACGACACACAGATACAGCATCGATACACATGAATATATTGCATAAAGTTAGAGTTCTCTTTTGTCAAGTATTACTACAGTTGTGTTTCCACCGAGGGGAGGAGAAATGGCTTCTTTTTTTTTTTTTTTTTTTTTTTTTGGGTATAATCATCATCATCTGCAAGATCATCCAACAAAAACCCCCAAACCCCATGAGGTTTGATTTACCTCACACACTCGCAGAGGAATGTTTCCAAACAGGGTTATACACACACACACACACACTAACAAACACACAGTGAAGGGCATGTATACATGTACAACACCTGTATTCTGACACAGGACGAAAACACTGTACATCTCACTTTGTGTTTGAGACATGCAGGCTGTGGTGTGGAGCTGCTCTACCCTGTGTGCTGCATCAACCCTCCTTCCTTCTGGTCTTTTTTTCCACAACAGGAACTTAACGACCCGTAACTTCTCCGCTCTGCAGCTAAAAAACGTCAGCGCAGCTCAGGAGCTGATAGTAAATCCAAGGTCTAGATACCCGTGAGGGAAGGAATGCAAGTGCAATTATTGAAGGGGAGCTCCTACGGTGGCCCCGAGAGCTCAAAACACTGCAACTTAAGACAAACGCGCTGCGAGTTCAGAAAAACATCTTCATCAATCTGACAAACACATTCGCTGCAAATTCACACAACACAACGTTAGTGTTGAACAACATCAAGCGACAAGTCTCAGCCAGGTTCAGTCGCTTTTCAGTGTCCCCTGGAAACTCGTCCGTTGTGTTGTGTGAATGTGCAGCGCACGTGTTTGTCAGATGGATGAGGAAGTTTTCCGAACTCGCGTTCGTGTATTTGCATGTGTTTTCTTTAGTCGCGGCGCGTTGAGCTCTCGGGGGCCGCGGGAAGCTCAGAAACAGGCCGGCAGTAAAAAGCACAGGCGACTGCGCTGGTGGGAGCAGATTCAGAAAGTCCTGTTTGGAATAAAAGATTCATTTAAAGATTTAAAAAGTTGTATAAAGCCTGTGGTGTGTCCAGAGGGAGCTGCGAGAACCTGACTACAAATTTTGAAAGGTAAAAAAATCTGGAGGTGTGGAGTTAGAAAGAAGTGTTCTTACCAGACCTCTGCAGCCTGCTCCTGCTACTTAGCATAACTCTCCCTACTCCACTGTTGTCTGTCCCACAACTGCACTCGCCTGCCAAACACATGACACTACATTACAGCATTTCAATTTTTTCCCTGGTGTCTCTCCTCGGTTTGTGAAACACAGCAGAAACACAAGGCGGGAACCTGCGGCATTAAAAGCCTCACCGGCTCTTTTCCAGGCTCAAGTTACGGGTTGCTAAGTTCCTGGAGTTCCTGTTTAAGAGATGTGACCTAAAAGCTGAGACGAGGAGGTGTGACACGACTGACTTTGAAGATAAACATCAAAGTTTAAAGTTTTTAAAATCTTCTGATAAATATGCTCTTCACATGTAATTCTACAAGTTGCACATAAATCACAGACAAAACAGCCGTGATCTTGATGTGTGATTCTACAGTAAATACTACAGCATCATTACCTTTGATTCTCTACATACCTTTCTACATTTCTAAACACTACTATTGGATTAAATGCTGATTGATTCCTGCATTGATCTTTGATCTATTTGACAACACTGGTTTGTCTTCTACTAAATCAAAACTACTGGAATTTCATTTATCAGTTGATTAAACTGCACATTGTTTTAATCTCTGTTTAAAAGTGGCAATAGACGACTTTTTTTATTTGAATTTATCCTTATGAAGTAAACGTTGACCGCACAATGTGACGGCTACAGAATAATGACACCATCTGCTTTTAAGATCGGTTTCCTATAAGCCTAAATTTCATTATGTAATTCAGCTTTTGTAGAAAAAATGAAGAAGAAAAGATCGAGCAAAGTTCATCTGCCACTGCGCAACCAAAACAGGAAGAGGATAACAGTGCGTTTGTTTTCCCCCGTTAGCTACTGGAAGCTTTATCCAGGTAGCGGAAACGGTGGACGGTGAGAAAAAGAGCAAAGAAGACGAAGAGGGAGCTTGACACTGAACCTCGGACTGACTCGGACATGCTGGGACTGATATTGTCCTGTCCGCTGGTCCACCGGGCTTTGTCCCGCTGCCTGTAGCCAGTCCGACTATAAAGAGAAAGCTCCAGGATTTAAGAGGTTGATCAGGAAAATAACAAAACCTGCCAATTTATTAGTAGAATAATTTTACTGCCTTTATCACAGCACTGAGATCTGGGATTATTCCTTTTTCGAGAGATTTTTTTTTAGAGATACCGGCGGCCATGTTGCTAATGCTACCGCTAGCAACCAGAAACAATCTATTAATTGTGCATTTTGATAATCTAAACAAACAACACACTTCCTGGTTGTGCGCAGTGGTGAAACGAACGATATTCTGCTTCGCGACAGCAGCGTCAACATTAACGCTACATGGGGAAAAGTTGTCTATTGCCACTTGATCATAGGCAGGTGACATTAATGAAATACTATAAAGTGCATAAAAGTGGAGGACAGCATAGTAACAAAATGATAACAATGATTTTAACAGCTGCTTTGACAAACACTATAAATATGGCTCCTGTTATGGCCGTCTTCCTCTAGTGTGACAGTTTAGTTCATGTTTGCTGAATAACAAATAACAGCATCAAGAAGAAAATACTTAAAGGGTGATTCAAATACCTCTTTTGGTTAAAGTCATAACATTGTTCTTTACTCTCAAGTGAAACAAAGAACTACTTTAAAACTCAGATGTACATTATAAAATCTGACAACTTACAGTAAAATTGGAGAACACGGATCAAAGTGCCACATTATTGTCTGTCTCGCAGGGAGCAGATTGATAAACAGATCAGCCCGGGGCCCTCCGTAAAAGGTGCATCCACCACCGTATTAAAATCACCTAAAAAGGAGGTTTGCATTGCTTGTGTAGAGACGTGTGTGTCGGACGTGCAGCAGATCCTCAGTAAGGGATTTGGTTCTGGTAATACTGCAGCATGTCGTACGTTTTGCTCCTGTAGAAAACAAGTCGGTGAAAATCTGTGAGTTGGAACCTCATGTCTACGTACGTCACAACAGCGTTACAGCTCATAACCGTGTTAGTGTTTCTGCATGATGTTAGTGTCGCGTTACATGTTTCTCACCTGCTACTGAGGAAACAGCTTTGGATGATTTTGATGATGAACGCTGCTGCTTCTTTCTCACTCATTTGTGGATTAAACCGTCCTCTGATTAAAAAACAAAAAATAACACATTAATATTTAAAGTTGCAGTGATTTTCCGGCCACTCGGGGGCAGTGGTACAAGTTTGTTTTTTTTTTGTGGTGAACATTTTAGCAAACAGTCATTTACTTACACCCACAGCAGAGAACGAGACGGAGCAGGACTATTGTTTATTTTCAGTCATGTTTCTGGCCACTTAGAAAAATATCCGTCTCTTTAGCTGCTAAATGCTCCGCAGTGTTCACCAGCTAGTTGCTAACTTTTGTTAGCACCTGTTTGGTGCTGGGCAGGAAGTGCTCAGGGGTTTTATAGTGAAAAACATCTGCAGGTTGAAAATGGCTGTAAGTAAAGTTCAGGTCTGTAAAACCAAAACAATGGGCTGAAAGATGTTAAACTGCTCAGAGGTTTAGCTGTGTTGGTTACTGGCAGTTTTTTCATCCATTGTTGACAAAAAATATTGAAAAACACCTTAAAACTCCCACAAATAAAACCAGATTTGAGAGTAGAACTATGATATTAGTTGCCACATACGGAAGCAAACAGACTTTTCTGGTGCTTCTCAGATTTTGAGCACTTGTTCCTATTCACTGAATGGTTACGGTGCGTACCATATAACTTAAACACCCCAGTTCAATTCCCGCCAAGGCCCCTTGTTGAACGTCATACCCCTCCTCCATTTCTTTCTGTTTTTCCACCATCAGCTGTTCTATAAAAGTGAAAATGCCACGTTGCTGACACACAGATTTCCTCCTGCATGAACTTACTTGAGGAGTTTAATGGTTTGTCCTCTGAAGCATGGAAGTCCAGTGTCCAGCATGAGGGTCACTAGGGAAACCACTGCATCCATGTAGGGTCTGTTTGAGCAGGAAGAAGTGAACAGTCAAAACAAATGAGGGACGACAAGGTTAAACTACGCTATGAAACTGTTTCCTTTGACTTTAATCTTCAAAACCAAACGTCTTCAGACTCTTTACTCCGACAACAGAGCCGGTTCCGGTTTCTTACCGCACAGCCAGGTATCCTCTGACACACATCTCCATGAACCATTTGAAAGGAGTGGCCTCCATCTTTCCTCCCATGATCATCACCATCTCATCCGTCAGCTTGATGTCCGGCTCCCAGCCCAGGTTCCCGCCGGGAGAGCTCTCAAACATGAAGCCAAAGTCTGGAGGAAGCAAGAGGAGACATGTAAACACACACAATCACCACTGCTGGGTGTCAAACCTATGAGTATATAGCACGCTGTACCGATGTGGATGAGGTGTCCCTTGCTGTCCAGCATGATGTTGCCGTTGTGTCTGTCTTTGATCTGCAGCAGGAACAGCAGGAGGCTGTAGGCGGCCATGCTGCGGATGAAGTTATATCGAGCCTGCAGAAAGAAAGGAGACGACACGATCGACTGAAACTCTGCTGCTGTTTATAAGTGACTGGATATTTAACAGTAATAACAACATGTAAGAACATGCAGCAGCCAGGTTTTGTTTCATGCCAACACAGTTTTATAGATCTTTTGCTGAATCAGTTCTTCTCTCCTTGTCAAATGGAAAAGCTGCTGCTCTCTGGTTCTCTGTTTTGATTCCCATGAATCAAAAGTAAGACGCATAAAAACCTTTTCTTCTGTCACCTCTAATATAAACTGACAGAATTTCATGATTTATAATTCTTAATTAGTTTTTACATTGTTTTAACTTATGAACTTTTTATTACTCACTCCTATTTGTATTTATAAAATGTTTTTATGTGCTTTGTGTTTTATTCTGTGTTTCTGCTTCGACACTTTCCAGCAGATCCTCAAACAATCATAAATAAAAGGGCGACAGCCAGTGGATAAAAACTCTGCACCTTCTGGAAGGCGAGGGTGGACTCGTCGCCGTACTGGTTGCGGAAGTAATCGTACATCCCGAAGTCCGTCTGTCTGCCGAGCTGGTCTCGGGACTTACAGTCTGGGATGCACTCAATCACGCCGCACTGAGGAGAAGAAGAGCAGTTCATAAAAACCTGAGAACAACGTTTAGTTTTTACAGCCTCATTGTCAAAGTTTTACCAGTGTAATTGTTCAGATATGGGGACACAACAAACAAACCACATGAGCGATCAGACTCATGTTTAATCCATTTATTGAAAGAAATTTACACCCAAACTGTCCGTGTGAATGTCCTCTATTACTGAGGCATTTTGGGTAATTTTTACACCTTCGTTTTTACCTGCAAAAACAAGCGTCTTCAGCCAGACTGCCCCCTCCTACCCTGATGTAAGTGTCTCCATGTCCCTATATCTCAACGATAGAACTGGTAAATAAAAAGTAGAGGTGTGTTTTAATGAGTCTTACCCCGGGTGCAGTGGCCACCACTCTGTATGGGAAGACAAACAGATCCAGGCCGACCAGCTGGAAGATATTCTTAAAAAGCCCAATGATCTGCAGAGCGAGCATATCCTGGAGAGAGGAGGGAAACGCAGGAGTGTCAGATATTTAATTACCCCTCCTCACTGACACGTTCCAGTAAATGTGAGTCATGGGAAAGTTGGGGACACCTGTCTGCAGTCATCTCCCACTTTAAAGATGGCGGCCTGCCAGCAAACCCTGCGTGATCCGTCTGGATTCTCCTCTCCGTCCTCCAGAGAGTCTGAGGGGCAGCGGAGACCCTCCCTCTCCAGTTCGCTCACGCCGCAGCGTTTCACCTTGAACTTGGCCAGGTAGGGCGCCTTGGCGGCACTGTGACGACAGGACACACACTCCCGTGAGGTGGAGGACACGGTATGAAACAGAAAAGTAGCACACCGCCCCCTCGACATGAAGCACGAGCTCAAATCTGACGTTACCTCTGCATGGGCGTTCCAGATTTGTAGTCAATGTCCAGCACGATAGCTTCAGGGTTACTCGGCAGGTAACAGCCTACAGAAACACACCAGAGCGTTTTTAGTTTCATAGCAGCAAATATTCACGTGTTCAAACTTAAATATCTTCAGTGTTTTTACACACAGGAGAAAATCAGACAGAGGAAAAAAACAACCACTCTCCATATGGAACAACTTTTTAAATCTGTGAAGGGAAAATATCTTTTATATCTCGACACAGATCATTTGTTTAAATAATGTGAGTAACTGAAAGAAGAACTGAACTGATAAAAGGGGATTTTCTGGAAATAATAATAAAGAGTTTGGGCTCAGTAACAGGTTTTCTTGTAGCAGCCAGGCTCATTTTACATAACTATTAAAACTATAGACGTATTATCTGACAAACATCACGGATGAAACATGTTAGAGAGTTTAGGACGTGAATTAACAGAATCTAAAAGAACATGTTGTTTTCTTTATTATTCACATAATCTGCTTATGTTTTCTGCTTTTTCTTTGTCCCTTTTTCTTCTTTCCATTTTGAAAAAGACTCGACCTGCAGCTTCCCTGCAGCTCAGTTACAGGTTGCTTCTTTATAATCATTTATCCAGACCTGCGGTGGACCAGCGCGTTACCTGGCTGGACTTTGATATCTGACAGAGCTTTGAGACAGGCTCTTTTTCTCTCCTCTCCCTTTGGAACCGGCCTGAAAAACAGAAAAACACATCAGGGGTTTAAATCGCAGTCAAACATCTCATCTTCCTTTTAGAGAGACGCTAAGGACTCGTAAAGTGACTGTACTTGATGATGGCGGACACGTTGGTGATCTTGTTGAAGAAGTCGAACTCCCTCTGGTAGAAGTCTTTGGCCGGACCCGACAGAGAGCCTGTGATCTCCTCCACCATCTGCTCCAGCAGCTCCCCGATGTCCGCTAACGAGGAACCAACAAGTGTGATTACATCGACTTAATATGATTTAATTAGGCCTGATAAGAGTTTTCCCATCAGGCAGAATAATCTAATTACACACTAACAAGAAAATATATCAGAGAATAACAAGAAATACGCAGCTGTTAGCCAGATGAGTGATTAATGCACACGTGGAATGACTGAATGAATAATTAATGCATCAATCTGCAATCTTACATTTCAATAACAACAAATATAAATAATGACTGTTGAATGAGTACAAAATCTTTGGGGTGTAAAATATATAATGGCATTAATACTGAACTGTTTGATGCTTGTTATTTTGAATCAGGGAGTGTGTAATGATCTTTTACAGCGTGCTGACGCGAGACTTTTACTGTTTTCAGTGAAAAAGGACAAAACTTTTACTGTAATAAAGGAATTTCAAGGTTAAACTCGAGTCTTTACAGTTCTGTGGATGGTGTTAATAAGACGCAGACACGCCTCTATTGGACCACAGCTGCATCCTCACACCAGGAGCTCTGCCATCAGCCGGCCTTCGCTCTGACGTCCAGTCTCTACTCACGGTCTTTGTGGTGTCCCTCCTCGTCCATGAAAATGTTGGTCTTCATGTTCCAGATGAACTGGTGGGCGAGGAGCTGAGACTTCTGCGCCGCCCACAGGATGTACTCTCTCACGTAACCCATCTGAGCAGGACACAGAGACGATTGAACTATTATCACAAGAGTTCCTATTCCTACTGTAGATCTTACAGCTTATCACAAATTACAGCAAGCTATTTTCTTTCAGCCTGTGAAGGCAGAGCTCTTAATGTTTACCTTATCGTAACGGAGAGCCTGTACAATTTGAGGAATGTAGAACAAGATGGCATCCTAAGAGGAGAAAGAACTTGATAAATATTAAAAGTTTCTGCGTCACAAAAGGGAAACAAACAAACGAGCAGACGCCGAGACACAAACTTCCACCGGTGTGTGACTTACCGGAGGAAAGGAGCGCAGCACCTTCACCCCGTACTGAGCAGTGAGAGGATGAGGAGGGTACATGCTGCTGAAGTAGGACAGACCGGTGGGCGGGTCGGCCGGGGCCCAGCACAGGATGTGGCTCAGCTCAGGGGAGTCGGCGTCAATGGTGTGCCACGTCACCAGGAACTGGTGGAACAGTAAAATAAAACTCTTGTTTATTCACAGGTTTCCAACGTTTAACAGCCGAGCCTCACGAGAAGAAAGTGATTTTACCTTGACGGCCTCAGGCACATCGCTGACTGCTCCGGGGTCCAGCCTCACCAGCCTGGTCACCTCAGCGACGATGGCGTCATTCTTAAACCTGGAGAACAAACAAGTAAAGAATCAACAACATGAGACATTTTTTTTGTCATTAAACGCACCATATGGAGTTTTCTTATAACAAATAAGAGCTGTGTTTACATTCAGTTAAAGTGGCAACAGAAAGCCAAAGAAAAACCGTAACTCCAGAAGAAAGAAAATCACATTTACATTTGTAATTACGCAAAATAGTAAAACGTGTATAAAGAGGAAAGGAGCTGCAGTTTTTGAATGCTAACGAATGAATCATTGTTTAGCTTTAGATCACAAAGGTTTCAGCTTCTACTATCAAGTTCTGAAGATAGTCATTTATCTTCGAACATAAATCCATCCGTAAGTCCTCTCCCAGGAAGCAACCCAACAGCAGCTTCTGGTCACAGCAGCAAAAACCCCCCGAGTGTACTGAAGTGAAAGGTGTGTTTTATTGTTGTTGGATTCAGTTCTCATTGTGCGTCAGTGTTACTTCTTCTTTCCTCGTGTTATATAATGTCACAGAAACAGAGAGAGAGAGAGAGAGAGAGAGAGAGAGGGTGAAAACCTTGTGGGGAGCTGCATGGCCAGGTACGGTGCGATGCTCCAGGCCAGGTTGACGTTGTCCTTCCACTGTTTCTCGGTGAGACTGATGTATTTGGATCTCCAGTTGGCGATGCTGGTCTCCACTGACTGCTCTGTGGCGATGGCCAGCTCCTGGGTGGAGAGCGGGTTGTACCACGTGGTCAGCCGTTCGATCTCGCTGGCCTGGAAAGACACACAGAGAGAGAGGGAGAGAGAGAGAGGAGAACGGTGATGATCAGGCGTCGGGAGTCAGATTCAGAACCAGGCGACGACGTTCTCAGAAACTCACCAGTAAGGCCAGCAGCAGAGTCCTGCGCTTCATGTAGTATTTGTGAAGCTGCGTCCCTCTGTTGCTCTTCTTGGACGTGCCTACGTGGAGAAGAGGTAAAGAAAGTTAAAACCACTGCCGGAAACCCACGTCATTTATTTTGTTACTTAAACAAATTTTCTAATTTGTTCAATAGCTCCAGACAAATATCGCAGCTTTAACTGAACCTTTGAGTTGAGATCGTTTACAGTGACTTTAAAAGTATAACCAGCCGAGCCCAGCTGCAAACTGAGCGTCGTGTTGTTGTTATTTGTGAAGTTTCCAGGTTCAACTTTCCAAATTCAAATTAAGAATCGTCTGTATTGAGAAAAAGCTGGACCTGATTTCTTGGACGTGGTGGACATGCCACTGGACAGCGGGTAGGTGTTGATCCATCCCTGGCTGCTCTGCTGGGAGCGAGAGCTGGAGTCCATGTTGCTCCTGAGGTCAGCAGCGTTCATCACTGACAGACTGTTCAAGGACGGGTCCTGATTATCTGTTCACATACAAATACATTCAGTACACACAATCTCTCTCTCTCTCTCTCTCTCTCTCTCTCTCTCTCTCTCTCTCTCTCTCTCTCTCTCTCTCTCATATTTTATTCTCTATCACACATTTCAACTTGCACAACTTGTCTCAGTCGAAAATCTGCATTTTGTTTCACATGGTAAATTCGAACACAGGTCAAGTTTCTTTTATACGATCAATATCATGACTTGTCAACAGTGAAAAACATCAATAATGTGATCGATGATGAGGGAGTGTCTGGAGAGCGAGATGAGCTGTTTCAGTTAGTCCTCTGCTGCTGTGATGGTCATGCATTTGCAGGGAAATCCAGTGTGGGATTTACATGTAGGTAGAAGTTGCCTTGAACCACTGATACTGGGTCAGATATTATTTTCTCTTGTTAATGCGCAGGTGGGCGGAGGGAGTGGGGGGTGGGGGGGGGCAAGGAGTCGATTAATCTGATCCAGGATCTGCGGTTAGAGGACTCGTCTACCTGAAGCAGTTCGATGTGTATGAGAATGAGACCATGTCTTTTCTCTGGGACGTCGGGAATGAGGAGGAGAGGATTTTCTGGGGTGGAAGAAAAAACATTTTTCACTTTGTAGTTTCTTCTTTTGAAACCAAATTGATCAGTCGAGGAGAGGGGCAGACAGGTGGGCTGACATGATGAATAATCATGCATCTTAACGCTGGCTGACAAATTTGCGCTTTTCCTCACGGCTGCTAAACATTAAAAAGGTAAAAAAAACAGGTTGATTGTGGTAGAAAAAACAAGCAAAATGCTTGAAAGAGTAAAAGAAAGAGGAAGAGATAAGTGTGAAAGTGAGAGAAAAGAAAGTGAGTGACCGAGAGAAGAAGGCAGAAAAACATAAAGGGAATCTAGATCGATATGACAGGTAGACGCCAGGATCTATCAGCAGCGCGGCGAGGGTGAAAAGCGTCAAATTTGTCAGGCGTAAAAGCATGCCCCTGCTGCGGTGCAGTCCGAGCTCCACCGCTTTAGGCTTACTTAAGATAGATATCGGAGAAGTGCTGGACACGATAAGCGATCCGAATATCCCGGCAGAGAGCGTGCTCGGGGCTGGGGTAGTACCAAGCTCACCGGGTGGGACCAAGTGGCACGCTGCCAGGTACTTCTTGTCGGACAGGATGCTGGCGTAGAAACGGATGATGATGCTGATGTCCTCGCGGAGACGCTTGTCACCTTGGGTGGGAAACTTTGGAGAGACGCTGCAGAGACAGAAAATGGAGAGTTTAGATTGTTTTCAGTGTGTTTATATTATCTCTTTGTGTAGTTCAGATTTCTCTGTGAGACATTAAAGGTTTGAGCTGAAAAGATTCAGACTGTCGAAGTCTGTCTCCAAAATGTCGACTATTTATGATCTAAGAAGAACGATATTATTATTATTATTATTATATTAATCTTTCTGATAATCCAGTGGATTTTTAAATTGTTCATTTAGTCTCAGAAAAACCCAATTTTTCACTGGACAGCAACAAGATAATCCAATGAAGGAATTTGATTGGTGCAAATAAATTTACAGGTAATTCTGGTGAATATTTTAACACTTTATATGTGAGCGTTTCCTGCTCTGATTTCTACTGTTGTGAATTCATTCTCTTTAGGTTTGGATGTTGTTTGGACAATATAAGTGATATGAAGACGTCATCCTGAGACGGACATTCGTCTGTATTTTCAGACATTTTAGAGACTAAAATATTTGTGGCCTCGCTGTAAAAAATAGCACACGAATGAATGACATGCATGTCGCACTGTAATGAGTGTGTGTGTGTGTGTGTGTGTGTGTGTGCGTGAGCACCTGAAGTAATCAAAGGCTGTGGAGTAGATCTTCTCTCGGAGCACGTTCCTCACAGTTGCATTGGTGACGACGTCAGAGTGGAGCAGAGCCAGACCCAGAGTCAGCAGCCTGGAGACAGAGGAACACACTCATTAAACACACAGTCATTCAACCTTTTTTTTAAATTTTTTTTATTAGATTCACAAATTGTCATGACACCCAAAGAGTAAACTGACATCAACTCTGCGTACCTGAAACGAGGTCCGATAGCAGCTACGTGGCGGTTGAGGCTGCTATTAGCCCCTCCCACGTTGAGAGACAGCGAGCGCTGAAGTAAACTGCAAAAGATCTCCACTTGATCGGCGCTGGAGTACTTGGCTATCTCAAACCTCTGGACTAGAAACTGGAGGAGAGGAGGCAGATAAAAGAGGCGGTTAGTGACAGCGGAGAAGGCGGTAACAACCCCGGCGGCGTAACGTGCGTCTGACCTCGATCCATATGTGGTGAGGGGTAACATCTGGAGGGCAGGGGATGGGCTGACTTTCCTCCGATGCCGCCAGAGGATCGGCCTCCACCTGAGCGTCCGAGAACAACCCCATCTTCAGCTCCACGGTCATCTGCCACGCCCCCGCCATCTCCCGCATGAACTAGGAACAGCCAGAGAGGAGATTGACGGTACGTTTACAACACAAATGCAAGAAGAAGAATTTAACAGAAAAAAAAAGTAATATATGACTACGTACCGGTACTTCAACTCCAACACGTGCTGCCAGCAGCCACTCCCAGCATGCAATAGCTGTTTCCATGCCGTGCTCTGTGAACATCTTGAGAGGAGACCAGCAGAGGTGGTGCAGCAGCTGAGGATCACAGTCTAAGGACGATGGCAGCAGTCAGACGACAAGTTCGCAGCCTGAATTTGGTCTAAGATATGATCAGTTTTTATCAACAGTAAGAGCAAAAAGAGTCAAACCTTTGGTGCTGATGAGCAAAGCCGCCAGTTTGAACATGGCCTCGGTGAAGGCCTCGGGCTGCGCCGAGTCCAAAGCTTCTCCCATCTGCTTGATCATCAGCCGGCTCAGATCGGACTGTCCTCGAACGGCCTGGGCGAAGTGGATCATACCTGAAACCTGCAGACAAAAGACCCGAGACATGAGCAGGAGAAAATTCTATTTATTTTCTATCAAGCTTAGAGTTAATGTCCACAGCAGCTGTTCTTCAGCAGCCACACTTCTCATTTCGTTCACTGACAGTTTTCATTTCGCAAACACTTATTAAATATAAATATAAATACAGTATTTATGTTTACTTTGAGAAAACTATGTAACAAAGAAGAACTGATTTGAATTCTGCTGTATGAAAGAGAGGGCGAGGGTAACCACGGTAACCGCTATGATCAGGTGGTTTTTACCTCTCCGGCGTATCTGTTCCTGAGGTTGAGGGAGGCCATGAAGTTGGAGTAGTCCTTCTTCACACAGGCCGGTCTCTCAGTCAGCTGAGTGGACTAGAGGTGAACAGGAAGAAGTAAAATGAAGCGTAAGAGTAATGACAACAGATAGAAAATGGTATCTTCTCTATGTATTCTGGCTCTACATCACAACCTCTTCGGCAAATTACTCTAAAATTATAATTCACGTGACGTCCCATAATGCTCTGCTCATGAACCGTCTCAGATTTCTTTGGGCTCCAACATAAATCCATGAAACAAAAATAAAATCTCAGTCTATCGCTGCCGACAAATGAAAGCATCAACAGGTTTTAGTGGATGAAAACTCAGTCGGTGTCTCACCCCCAGAGTCGTGCTCTGTCTGTTGTAACCGGCGAAGTGCAGGATGCTCTCTGTGGCCATGGCGAGGCCCGTGTGCTGGGAGAGACCCGACACCCAGATCTGATGTTTGTTCAGATACTCCTGGAAAACATCGCATGACGTACGGCGAGTTAAAACCACATTAAAGCCGCCACCGTGTTTATTTATCATCTGAGCTCCACATGTGAAGGTTTGGTGCTAAATGTTACCTGCAGGTGGGATTTGGTGACGGACGGAGCCCACTTCATCGCCTCCTTCAGGATCTCCCCGCAGCGAGCGGCGAAATCCTTCACTATGCTCTACAATTAAAGACGGGATAAATCCTGTACATGTGAAACAAGCACTTTTCTCACATTTATTTTCACGCTCTGATATCTGGGGTCTGTGAGAAACAACATTACCTCTCTGGCTTCATATGTATCCGGGACTGTGATCCTGTACGGCGTGTCTGGGATGTCGTAGTAAGGTTGATCTTTATGAATGTCCTGCAATGCAACACAAACGTCACTAACAATGTCATGGTACACACATGTAAAGACAGGATGAAAGAAAGGTGTTACAGTACTGAATAATGCAGTTTCTCAAACTTTTTCCGACCCAAAGACGAACTAACTCCCCGACACATCCCCTAAACCAATAGGCCAAACTCCTTCAGTCGTGCTGTGGGTCACCTGGGCCGGAGGTTTTCTGTTTGAGGCGTTTTAATACCTTCATTGGACGGGAGTAGATCGAGAGTAGGAGAATGACTGCAGCAAAAAGTCCGACTGAGCGACCGAGAGTCGAACCTGTGATTCGCCGCTCAGGAAATTATGATGTAGTGTGCGCCCTAACCGCTCTGGTACTGGGATCGTCCCTGACCTGGCGCAGAGTTTCAATTATCGACGACCCCTGCACCTCTCACACTGCACAACAGCAGGTGGTGCTATTTGTGTAGCATCAAAATGATCACACACGGATAAACACTGGTCGGACGTCATCAAACGCACCGTTATGTCGAAGGTTTCATTTGATTTTCGACCCGGTCTTAAACCACTTGTCTGGGATTGTGTCCGTTGCCGTGTTTGATAGTTAACAGGCTGATAACTGGTGACGTTTAGCACAATCCCAGGGCAGGCTAACCGTTAGCTTCATCCACCTTTCCTTTCTATTGTCACGCTGATCATTGTTGAGGTAAATCACAAAAAGTAAACCGTAAACTGCCGTAGCTGCAAAACAGTCCAACAACACTGCAAATAAAGTTTGATTGAATATTGAAAACAACACATGTACAATAATCACTACTGGGCTTTGTGGTCACTTGAGAAACACTGAATTTAAAAACATGATATTTGAACTAATTTCCTGTTTGAGGAAAGCTGGGACAGTGTGAATGACGATGACTTACTGCGCTGAGCGAGAGGGACAGCGTCTGCAGGATGTCCAACATGGTCTTCAGCACACGGCCGCTCCACAACAAGTGGGGGAAACTGAGGAGTGAGAAAAACACTGACGTTGACTTCACTGGGTATGAATCTGCATTTTAAAGAGTTTATAAATGAGAGTTAATGAGCCCGCATCTCTATGCGCTCTCACGTTTCAGCCAGGCCGGACAAATATTTGTCAGCCACTCTGCGGATCCTCTTGTGGATGTGGTTGAAGTTGACCAGGAGGAACTGAGCGTGGCGTTCCAGCTCCTCCTCGTGGCCTTTGGTTTTTGGCTGAAAACATGACATTTAATTAGGATACGCCGGGTAATGAAACACAGGGTCAGACGTGTGCCGAGTTCTTCTCAAGTGGAAACATCTCTCTTACTTTTTCAGCCATCATCTGCAGGAAGACCTCGAAGACCTTGTCACTGACAGCGATCACACACTGCATCATGCCTGGAAGGAATTGATTCAACATTAATCCAACAGCATTTGTTTTGTTTTTTTCTTTTAGAAAAGTCTCACATCTTTATTGTTTTCTTCTGCTCACCAGATTTATCTTTCTGTATTGCTCTATCTTCAAAGTATCGAAACATGACCTGGAAGCGATCAGAGTCCAGAGAACGCAGCATCCTGACGGAAACACGACAGAATAAAGGTTAGAATCACCGAACACAGTCGAGCACATGAGGCGACGTGTGCGTCATCATGTCGGCTTACCTCATGTACTCCAGTCTGTAAACGGACAGCAGATACGTGGACATGGCGAAGTCCAGCTTGTTGATGAGAGCGGCCACCTCAGGAGGAGGATCCAGCAGGTTGATGATGGTGCTGCGCAGGTCATTCAGCTCCGCCTAAAGTTCAGCAATCAACCATAAACCAGTGTCAGAACATGTATCGTGTGTGCGTGTGTGCGTGTGTGTGTGTGTGTGTTCTCATACCGGGGTGACAGTGTCGTTCTTCAGTGCAGAGTTGTACTGCAGCTCTGAGCGTAAAGGTTCTCCACTGGGAAACGTGAGCAGCGGTGATTTGGTGGCAATCTCACAGACTCCTTCGTACCACTCCTCCGGCCACAGACCTGAGGACGTCAACAGCAACAGATCGTGATGTTTCAACCGAGTATGACGCGTTTGAATTTTCAGAAGCGGGGGGGGGGACAGAAAGGGACAGAATATCAGCGAGCAAGCTCTTTCTACCTGAACCCTCCACTGCAAATCCCATGACGACAGAGTAGAGCCAGAAGTCCCTGAAGAGCTTCTGCAGACGTGGCTTTGCTTCCTTAATTGGTGGCAACCTCCTTGTCAGCTAACAGCAGAAGAAGAAGAAGAGAGACAGAACAGATCTCAGTGGATAAAAACTTAACTAGCATTTGTACATCTTCATTTATATTTCTTATATTTGCCTTCACTGGCCCAAACAAAAAGACACGTTAACAGACTAAATCTTGTTACTAATGTAGGTAAAGCCAAACTGAAACTGTCGTGAACATCCAAACCAATTACCACTGCAATAACTGGAATTAGGACACCGAGGTTTCCAGCACTGCTCGAAGCCTGGAGAGACAAAGGAGAGAGAGGCAGAGCCGAGTTAGACCTCTACTGACACATTCAGGCCATCGGTCGCACCTCTCAGGTTGTATTTATCTTTTTCTACATGGAGAAAACACAAAAAATGACTTTAAACCTATAAAAAAAAAACATTCTTCAGTAAACCCTCAGCATAGGAAAGCGTGAGCTCTAAGAAGTCAGTGTACGATAATCTCTTATTAAGTGATTTGGCGATTGAATGGATCTTAACAAGAAAGCAGGAAGTTGATGAAGAGAAAGGTTGAAAATACAGAAAGCTACAGGATATTACATCTGGGATGTGCACTTGCATGTATTAGTTTGGTTGATGTTTCTCTGCACTGCGGCAAAAGTAAAACCAGGACAAACTTTTTACTGGACTACATTGTTGTGGTTCTTTCTGCAGCACCCACATGTCCTAACAGTGCAGCTGCATCGCTACTGTATTTGTAGTACTATGTGCATGTGTGTGTGTGTGTGTGTGTGTGTGTGTGTGTGTGTCATACCTTCAGAGCTGGACCTTTGTCTGAGGCTCTCTCACTGGCTCTCTTCCCCTCTAAGCCCAGCTGAACAAAAAGCTCCAGCAGGTTGACCAGCAGCTCGTCGACCATCTGCTCGGCCTGAACGTTCGCTGCTATGTTGCCCAGAGCGTTTATCACAGCCAAGGAGCAGTGTCTGTACGGAGAGGAGGGAACGTTCACTTACTCAATGCTCAGGACACAACTGGGAATGACGCTCGTCTGTGAGCAGGAACACGCTCTCACACTTTCTCCTGTAGTCAACAACTCTAGAAGAAGGCGGTGCTCACCTGTATCCATGGTCCTTGTAGTCTTTGGTAGAGTACACCATGGAGCTGGCCTTGACACTGATCTGCTGGAACAGATTCCACACCTCCTGGTAGATGTATTGCTGAGGTGAAAGAAAAAACAAAAACTAGAATCACCGCCTTGTGGTTGTTTCCGCCGACAATCAGCCGAGTTGCAGGAAATATGGTCAAAATCCTGAGTTATAGCGTTGAATAACAGCAGGAAGTGTTTTTGCAGAACATTATGATGTCACAGTGAAGTTGACCTCTGACCTTTTGGATATAACATGTCATCACTTCATTTCATCCTTACAGACATTTGAGCTAAATTGTGTCATAATCAGTGAATGAATTTGTGATTTATGGCCAAAAATGTGTTTTGTGAGGTCACAGTGACCTTGACCTTTGACCTTTGACCACCAAATGCTAATCAGTTCATCCTTGAGTCCAACTCAATGTTAGTGCCAAATCCTAAGAAGTTTCCTCAAGGCGTCACTGAGATATCGCCGTCACAAGAATGGGACGGAAAACAGAAAACATAAAGCCTCAAAAACAAGGGATTAAATGAACTGACACAGTTTTAATGAACAATAGAGAAGTTAAATAAAAACTCACATTGCCTGTGATGACCATGCAGCCCAGCTGGTCTATGATGAGGACGTCGAGCTGGGAGGGAGGCTGACAGAACTTCTGCTGCAGGATCTGGAGGATGGGTTCCATCACTCTGGGGGTGTCCCGCAAGGCCACAGAAATGTGACCCAAAGCTCTGATGGTGTGGTCAGGGATCAGGTGGGCATCCCTTTTGGGGGAGAGAGGGGAGAGTGTAAATACTCCCTCAAAAATGAAAACCTTTCATTCTCCTCAGAGTCGGTGTGACAGGAAGCTGGACTCACTTGTCATTTTCCTGATAGATGTAGAGACGGTTGGAGAGACTGGCGAGAAAAGCCTCCACGATGACATTATCCATAGTCAGTCCTGCTTTCAGGCACCTGAGGGCAGACGGAGAGGCTGGAGTTATGGCTGTGTTGATACTAGCGTGTGCGTATGCTGCACAGGTGTGTCGGCGGGTGCGTTCACCTGCAGATGTTGTCTATGGAGATGTCCCGCAGCTGCTCGTACATGGAGGGCTGGCTCTTCTTGCTAGAATTGGTGCTGAGTGTTGACTGGGAGTGTTCGTTCGTCACGTGGATCTTTATCTCACCACCACCTTGGAAAATGATTCATTTGTAAGAAAACGTTGAACTGGAATAAAATAAAATAAAAGACTGGAGCTGAGTGTTACTGTTACTGCTGTTACCTGGAGTGTACTGGCTGTGGTATTTGTACAGCTTCACCAAAACAGGAGAGGGCACCACCAAGAAGTCTCTCAGTGACATGGTGACGGAATGAGCCACCACAGGGAAGCGCTCACACAAACGACCCAGACCCTGGACACAAACACAGACTTTGTGAGTCCCTCGTGAAATGCAAGTGTCTTCGCCAGTTTCAGACCGACACAGTTGTCAATTTCCCGCCCAGCGCTCACATTGCTCAAATAGCAAATACACTTGCGCCCGTCTGCGCGCCCTTAGAATGAGGTGTGGACAGGCACATTGTTGGTGCATTGCTATCTTGGGGCAGTGGCGAGCGGCTGACCAGCAGAAACCTGGTCTGAGGTGAGTGTCGCAGGTTTTTCTCTGTTAGTTTAAGGAGCATTATCAAGAGAGTAATATGTGCCTACACAGACGGAGCCCAACGTGCCTCATATGTACGAGCAGAGTGTGTCACAGTGTTTCCCATTCATCACAAAGACTAAATGTGTCCACCACAGTTTCATAATGAACTGAAAATGTGATTACACTTATAATAAAACATAAAAGACGTCTAATGATTTGTGTTGTTGCAGTCTGCAGTGCATTGATTCACTCAGCTCTTCCTTTCCCCTCAGGTTGCACACAGCTGCTGTGTGTGTGTGTGTGTGTGTGTGTGTGTGTGTGCGTGTGTGTGTATGTGTGTGTGTGTTTATCAGGACTGGACTCACTGGTCAGTCACAATATTTAATCAACACACCACAAATAGAATCTAACTCTGTGTGAAACACTGTGCATTTATATTAGCAATCCACAAAGCTGCAGAGACACCTGGCTTTTAAAGGGAATAGGAGCTGGCACTGTGATTTGTTTATTGCATGTTACGCCCAAAACACTCCCAGGGATAATTAAGAGACTTCCTTTGAACCATGTGCCTGGAGCAGCAACTGATTTTTCTGTCGTTAAAATAGCAAAAATGATATGGACACGCCCTGAATGCCACACGCTTTAGACTGCGTGCTTTGGACTGTTAAAATAGAGTCCTTAGTCTTGTTTCTCCATCATACAGGTAATGAATAACACTGACAGATTCATTTGAAAAAAGTGGCAGCCTAAATTTCTACCCATTAAACAAATGACTACTCGTTAGCCAAGAGATTGTTGCAACCCTGGCCTGATTAACAGAAACTCAAAGAGAGCTCAACTACTCTTTATCTGTGCTGTCAGTTTTCAGTTCAGCCACACACGTCATGCACATGTGATACACATATAACTTTCTTTTTCTTATGTAGCTATTAAAAGGGAAGCTGGCAAGACAAGCAGCAAACTGTTACCTGTAAGCAGCAGATGAGGAGGGGCATGTGAGCGATGATGACTTTGCTGGACGTCTTCGACTGCAGCTTCTCTGACAGTTTGGTGCAAAGGTTTTCAGCTCCTGGTGAAAACATTTTTTGGGGAGAAAACAGAGAGACTTTGCAGAGATGACTCCTAACACGGATCACTTCCTGTCTGAATGAACCACAGTCTCACCCTGCTCCTCGGTGACAGCCCACACCATGAGGTCCACACAGGCAGCGTTGGCCTGGCAGCGCAGTTTGAGCGGGCTCAGCTCGCTCTGGAGGTACTCCACGTCGTGCAGGATCCTCTGCAGCTCCGACTGGCTGCTGCTGAACTGCTCCAGCACAAAGTCGTGAACCTCCTTCACGTAGTCCGTCTGCAGGTCTGGTGGACGCAGAAAATACATCATTATTTCTTTACTGGCTTTAAAATTTCGTAATAATAATAATAATAATAATAATAAAGAGAAACTGGATTCTTTACCTTTCAAATTGTACAGGGTGTCTCTCAGCATTTTGAATATGGCTACATACAGAGGGTCACTGAAGGTTTTGTAGTACAGATGAAGTCCAGGATTCAGCTGCCGATGATGAAACAGAAATGTATTAATGAACCAGATGTGTAAAAAAAAAAAAAAAGAATAGAGAAACATCTGCAGTGATTTCAGAGTAATACCTCGATAAGTTCTGCCAAGGCGTCATCCAGTGATTTCAAAAACGTCTCAGACACAAATTGTTCAACCTATCAAGAGAAAGAGGTAAAAGTTTTTTCATGCATGTTCTTTCCATACACGCTAACTACATGTATGTGTTTCGATGTATTTATTGTGTCGCTGTGGTTACGGCTGACCATGTGGAGGAGCTGTCTGAGCATATCCAGAGGGACGTGAAACTCTCCAGAGCTGCTTCCGGTGAAAAGAGGCGAGACAGAGAAGCTGGAGCTGATGGTGGAGAAGTAGTAGTCAGGGTCCACTGCGCTGCCGTCGGGGAGGTATGAGCCTGAAGGGCGGAGAGCGTGTTCTTCAGCAAGTCGTTAATGTTTCCTGAAAGGCCAACGGGCTCAGCTGCTCCTGCTAATGCACTTACCTTCAAAGTACTGTGCAGAGGGATCAGCAGGCAAGCTGGGGGTCAGGCCTCCTCTCTCTGGACTGGCCTAAAAACAAAAGGAAAAATGTGGAAACATGTGGCTCTGCTTCCTCCGCTTCACCACAGGTCATTATGTTTGTCATCTTGTGTTATTTAACTATTAATACCTGTTGTGACACGCTGGACACGGAGGAGCCTTTGCGTCTCAGAGTGTCTCCCTGAAACACCGTGAGCAAAGAGCTCGGCAGGATGGAACGGAAGTCGTTGAAGGACCTCCGGCGGGAAGCGTCGCTGTCGTCGCCTGTAGGCAGCACAGGAGCGACCGGTCGAGGGAACAGCTTGGACAGAAGAGACTCGTCGGTGTTGCTGTATCGGCCAAACGCTCGGGCGACGCCGAGCAGCGTGGGAACAGTGTACCTGCACAGGTATTCTGCAGGGAGATACACAGAAAGTAGAATATATCTAAACCAATAACAGCTGAGAAACATACAGAGGAAGATTTAGTGTTTGTTATGTTGGTACCTTTATCGTGAGCCTCTGGATCCTTGCAGATATCTTGCAGCACCTGCATAATGTCCATGACCGCCTCCAGGATCTGTCAATGTTAGATCATCACATAAACATGCACATATCACCACCCACATCAGCAAGATACTGGAACATGGACAAGAGCAGGTGGATGACTTCTTCCAGGATATACAGAAAGTCACATAAACATCTGAGATACTCAATAAACACAGGTCCAGCTCTGCAATTCTATCTGGAACATCTGCTGTATATTCATTTACTTGTCATCAACCACAGAGCAGTGTTTCTGTTGACAGAGGAAACCTTTTCAATAAGACTGATAAAATCAAAAAAGGAAAAGTTGTAATGTGCGGTGATGGATTCAGCTCAGGCCTGGTTCATCTCAAACGAGCCTAATATCTAGCTCGATCACACGGTGATGCAAACACACACCTGTCCTCGTAAGGTCTCATCACGCTGAGCGACATCTGAGAGCAGCGTTACGAGACAAAAGCTGAAGTTCTCTGCAACAGGAAGGGCTTCTGCAAGACAGGAAGTTCACCTAATGTCATTAAACTGCACAATCAATGATATTAAAACACATTGCTGCACAGCTGAGGATTATACATTTATCATCATCACAGGTGTATCTTTACCTCTAGATTTGCGTTCTGAGCTTTCTTCAATCCACTGAACTTTAGGAATCCCTTTAAGCAACCCGAGAAGGTAAGGGACGATAGCATCTTTGTGCTGCAACACAAGCGGAGGGTTACCACTGCTATATCAGCCTCAGAAACAAAAGTACCACAAAGTGAAGAGGTGAGCAGGTATGATGTTTACCTGCAGGTTTGACTCTACTAGGAAAATGCCCAGTGCAATGACAGCATCTCTCCTCCTCTCATCCAGCTGGAAGACTCCTCTGAAGTCCACAGGGCACATGCATTGTAGCTTCTGGACCTGTGGGAGGACGACACGTGGTTCACAACTCAGATGTGCTGAAAGCTTTATCTTTAATGCCTCTATTTAGATAATACGATCTGCTTCAGTGGTACAGAATTTACCTGCCCACTGGGATTAAAAAGACTCATCAATCATGTCTACTTCCATTAGCAATAATGATTTTGTCGGCCTAAATGGGCTTCAGGAATCGAGCCAAAATCCTGCCTCTGGCATTAATTAGCCTAATGCTAAAGGGCCAGACGTGAGCTCAGAGAGGGATTAACAACCATTTAAAAAGAGAGAGTGAGACCACAGTCCCTACATGTTTTATCTGAGATTCTTTTAATAATTCAGGATGATGATAATTATGCAGGATAAGGGGCCATGAAGGACATTTTCTGACCTATTCTGATCTATTCTGATCACAGTGGAAAAGTATCAACACTCAATTTCAAATGATCATGTCAAACACAGTGATGTTTCTCAGTACCAAAACAGTAATAAAATACATTAGAAAAGGACTTTGATTTTCAGCTCAACCTGGACACAACCTAAAAATCCTAAAAATCCATAGGCTGTTCTGACATCCATTGAAGGAGGCTATCGCTATTGAAGTTTTCCCTCTTCAAAAGTACAATCAGCTGGCACTTTAACAATGTCTCTCAGAGGTTCTGGGCAACTATAATAGGTATTTTCTCTATTTTCTCACAATTAAAAGACAAAACAATCAAGGAATTAATCTGGAAAATAACCAGCAGAGTAATCGATAATGAAAATTATCGTTAGCTGCAGTCTCATGTAGGTCAAAGAGATGGCTGACACTATATTTAATGTGTGCTCATACCAACCTTAGACAAAACATGAACTAACGAGACTGGTCACTTAATCTTACAGGTTCCGCAAACTGACAAATTCCATTTACATATGAATGCAATGTGTTGCCTGCTCATTGCATTATTGCTATCATAGCACTTTCATCATACAACAAACTTCCTGTTTAACATTTCCCCATTTTCAATCTCAGTGGGTGTCTTCTCTGGTCAGTTCAACTTCTGATTGCACTTCAGAGGTTTTTCAGAAGATAAAACTTCCCTCATTTCTCTAAATTATGATGGTGATACAGAGTTTAACCTTCCCTTTGTCACGGCCAGATTAATTAATTACTTTGTAGTTCCCAGCAAACACAATGCACATAGCACAGTACAGACGGCAGCTTTATTCCACACTATGCCTGGCCCAAAGGTTTTCTGTATGTAACTTAGTTTGTGATCATTTAATGAGAAACAGCTTTATTTAATAAAATGCACCAGTGTGAGAATAATATCAACAAAAATAATAAAGGTGTTAGAACTAGATTTTGACACAGGGCTACGACATTACATAATAATGCAGGGGACAGTTAATGTTTTACTTTAGTTTAATTACAAAAAAGCAACTAGCACACAGTGATCATGGGATTTATGAGTCCCCGGGCAGCAAAATATTCCCATTAAAGCTGCAACAGTTACTTTATTTATCAATTAGTGAATCGACAGAAAACTATATTGATAATGGATTAACTGTTTGATTATCTTTTTGAAGCACAAATGCCAAACATGATCTTGCTCCAGCCTCTAAGAATCTTTTAGATCAAATGATAAATTGATGCATCAAGGAAATAATTGATTAGACCAAGAAAGGCAGTGCATTCTAGCACTTACACTGTATTACTAATCTGTGGCATTTTTGCTTGAAATAAAATGGATTAATAGATTAACAAATCATTTGAGATTAATTTTCTGTTGATCAACTAATGGACTAAGTGTTGCAGCTCTATAATGTAGTGTTGGGTGGCTGAGAATTTAATGACAGAGGACTGTAGCACTTCTTTGTCATAATAAAGAATAACACATCATGAAGATCTGAGTTTTCCAGCTTGTGTTTCTATGAAAATGAACAGACAACAACAAAGTTTGCATTAGCAACTGTTCCCTACGCCGTCCCGTCTGAATGACAGTCAAAGAGCTAACAAGATAGAAAAACACAATAATTTCAAAGGGAAAATGTAGAAATGATGTGGCGGCTTTTCTTCCTTTAAAGTCTTTAACGTTAACCTAGGGGAAGATTAAGTACAGGTTCAAAACAGCTAACGTTAGCCGACGTTAGCAAAGCTTCGAAGTCAGATAAAGATCTCTGTTGGCTCGAGTTCGCTGTTAAATCACAAAATGACAACGTCAATCAAACACGGACACGACAAACGACATGTTTACTGTGTTTTCGGATGTGTAACAGAGAGTTCACGGGAGGAAAAGCGAAGTTACAGACGGGCCTCGGTGTCTCGGACAGTTTGACAGGTATTAGCTCGTTACTGCCGTTAGCCGTCGCCGTGTAACTGTAACGTTACCTTTTCTATCGGTGCCTGCCGGTGAGCCGCCAACGACCGAGCCAAAGACAGGACGGTGTTGAAGTAAAATCCTCTGTTTCCTCCTCCATTGAGAGACATGTTTTAAAGATGCCCTAATGCTGCTGTACAAACACAGACATCTTTCATTCGTCCTGAGGAGGAGTCCGGTCCGCACTGACAACTACGGCAAGCGCAGAGTCCCAAAGGCGCGAAGCAAGGTCACGACGCAAAAATGCTAAAAAACAGCAAATACTATAATCAGAATAAATGAGACCAGTGTCCATTTTGTGAAATTTCAAACTTTCATCTGTATTTAGCATTATAAATATAGTAAATTGAATAAATAATAATCATTCCCAAGTATTTAAATATTTCACATAGATAAAATTAACTAATACATGTATATTTATAAATGTTCTTTCAGAATAAGATACCACTGAATAAGGAATAAGGATTTTTTTAAAAGTACAATTAGCAGATATTTATCTCTGATTGGCTATTCCTTCTCTATGCAGATATGATGTTGCTTGAAAGTGACTTTTACACTTGGCCATAAGTAGGAGGATGTTTTTATTATTGTTCACACTCAGGCAAGAATTTACAAGTTTGAGAAAAAGGATGATGGTTGAAATGCAGTATTCAGATTCTTAACTTAAGTAAAAGTATTAATACCACTCTGTAGTTCTGCACTGAAAATGTTACTTACATATGCAAGTATAATCAGGAAAATGTACTTAAAGTATCAAAAGTAAAAGTAGTGCAGAAAAATCCCCTGCATCCGTTACAGTGTTACATCATTAAATTATTATTCATGCAATAATGTAATGTTTATTATTGATTAGTCTTCTGATTATTTTCTCAAAAAATTGATTGTGAAGTATGCTGCACAATAACCTGACTCTACAGTGACAGTCAATTTTTGTTTTGTCCAATCAACAGTCAAAACTCCAAGATTACTAAAAAAATGTCTATCAATAGACCAATGGTTTCAGCTCTACTTGTGAATACTGTTGGGTAGTTTAAATCAAATTTAACACAGTATTATATTTTCTAAGCTCTTCATGTTTTGTATTAAAAAACTCTTAATTTGTACAGTAATAAGTGCTGCAACTATAACTGTCAAATAAGTGTTGTGGAGTAAAAACTGAAATATTCACATCTGAAATGTAGTAAAGTAGAAGTACAAAGCAGCATGAGAGGAAATACCCAAATAAAGTACAAGTACCTCAAATCTGTACTTACGTGTAGTCCTTAAGTAAATGTACTTTTCTACTACTGCTGAAATGAACACAACAATGTGAAAGGTCTGATCCAGAGTTTATTTGTGAGCATACAATATTAGAATTAATTAGACCGAAGGCACAATACTGTGTTTAGCTACAGGAAAACTTTCATGTGACATTATGAAAACTCCACAGATATTTAAATATCTATGACATAATTCTACACGTATGCAAGGCCCAGTTTAACATGAAGATGGAAAAGGGAGCTCAAAGTAAACATTGTGTATTTTACACAAAGACTGTGTGATGAGCAAAAAATAAAAAATAAAAATAAAAAATCAATTGCACTGCATGTAAACATGTCAAGACTCATAAACTACAAACTTCCAGTCTATAACATGGCATTATATTTCTGAGCAGCAGTTGGCACATTGGGTTGTCAGTTGATGTAAAAAGTAAAGGCAATTAATATTACATAGTTAAAAATTAAAAAAAAAAAAAAAAACAGAACCTGAAAATCTGCAATAAAAGCTATCCTACACCACTCATCCTCCATGGAATGAGATGGAAGGCACTATTAATGGCACTTCTCAAACAGGCATCTCTATGCATTGAAGGCAATTAAAGATTTAGAAGCAAAAAATTCCTACTAACAGTTATGATGAATTGAGAAGATATGAACATCTCAGACGTTGCCTAGAATTAAACATCAGGCACCAGTGCAGTGTGTGCAACTGAGTACATTTTTAAAAACAATCTGTAGTGACTAAGTACTTACAACATTCAATCATTCTTAATCTCAAAAGATCTCAAAATGAATCATATAATACATAGGCACTTTTTTATAGCATAAGTCTAGTAAGTTAATTGATTAAAACATCTCTGCAACTTAAAAGTGAACCCTCTTTACGCAACCTCAGCCCCCCATTTTGTCGAAATGTGCATTTCTAAATAAATTGAGTACATATGCAATGTATGCAAAACCGCATCTCTATGGCTCCTACAATATTGATCAATTTGATTATCGTGACTTGAGGCATTTAGTTCTTAATGTACCTAAACCTCTGCAGCATGTGATATCTGAATATTAATTATTCCACCAGGCACTGAATGAAATAATGATTTTGAACAGTCTTTTAAAAGAAGGAAAAATACTTGCATGTAAAGAGGGCTTTAAAAATTTGATCTCTTGTAAAATCTCTCATTTTCAAGTATAATTTTTTTGTTTATAGAGTCTGAATCACATTATGTTGGGTTGGGTATTGGTGTCTTTTTGATTAAGAACATACAGCTTTAATATAACTGAATATAACTCAAAGAGCTGCAGGTGAGACACACTTCTTTGTGCTGACGTTGTTCCCATTTCTCTAGTTAAACAGATGTAAATAAATGCCCTGTTCCTTTCCCTGAGCTCTTAAGGAACTTCCCCCTTCTGGAATTTAAGAAAAAAGATCAAGTGTAAGCACTGACTCTGCAATCCGGAGCTTTTTTCATGCAGATAATGCTTCCACTTCTAATAGCTGTGTTATAAATAAAAATCAAGAACATACCAGTCCCTTTCTTTCTTTCTGAAAATCACTTGGAGGTAGATATTAGAACCTAGAAGCAGTGTTTAAGGAGACTGGTTTAGGACCCGGCCTGGTTTGTAATGTGGATGGCCTGTCCTAAAACTCCTGCTTGTGTAGCACCGGGGGTAGTCCCATTTCAGTCCGTCTTCCAAACTATGTTCAGGACCTTCACGACCTCCTCGTAGATTATGAAGACTATGGCCACGTCCATACACACCCGACCCAGCCGAGGAACAGTACCTTTGTAGAACCTGAATGGAACAAAGAGAGAGAGTGAATATGCTAAATGCAGTGACATTAATTTGGTGTGAAAAAGCAGGTTTATGACTTAAATGGCCAAATAGAGGGAGAATATAAGTGGCCCCAGGATGGTACCTTGAGGTACTCCACAGCAGTGGTACCTCAAGAACAGGGGCCAGGTTCACAAAGACAGACTTTGACTTAGACCTGGATATAACAAACAGTCAGACTTCAGATAGATGTCTGAATTCATCCGTTGCACAAACTAGTTTAGTTCTCCACTACCTACCACTACCTACAGCCAGACTGCTGTACAATGAATTCTGGGTAAATTAAGCCTTTTGTCAGTATGAAAAAAAAATGCTTTGCTCTCTACATCTCTACACAATGTTAGCAAACCACAAATGATGAGCCACGTTTTCCTGTTTGTTGTTGCACAGGTGTCATTGATTGTTACCATGGTAACGTTGGTCTAAAAATTAGTATTAAACATCATATCATAATAAATGGTCCTAACATGAGACTCCTACAGATCGTCTCAGCGTGATCGAACAGAGATCAAACTATTGCTTTAATTCATACTCGTCAAAACGAATAAAGACGCATTCTGGTCTCTTGTTACCTGCCGTCAAGGGACAGTTCAAATTATTGCTGAATTATCAATGTGTGAAGAGTGAGAATCCTTCACAGTATGAAGCCAAATCCAACTGTCAGTATCATCAGAGTGTTTTCTGAGACATCGGGCAATTGTTTCTTTCTCCACACATCACATCCACCCTGAATATGAACTTACGCCATTGGTCCCTCGTGCTTCATGATCTTGACGGCGCAGTCCATTGTGCTTTTGTACTTGTGAGCTTCGAGACCCTGTTGAATAAAACACATACGTGTTAGTCACTGTGCTCAGGGTTGAATTATGAGATTAGAAGACATGATGAACATGTTCTTCAACCGACCTGCATCCTGGTTTTTATGACGTCCAGTGGAGTGTTTCCAAACACACTGGCAGCACCAGCGACAGCTCCAAACAGTCCAGTTAACAGAGGGTTAATGGCTTTGTTGGGGTCATCACCTTTGTGTTAAAAAAAATACAAAAATAAAAGATGATTATTTTGGTTGTATTTTTGGTTTCATGTGTTGATTAGAGAGATTAGTTCAGTCACGCACCTTTGTACCAGTTCCTCAGTGAAGTCATGACATAGAAGCGGATGGCCTGGTTGGAGCCTTGCTTCAGTACAGTGGCTGTGAGGCCCTGGTACGTCCCCTTCAGTCCTGGAGAAACATCAGTGTTATCAGTGATCTATCAAAAGTAAAACTGTCACAGCTTTCTGATGAATTTCACAGTCACCAGCACTTAGATTAATGGACCTTTCAGGAGGAAGAATATTATCCTCTACATAATGGATGTGATGACTCATAACTTGAAATCTAATTTCCTTTCATGGAAATGGAACAGCAGGTGGCAGTATAACGCATAACCTCCTTACCTTCAGTTCGAACGATCTCCCTCACCCCGTGGAAAAATCCCCTGTACTTGGGGTTTGCTGATGTCTGATCATGGATGAATTTGACCTAAAATGACACGAAGACAGTGATTAATAAATTCTACAAGCCAAAGTGTCAAAGAGTCAGGACGGAAGACGAGCGCAGTAGCCCTGGAAATCTGAGGCACGCCAGGTTTTGCAAACAGTCATGCTCTGAGTAACAAAAACTCCTCACACATATTTTGTTTGCATGGACAGACAACAGACGAGGCGTGAGGAGGACTGGATGAGTGAAAGGAGAACTAATGAGGTAAGTAACTGTTTGTTTTTTTTTACCTTAACTGTCTCCATAGGACAGACAACAACCACAGCTTCTGCAACTCCGGCCCCCAGGCCACAGAGGAACCCTCGCTTACTGTCCAGTTTCCCGCTCTCATCACGCATCTTATTACTGAGGAACTCAAACACCCCAAATCTGCAGAGATTAATGGAGAAAAAGAAATGTATTAAGCAATGACAAAATCAATTATGAAATATTTTTATCATCAAATTATCTTTTATTTTTTTCAATAAATCTGTGATGGAAAATAGAGCACAATCTGATGATTATAATTTACTTGTTTTGTATAAATAACAGTTTAAAACGAAAATATATTCAAATTATACGACTTGTTGGGAAGTGGTACGAGATATACTGGAAATAACTTATTCATATAATGCACGATCCGATCTCGTCATACGTCATATCGTGTGTGATTGTGTTTGCACGTGTACCTGACGGCTGCTTTAGGTATGGAGCCGTACAGCAGTGAGCTCAGGCCTCTGTAAAGACCCCTCACCCCATGACTGTTCACCGTCTGCTTCACACAGTCAGCTGCAGGAGAAAGACAGGAAAACAGGGAGAGGGATGAATGACAGAAGAAGAAACATGAAAGATGAAAAACAGGTAGGTAGGCAGCTTAGAGAAAGAAAAAAAAAAAACACTGATTTCTTGCTTGGGTATGAAAAACCTGCTGCGCTGCAGCCAAGAAAAGCTTACTCAGTTCACATCATCAGCAGCTGCATTGTTATAATACTGCTGCTGTAACTGTTAGTTGTTGAGAACAGTGTCTGTTGCAGCCAGAAACAACAGCCCTTCATACTGAGTTTCCACAGACAAACATGGTCTGTGCCAAAGTTCACAAGCTCTCATTGGACAGATAACAGAGGCCAACTTACTGCGCAAATAAACATCCGCTCATGTTTGCACTCAAATCTGCAACAACGCCCCGGCCTACAATGGATTATTAATCAGGTAAAAATACGTAGCTGGTGAACTCTGTAGTACTGACACTTAGACCTTAGACGTCAGTTCTGTGAACTGAGAAATTAAATCAACACAAATCATTAATCAATAACCAGTTCCTGATGATGATTAATCATGTGGCTCTGCTGTGATCTAATGTGGCAACTCAGAAATCAATGATGGTCATTTTACTTATTTAGTTTGGTTTATTGGGGAAATTGTATTTATATAACTATAATATATTTAAAAAGTATTTGAAAGGGGTAAAACGACAAAGTCAGACACTCAAAAAAAGAAAAAAGAAAAATCCCAATATAAAAACAGTTGTATGACATAGTTCAAACATTAAGATATTCATATTCCACTAGGGGAAACCTGCACTTGGTAATGTTTGGTCAAACCTACAAAATAAGTAAGAATGATCACATTTAGAAGAGTAGTTGTCACTGAGAAGATCAGTCTAATATCTGTCTGGAAGACAGTTAGCTTAGCTTAGCATAAAGGCTGGAAGCAGATGGAAACACCTAGCCAGGTACATTCAGCAGAGAGTCACTACACCTGGCCAAGGACTAGTCCGCCGCAGAACGACCCAGGAAACTACAAACTGACATTTATACACATGTATTTAAAGCTTCTTTTTTTTTTTTAAAACCTTTGGTCAGAGCAAGGCTGACAGTTTATGCTAAGCTAACTGTCTCCTGTAACTTCATATTTAACAAACAAGCGTAAGAATGACACTGATTTTTTTTGATCTAACTCTCCTCAAGAGCGCCATTAAATGTGTTTCCTTTATGGATATTTTTGTCTCTATGATTGACAGCTCCAGATAAACAACATCTTAAGACGCTCCGCTGGTGTCCAGCGGTGTTAGATTACTCACTGATGCCTTTGTATTTGGGAGGATTTGCCTTTTCGTCGAGCTGCAGCTGCGTTTTCACGTACTCTGTGGGGAAGGTGATGCAGATCTCGATGCCTCCTGCGATCCCACCTGAAATAACAGAAAAACTCTCCTTTAAGCTCAGACTCATTTTAACAAAGGAGCCAAGAAACAAGCGCCACACACAAACACACAAACACCTGCAGTCAACAAATTACTGATTGGAAAAATCTAGTTTTTCTTTATATAATAAACTTCCTGAATGAATAATATTCCCAATCTCCACTGTTTGAAATGTTAGGTTCTCATATACTTCATGAGAATATAAAATTATATGCTTTTCTTGACTCACAGTCATTTCCTTTTAAGATAATGCCACAATATTCATGCAGACTTTCTCATAATGATAATAATGAAACTGTATTTATAAAGCAAATTTAACACAAAAAGATGCTACACAACATGCTTTAAAAAATACACACAAAAAACAGATGCAAGAAATATTTTAAAATTAATTTTGCAAAAATATTGTGGGTGGTAAAATACAGTTTCAGATGTTTTCAGTTTTCCTATAAACAAGGTGCACATTAGCAGCCACCAGAGGAAGCTGGATATGACTGTTGCACTCATGTCTGCCGTACAGCGTTTCAGACCAGCTCCACCTTAAAACACTGGCTGTCACACATCTGCCGTTCAACAGCAAACAGGCAGCCGGCGGCTGATTGGCTCGGCTGATACAGTGCGATTCTGCCCCCTTTAGGCCCCGATCCAAGTCAAGGGGGTGTGTAGCCTCCAGAGCACATAGAGTTTACCACATTGCCGTAACAACAACACACAGAAGCATTCAGATGGTGGTCTGATCCCTCTGGTGTGCGACACGTGACAAGTTTGCAGAGCGTACGGTGAAGTGAAGGAAACCGGAGCTTTCTGTCATTAAAGTGTAGTAAGTGTAGAACAAGTTTCTGCCCCACTGGAATCCATGTGCTTTCACTAAAAAGGTCCCTGTGTTCAGTGAACCTGGCCTATTCAGGCCTGGAGAAGCAAGTGGATGTTAAAAAAAATAAAAACTGAAGACTGAAAAAGTAAAGAGCTTGAATTCAGTCTCACATTTAAAAAAAAAAAAAAAAAAAAAAAAGGGCTCTTTGTTGCTGCCTTCAACATGCACTCTTTCTACTGGCACGTCATGCAGAGAAATCAAACACACCACTGCTTCTAGTCTCCATTTAGACAAGCAAGTCAAGCTGAGCGTGCACGCACAGTCACAAGATTACAGGCCGACAAATCACTGTTTTCACTGAAACATCAAATGTGTTTTCGGCCTCCTGGCTGAGGATCGGACAGTGCTGGTTATGACACACCCAGGCATTTATTTTGGTTAGAGGCTTTTTACAGCTGTAGCTGAACCTACTAATTAGGCTTGAATCAGAAACAATGGCCACATCATCATCCACATCTTCTGCACACAGGCGTCTGTGTAGTACCTGCTTTACGTCCGGACACTCAAGCTGGAAAAAGATACAGAACCAGTTTATCGAGTCCAACATGTACGCAGACTTGAACAAGGTATTTTTTAAAGTGAGTGGGGGAAGAGGGGCTGACTGTCAAGTGTTCATGTACGACCTGTTTCTTTACAGATAGTTGCAGCACTGACACACACTTCTTTACAAATGGAAGCAGGTGGATTTGTATCTAGAAAAGTGGAGGAAAGACAGCTTTATATTAGGAGGAGAAACTCAGGTGTGATGACATTAATCACGGCTACACCGTTAATGTCACCGCTTCCACCTGTGCTTCTCCTGCTGTGTCACAGTCAGGGTGTCTGCCAGGAAAAATGCTGCATTCACTGCCCCTCGGGATGGCGTCGGTCAGTCGCTCTTCTGACTTCGGTGTGTTCATGTGCTTTGAAGTCAGAATGTGGAAACAACATGGACGCTACAAAGAAGACGTTTAAAGCTGTTTGCAGTGTTTGTGTTACTTATCATCAGGGTGACTGCTAATAAATAACTTCTCTCAGTCGCTCTATGTGGACAGCAGCTAACGGTTACAAGCTAACAACATATTAGAAATTAAATTTTAGCAAAAAAAATTGATATGCAAGATGTGAATTTGCACCATTAATCAAAACTTTCTCACCATCAACCAAATACTCACTCTCATCCGCCATGTTTTTGCATATACGACGTCACAACCCGGCTACTCACTGACTTGAGGGGGCGTTCAGGTGAATTTTCCAGGTCTGAAACTAATTTTTCCGATTATTCCGACACCACATGAACGCAGGGAAAGACCTGTCGTGTCATTTTGTTTTTAAACACACCTGCATCAAACATGTAATCTTTACATTTAGCTTAAATATTCAAGATAAAACACATGTAAAAACCACTCAGGCCTGCTCTGAGACTGAGAAGGGAAGTGCAATCATTCACTTCTTCTGTTAATATCTAATGTTGATCAAGTTCTACTTTTAATGTCCCACTTTTTAAAAAGGAATTTGGCATTTTGGCATCTCGCCAAGAGTTAGATGAGAACAGTGTCTTAAACTACAGGAGCTGGTTAGCTTAGCTTAGCTTAGCATAAAGACTGGAAACAGGGGGAAACCGTTAGCCTGGCTCCGTCTGAAGGTAACATAATCATAAACGTCTAAAGCTCATTAAGAAACACATTATATCTCATTTGTTTATACAACCAAGTGTAAAAAAACAGTGTGTTAATGAGACGTTAATGTGCATTAGAGATGATTTACCCACACTATAATATCAATGCTGTTTGATTCAGTGGGGATTAGTGGTTTAAATCCTCGGCATGTGATCTCACTGTTCTCCTGTGACTTGCTCACAGCTGCCTCGTCATCCTGTTAGCTCACACCTCTTATCAGGATTGATTTCATGCAGTGACAGTGAGCTCGTTTTGGCTCGTCATTACATGTCATGCTTACTATACTCTGTGTTAGAGTTTAGCGGGGAGAACCATCGTGACCGTTTGTGCCCCCTTTTGCTCCTGAACTGAACTTGCTGTAACCCAGGTGAATGTGTGTGTGTAAGGGGCTGACGGAGCAATGTGCTTTGTCATCGTGGCTCATGACGCTGAACGGGGAGGCCGAGGCCTCCGGGCACACACACCCTAAGGTCACTAGGTCAACAGAAAACACTGACCACACTGATAACGGTTATATATGTAAAATAAAACTTTGCTTTTGAATTTCGAATCTTCAAAAATGAACAAACAGTAGATTGAGTCATAGTGTGGCTCGGCTCTTTCTTACGTTCTAATGCGGCTGCAGTGTTATCAGTAGCGATTGCCCTGTGGTACACCCTGAGTTCTGTGTGAAGTTTGAGCATCTGTCACTGATTGACTAATGAGATGGGGCAGCAGTCAGAGTTCATTTCAACCAGGAGGTCTGAGTTACAGGCTTCAAGTCCCAGGACGAACCAGACTGTCCAAACATGACGAGTTCAGCCAGTAATCTGGTTTTAAATTAAAGGCATTTTCTGCGCTACAACAGGATTCCCACACAGCTTCTGTTGCCGGTGTGACTTTATAGGCGACGTTGAACCATCAAGCAGATCATAATATCTTTCATATGCATTGAGTCTGCAAATCCCAGGACATACCAGACTGTCCGTCCTCCAACTCTAAGCCAAACTTTGCTTCAGTAGACTCAGATTATCTGTCCTGCCAGACCTGGGAGGAAAAAACTTGATACGTTTGTGCATGAATCTGGTCTAAAATTAAAACATTTTCTGTGGTTTTGTTGAAATTCCTGCAGGTCAAACACATACCATGAAATTTAATCCCCGTTTCAAACTTATATAGTATGAAAGATATCAATGAGAACCAGTGGGGAGCATACAGCCAAGTGCATGTTTTTATTTATCACATTTTCATATAGTAAGTAACATTTCGCACTTTTTAATACCTTTCAAGGCTTTTTCTTTTAGAGGAAACTGGGCTCAAGGCTTTGCAGGGCCTGCAGACAGCCAGCCTTTCAGACAAGCCCTTCATGGTGCACTACATCTAGCCCACTTTGTCCTGGCTGCAGTGCACGCAGCTCCTTCCGTGTGCATGTAAGATAAGTGCAACAATAGAGAACAGTGCAGCAGCCACGGCCTGTGGTCCCATCTGCAGATACTGCTAAAACTTGTAAACAACTTTTAACAGCCGCCTCTGTAAAAAAAAAGAAAAAAAAGAAAAGAAGCTGCACAAGTCCCGTAGAAACTTTCCTACCTGCCAGAATCGCCTTGCCGGGGTGCGTGAGCTTGGCTTTCCCCGCCGGAGCCGCAGCAGCAGCAGCCAAACACCGGGGTCTGTGGAACGGGTTCACGAAGCTTGGTTGTCCTGACATGATTGCGATACGCTGGCCAAACTTTTCTTTTTCTTTTTTTCTTTTTTTTTTTGGTCAATACGGACGTGCTCAGTTGCCGCAAACCCAGTCAGCCTTCAAGCCCTCATGCAGTCCGGGAGCTCTGTGCAGCAGGAGTCGCGATGCATTCAAAGGCCGAGCGGGCGGCGCTGACCATTGGACTTTTGGTGCTGATCTGGACTTGACAATGCGTGTGTACTTTTGACAGTGAAGTTATCACCATGGCACACACACACACACACACACACATATACAGGCTGATAGCGTCGAGTCAGTGTTCATTCAGGGCGGGGCAGGGCGCAACACTCCACCCCTCCTCCTCCTCCCCGACGCGGAAAGCGCCATGTTTTTCACAAACATTTAAGGAGGACCGAAGGGATTCTCTGCTCGACGCCGACACAGGCCTCTCATTCGCCGGTTGCTCATTGAAACTTTCCTGCCCACTTTAAATGCGACACACAGTCTTTAGGGGGCGCTGTTCGCAACCAATTTACATTTACATTTTATGCTTTTACTTTTTACAACATTAAGATAGATTAAACACAGTAAATTTATAAAATAACTATTAAAAAATCATCAAATAAATAAAAACTTGCATATTAAGGCACTTCATTAGGGAGGTTATTTTTAGTAATACATAAAGATCTTTGGCATGTTTTGATTTCAATAATTTCAGGGACTTAGTATAGAGTTGAATTTCATTATAACAGCAGGTGAAGATGGGTGGGCGCTTTACACTTCCAGGGGTTTTTTTATGTGCACGTTTTTTTAGCATATAATATTTATCTAACAACTTAAGGCTTTACTTACTTTTGAGATTTAAATTTTAAATTAAAAAAAAAAACATTAGTTTATAAATATAAATAAATAATAATAAATAATATATTAAAGATTAAACCAGTGTTTCCAGTGTCTTTTTGGCTTGTGACCACTCACAAAAACAAACAGTGTCTAACTGAGGTTGGAATTATTCCATGAAAGAGACATTCCCACTTTAAATTTCTCAGATAGCTTAATTTAATAAATTTATTTGAAGCCCAAAGAAATAAAACTCTCCTATATTTCTGTATCAGAACTTTGTTTTTTTTTCTCCCATTAATCATCATATGACCCTTCAGATTTATCTCTTGAAGGGGCCTGACCTCCAAGGTTGGGAACCACTGACCTAAAATATCTGACTGTATATGAAGTAGTTAAAAGCAGCTCCACCTGGAGCAGCTACAACAGCAAAATGTTGCTGAAGTGTTAATGCATCAGTATTATAATGTAATTTATCATAATACATCAGTCACAAAGGATGATTTTCTGAAAAATTTGTATTTTTACTTTCAATACTTAAAGTACAATTCTCTGATTATACTTTTGTACGTTTTTAATGCAGGATTTATAAATGGACTTTGGTCCAGATGTCTTGTCTTTTCCAGAAGATAAATGGATAAACAGTCTCCAATGAATTAAAGAGCTAAAAAGACAAGTTTTATGCTGGAGGATGATTGTCCACAACCTGGAAACCCAAAAATTGGATTATGATTTGATCTATAAGCATAGCTGGATTACTAAATTGATCTACTGGGTAAGGGTCCTGTGGGCAGAGAGACCAAGGGACCAAAACACAAAATGACCACAAAGAGACACAACACAACCACAAATAGATGCAAAGTAACTACAAAGAGACTCAAAGTCACGACAAAACAGGCAGAATGGCCACAAAAAGACACAAAGCAATTTTAAAGAGATTCAAAATGATGCAAAATAACTACTGAAATATACAAAATGACCACAAAAACACTGAAAAGGACCATAAAAATATGCAAAACAACTACAAAAAGATGCAAAACAATAACAAAGATAGGCAAAAAGATGCAAAATGACTAGTGAAATATGCAAAATGACCACAAAAACATTGAAAATGACCTCAAGAAGATGCAAAGCAATTACAAAGAGACAAAATCACGACAAAACAGGCAGAATGGCCACAAAAAGACACAAAGCAACTTTAAAGATAGGCAAAATGGCTACTGGAATAAACAAAATGACCACAAAAACTATGAATAAAGCCATTAATTACAGTTTACAACCCCTGTATAATTTGTGCCTTATGAGAAAGTGGCACCAACACTTCTGTGTCCTGTGAAAACAGCTGGGATAAAGAAAAAAACCGCAGGCACGTTGTGGTTGGGGGGATGAAACTCTTGCTTCCGTATTGACTCTTTGTTCGCTTTTTTTCCCACCGACACCGCGCATGCTCCATATGTCTCCTTCATTGTGCCCTGTCCCCCGTTATAGACAGTGCTAAGCTAGGCTAGCTGTCATCCCACGGAGCAGCACCACGCCAGGGACACTCCACCCTCTGCAGTTTCCACCTTGCAAACACCTTTGCACCGGTAAGAAGAAATTAGCAGTGCTAGTTAACCTCAAAACACAGCGCAACACAGAGTTTAACGTAAAATGCGCATTTGATATCGTTTCTTTTCAAGGTTAGCCACACACCTAGCACGTAGGGAGATTTAGCTGACGGTAGCTGTGTTATGTAATGATGTTTAGCCTGGTAATGCACAGTTTAATCCCTGGATGATAGGTTTCCTGTGTGATAGTGCAGAGATTCACAACTGTAATGCTAGCTAACGCATTTAGCGACTTTATTAGGTCGCTTTGTGGCTAGCTGAATGGATGTGAGGGGGGTTGTGTTTTAGGGGGGGTAGGGCAGGACAAAGTAACGTTACTATGAACATTAACGAGTCAGTGTCTATCTCCTGTTCTTGCCCCTGCAGCTGAGGCAGCAGCTAGCTAGCTGTCACCCCTCCCCACAGCTCTTTCACTGGCCCATCTGCTGTCCTTTGTCCCTGCAGAGATGCATGTAGCACCAAGCTCTCTTGTTACACACTGTTCATTAGTCTAATCCAGCTGGAAAACATATAAAATAAGAGTGTGGTTTTGCTTTAGCAGCACTGGTCTGCCTCTGTGATGAGGTGCTGGGCCCCCTTTTTTCTTTACAACCTTGAGATGTGTTGACCACAGGACAGGAGATGCCTTTTGTTCTGCTGCTTTAACATCCACCTGCTCAGCTGTTTCTTACACCTCTGTGCACATCTGGGCTCTAAATGTGCTTTTTTTAAAAAAAATTTTAGGACTCATTTCATTCTTGACTTTTATGTGCACCGTTAGCTTCTTGTTGAAGCCGGATGCAGAGCCCATTTAGCTTCCCATGCTGCCTCTACAGGAACAGCTTGTTCCCTTCTGCTGCAAGCTCACAGTTCAACCATATGACAGCTATTGCATTGTTTGGACATGTGACAAAACCACAAAGATTTAAATGTTTCTGTAAACTACTTACAGCCTTCATTCGGGAACAGCTAATGGTGCACTATCATGCATGACTCAATAATTATAGTGACAGGGTGTTGCTGTAGTGCTAAATCATTCCAGCAGCTGTGCGCACGGTCTCTGCAGGCCTTGAAAAGTCTTGAAAAGCATCGATTTCAGTTAGAGGTTATTAAATAGTCCTGAGTATTTTTCTCTCCTGCTGTAAACAACAACATTAGTTATAATTTTGTACTTTTGTATGTGGCTGTCAGCAGATCTTATACTCTCTTCATCAGTCTTCTTTTTTTTGTGGAGTTTCAATCAGATGCTGTTGCTACAGAAGCTAGGAGGCTCAGTGTTAGCTTTAACACTTTAAAAATCAACTCAAATTGATCATTTTTTTTATAATTGGTTAATCCATACCTCAATTTTCTGCTGCTTATGTGAATGAAGGTCACATTAATTGATTAATTATAAGAAACCTGGAAAGTGCTGACAAAAATGTGATATAAATGTGTATAACTTCATGTTCTCAATGAATAATTGTAGGCCTTGTTGTTCACACTGGTTTTCCCTCATTCTTTGATCTGTTTGACCACGAAAAAGGTATTAAATTAAATTCTCTGTGGTATTAAAAAAAGGTTTGAAAAAGCCTTAAATGTAACCTGGTGAACACTGCAGACAACCTGAGTGTAGAAAAGAGAAACTGCGTCGCTCAGTCTGCTGTTGAATTTGCTCAGTGACTTGTGGCTGAAACAGAATGGTTCAAATAATCACACTGCTGACTTTATCTTCTGCAGCACAATGGCTGTCCCTCCTTCATACTCAGACCTGGGCAAAGCCGCCAAGGATATCTTCAGCAAGGGTTATGGTGAGTGCTGTCTTTATTTTAGCCCCAGGTGGAAATTATTAACTGTTGAGAATTCCTGAAACACAGAGTCTTTTCAAATCTGTTTTTTCAGTGTGACCAGCTGAAAGACTCTTATTCAGTGTGCAGATAATATGAACAGATTCATGAAAATATGATGAGTTAATGCTTATTACTTATTAATGTTACTAATGAGTTACTACCATTTCTAACTGGTAAAAAAAGGAGCCTTATAGTAATTTTTATTAATGAGTTACTATAAGATTCCCTTTAAATTATCACATTAATGCTAAAATTTAAATAAAAATCAATTAGTGCAGTAAATCAGTTTTGCCCACAAGCACCTAATACACCAGGAGCTAGGTATAGACAAGCTATAGAAACAACAATTAGTCGATTAATCCATCAGTTGATCGACAGAAAGTTAATTGGCAGCTAATTTGAGAATTGATTAATTGTTTAATGCAGGACCTTGTTGCTGCCTCTCTTCGTCTCCTGTGATAATTAACTGAATCTCTTTGGACTTATCTTGCGCTTCTTTACGTTTAACACACGACTCTGTCTTCTGCAATCCTCCAGGCTTCGGTGTGGTGAAGCTGGACCTCAAGACCAAATCGCAGAGTGGAGTGGTGAGAACTCTTTCTTTGTTGTTGTTGTTTTCTTGTCATTCTCCGGCTGCTTCCTGCAGAGTCCATCTCCTCCCTGGTTTTCCTGCTGCAGTCTCTATCCCTCATTCAACGTCTCACCGATACACATCTTACATTACATTGTCCTTTTGTAATTGCAATAACTGAACTGCTGCTGTGACCCTGGAGCTTGAAGGTTTCCAGGTGGACCAGTGGCTGATGCAGACGCACTTGGCTCGACCTGTGCTCTGTTCTAGAGAAACATGACAGGCCGACAGGTGTGTGTGTGTGTGTGTGTGTGTGTGTGTTAGTGGCCTGTCTGTCTCTCTACCTGCCTTTCCTAACCCCTGCTCTGTCTCCATGCTGCTGCCCTCTGTCCCGGACCGCTCGCGCTCTAATGTAGATGGTAAGATCGGTGTCGGAGCCGTCAGCTCTGATTGTCTGTGTGATTTTGGAAAAAAAGATCATTTTCATTTAGTTTTCTGTCTTCTGTTTATTCACATCGTCCTCTGCTCACTCGCTCATTGTTGTTCTGTTGGTTTCATGGTCTGAGTGTTTGTTGTTTTTCTTTTTGTCTTTGTGATAATTATTCACACGGCATGAATATTAATGTATTTCATAACAATGATTTTTGTTTCCATGTTCTGTCACATCACTCTGTCAGATCGAACCTCTTGTGATTTTCATTTCCTTTTCGTTTAGTCAGTTTGCAAGTCGTCTTTAGTTTAGAGCAACAATTTCATTATCAATTAATCTGCCAATTAATGTCTCAATAAATCAGTCAGAAAATAGTGAAAAGTGCTCAGTGCTGTTTCCTAAAATCCATCTTGTTTCGTCAGAATAATAATCCAGAACATCTCAGCAACTATCAGATGCATTGCCATTAAATTTACAACAAATATTCAAGGTCTCTGGAGGATACATATGAAGGACTGATGATCAATGATGAACAATGTGTCTTTATGACTTTGGAGATCCTCCGGCTTGTCCTCTTGCGCCACCTTGAGGTTGACTTTAGTTTGTCATTGAAATATCTTGACAAAAAATTCATGGGTTGTGAAAATTGAATTTATCATTTTATCTAGTTAAAATTGATCAAATTTGTCACTTATATAGTGAAATATATAGAAATTTGCTGGATCGATTGGCACAAACTTTGACTCAGACATTCGTGGTTCTCAGACAATGAACATTGATCCTTTGACCTTTCATTTTGCACCATCATTTAATTTGTCCAATACTTTGGTTTATGATCAGAAACCTGCAAAACTAATGACATTCCCATCATCCTCAGCTCTACTTTGGGTGCAGTGCTAATTATCAAAAGCTAGCATGCTAACACACTAAACCGACACAGTGAACAACAACAGTTTACCTGCTAAACATCAACATATTAGCATGTTAGCATGTTAGCATGATTATTTGAGATGTACAGCCTCCTGATTTTTTAAAAATATTGCTTGGACATATTTCGCTATGATGATCATCACATCTCTCCACATTATGATTATTTTCTTAGTTACTACTTGAAATAGCTGCTCTGACATTTCTGTCATTAACGCCTCATTAAATTGAATATATATTTTAGTGAGTGACAGGTTAGACTGTCGTCACTTTGCTTCTCATTTCCTATTTATTTTTCTGTGAATAAACAATTTGATTTGAACAGTGTCCTGGTATTTTTGGGGCATTTTTATTACGTTAATATTGGAGAGACACAGTGAAGAGATGACAGGAAATGAGGGGTGAGAAAGAAAGATGAGGAATGACATGAAACAAAGGTCACTGACCGGACGTGGCGCTCTCACGTCCCGGCCACAGGGGAACGCCGAACTTTAACTTTAGAGGATTCATGTGCTGCGTCGTCTTCCAGTCCTGTTTTGGAACTAGACACACGATCCGGTCTCAGTACGTAGACACAATTAATGTCATTATTGATTGATTTGTTGATTATTTTCTCAGTTAATTGATTCACGGTTTGATCTGTAAAATATCAAATAGTTCTTCAGATGTGTTTTGTCTGAACTACAGTCAAAACACAAAGAAATAAAGTTTATTAAAGAAGATTAAGAATCAGTTGCTGATAGTTAACAGATGCAGATTTATTTTATTCAATTATTGCAACTCTAGTTAATTCAATTTAAATAAAATAAATTCAAGACGGTGCTTTAGTTGTATCATAATCAGATTCATCAGTTTGTTTTCTGTCCATTTCCTGTCTGTCTCACGTCACCGGTGTCTTGCATGGAATAATGTCGAGGGCTGTCTGGTTTATTGTTTAACGTCTAACGTTCCTTATTTTATTCCTGCACAGTTCATGAATAATTCAGTTTGGTGTCAGTCGTAGTCTGCGCCGCTCTTTCCTCCTTCTCTCCGTCTTTAAAGTGTCGCTCTCATTTATTTTTGGATTCTCTATAAACACACTCTCTGTTACCGCTTCACATGTCCGTCAGTCACTCAGTTTGTCGTTTCCTGTGTGTGGCTGACTGTCGGTGCTCTGACGCCGTGTCCCTCTCGTCCTGCTGCCAGGAGTTCAACACATCTGGCTCCAGTAACACAGACACAGGGAAGGCCTCGGGGAACCTGGAGACCAAATACAAGATGAAGGAGCTGGGCCTGAGCTTCAACCAGAAGTGGAACACAGACAACACACTGGCCACTGAAGTCACTGTGGAGGACCAGGTGTGTGTGTGTGTGTGTGTGTGTGGTAACAGTGTTCACACTGATAAAACTGCATTGTTTAAGTCTGTCCCTGTTGACACACGGTGTTAACTTCACCTGCAGCTGGCTCAAGGACTGAAGGTGGCCCTGGACACGTCTTTTGTACCAAACACAGGGTGAGACCACGTTTCTTTGTGTGAATGAGAGATACTGTGAGATCACATGATACAGTGATATGTAATCTGTGTAAACTGTGGGTCAGGCCCGGTGGTTGGAGAACACTGAAGTAACAGCACTGACTAGTTTTTCCTGCCTGTCTCGGTTAGTAATTAGCTGCTATTGTGAGACTGTGCTCTGAGGAGTTAGAGTTTAGAGTTTTCTCCTTTTGAAATCGCCTTCATAACATTTACAACCTCCTTCACTCCTTGCTTTTTTCTTCTACCTCCTTCGATGTGAACTGAGATTTATTTCTCCTCGCCCATTAAAGGATGAAGCTCATAACAACAATATTCGTTATTTTTGTTGTTGTGAACAAATCATGAAATCCAAAAGTGTGTTAGAGTCTTTCTGTCAGTAGTTTCTGCTGTTTGTGGCCTCAGGCTCATTGATTCCTGCTGACAGTCTTTAGAAACTGATCACTGTAGTTTATATCAAACAAACAGCATCTGACGGTGGATTAATCAAGATGCATCAGACTTTGGATTCACACAGAATAGTTTATACACAACATCACCACTTCTTCTTTAACATTAGAGGATTGGAGATAATCAAACCTGAACCTATTTTTCAGTAAGAAGAGCGGGAAGCTGAAGACGGGCTACAAGCGTGACTACGTGAACCTGGGCTGTGACGTGGATTTCGAGGGTCCCATCATCCACGCCGCCGCCGTGCTGGGCTACGAGGGCTGGCTGGCCGGCTACCAGATGGCCTTCGACACGGCCAAGTCCAAACTGGCCCAGAACAACTTCGCCCTCGGATACAGGGCTGGAGACTTCCAGCTGCACACCAATGTGTGAGTCCTCCAGTGACATTACATTTTAAATAAAAGATTCAACCCGTAGAAAACAGCTGCATGAATCTCTGACGTGGCTGTGGAGGAATCTGAAAGACTCGGGCGTTAACCAGGCAGGGAGAGGCCATCGAGAAGACAGTGAGTTGCGTTATGGGAATTGTAGGATCCAGTGTTTTGGGAATTCATCTCATGTGAGGGAGTGAAAGTCTGAGTCGCATGTGTTTCCTGTCAGTCCTTCCAGCTTCATGGAAGAATAAAGCTGCATCTGTTTCTTTGATAAAATGAGTCTGCTCAGGTTAAATGACCCTCTGACACAGTAGTGAAGGGTCTGCAGCGTTAGGTCAGAGGTACATGCTGTATAGATCTCTACCATGGCTGGATTCACCTCAGATGATTTGCAATTAATTAAGCTGTGTAGACCCAAATGATGCAGAGTAAACCTGGAGTTTTTGGGGCCCCTGGAGGTCTGGGGCCCACTTTCTCAGGTTAGTAATCCAGGCTCTGAATCAGTGTCTTTTCTCTCTCAGTAACGACGGGACCGAGTTCGGCGGCTCTATCTACCAGAAGGTGAACGACGAGCTGGAGACGGCGGTCACTCTGGCCTGGACCGCCGGCAGCAACAACACTCGCTTCGGCATCGCTGCCAAATACAAGCTGGACAAAGACGCCTCTCTGTCTGTGAGTGCTCCGACTCTGTTGTTCAGGCACATTCTCGCAAACACACATTCTGCTGCTGCGTTTCATCTTCTCTCGTTTCGCCCCCGCAGGCCAAAGTGAACAATGCCAGTCTGATCGGAGTCGGCTACACCCAGAGCCTCCGGCCAGGTATGCTCCCCTCCCCACACAGACATGTTACTATACTGTGACGTTTTTATGCCTTACTATATCATGAGATTTTTGTCATACTATACTGATATTTATATGACCTGTGCTGTGTGTCCGCAGGTGTGAAGGTTACCCTCTCAGCCCTGATCGACGGGAAGAACTTCAACGCCGGCGGACACAAAGTCGGCATGGGTTTCGAGCTGGAGGCATAAAGAGGAGAAGTCAGAGCCACCAACGAAGAAGAGAAAAAAAGCCTAGAATCACATCACCACACACTCCTCTGCCCCCCCCCCTCCTCACACACACACACACACACACACACAAACACACACTTTGCTGCCCCAGTCCACCACCATCATGTAGCTCCTCCTCTCTGGACTCCTTCCCTCTGTTTTTCACGTTTCATGAGCATTTCTGACAGTGATAGTCGAGTCTCAGCTTCATGCTTAAACGCCCCCGAGAGGAGTTGTGAGGTCGATCCTGAAGCCGGCGGTGCGTAGTTGTGGATTATTACCGTTTCTATGGTTACGGAAGTGACACTTATTTATTTCCCTGTAGGTCCTGGATGAAGTAGTCGTCGGTGTACGTGTGTAGCTCATTAAGGCTTCTGTGTTCAGTTGTTCCTTCCTTCCTTAAAATCAAAAATAAACAATTAAAAAAAAAAAAAAAAAAAAGCATGTAAGGATGAAAACCTGAATGCAGAGCTGAAAGCTTCTTTGCTTGGTAAAAAAAGGTGCTGAGTGTCTGTTTTCTCTTTTTGTTTTGTTATGGTTTGTTGAAATTTATGGACTGTTTAATCCATAAAAAGGTTTTGATACAGCACATTTCATGAACATATGACTGAAATATCTAAAGTTTGGAGGCAAAGACTCGATTTCTGCACGGACTGAACGAAGGATATTCAAAACTTGCATTGCTTTGCGGGAACAATGAAAGTCTGACGTGATCTTTAAGCCCTCTGTGACCTCTCGTTTCGGTAGGTGAAATCAATGTGGTGGAATCTTCTGGTAAGCTTGTGTAGTTAGTTTTGCATTTCTACAATATTGCTTTCATCTATCTGCGTCGGCACGGCCGTCACTAAGACAGCGGAGGCTGTCTCGCATCTGTCTGTAGCCTCTCGTAGATATCGCGGCAGTTCAGCGGCACCGGTTGTCTTAACTCGGCGGACAGCTGTTTCCTCATGTTGCTGGAGGACTGCACTCATTGCTGTCAGGGCTCCGCTCTCTGAAAAAAAAAAACATCTACGCTCCTCAGATCTGAACATAAAACCACAGCTGATTGTCCTCCGAGTGATTCCAGTCTTAACGCTTGATAGGATAAAGTCAGAAGCTGTTGTGTCCCACATGACCTTCCTGTTTCCTTTTTCTTTTTCTTTTTTTTTTGGTTATCATACATCAAACTGTGTTTTCCATCTTCTTATGTTATCACCGTTATAAGGCTCATTTTTCTTTGTCACGTAGACACAGTACCTCATTGTTTTTCCAATGTTAACTAAGGGAATTCTAATAATAAAAAAAAATAAATTAAAAACAATGTGTGAAAGTTTTAATTCTTTTCTCATTCAAAATAAAGTGTGAAGGTAGAAACTGCCCACTTACGAGCCTTTTTTTCTGGAGCTTTAACCACATCTTAAGGTCTTCCTCAGCAGCTGGAGTTTGCTCAGTTGTCGTGGTCGTCTCTGTGTGCAGAGAGAAAACTGAGATACAGTTAAAACAACAGTTGGACGCTTTTGGGAAATATGCTGAGTTTTCTTTCTTGTGGGGAGTGAGAGGTGTAGACAGTTAGCTTAGCTTAGCACAAACTGTTTTCTTAGTAACTGTTTTTCCCAAAATGCTGAACTATTCCTTTAATTTTTGTCAAACCAAAAAAAAGCAGCTTAAGAATCTGAATCAAGACAAAATCTCTCAGCCACGTTTAAATGGAGTCTTTAATTTCAAGGCGTTTACTACACATTTAAGTTCATATTAGAAATATTTGGACTGACATGAAAACGGGACGTTAACATATCCACCTGTTAAAAATGAAACCTTGATGCTAGCGCCAGTCTGTCATATCTGAACATATAGTACATCAATGCAAACAACATCCTTCTTCGATAAATAAACCACACACAGTGAGCACATGTTCTCGGGCAAAGAGAAGAAGACGCTTCCTGCTCACGTCTGATGAGAAGCTACAAGCTGCTTTTCATCTGCAGGTCACTGCAGTTTTGTATATTGAAGTGAATCCACAGGTTCATAAGTTGCAGATTTTGACTTGCATTAATAAAAGTCACGCTGCATTCACAGTAGAACAGGGAAAAAAAAGGACTTCTTAGTAAATGATGTATTATAAATACCTGAACTTCCTGTTATATATTAATGAATGAATATTACTCATCCCCTAAAGCCTTGTATATCAGGTTCCTGTTTTTCTCCTTTATACCACACAATAACCAGTATAACGTGTCCTTCACTGTTTGTTGTTTCCATCATTATTCATGTCTGGTTGAGCTGCCAATACAGTAACTGCGACATAATTAAAGGGTCAGTTCACCCAAATCCCAAATAAACAAATGTCTTCAATCATCTCTAGTTGTATCCAGCCATTTTTAAATATCTGTCTTTGGAGATTTCTGCCTCCACTCCACGGAACCTCATTTGCAAAGCTGGAATAATGACATTATTTAAATGGCTGCAGTTTGACCTGATGGTTGCACGAGAGGATCGCTTCAGTAAACAGGGTTCATTGTCGGGGGATCATGAACGTCTGAACCAAGTTTTGTGGCAATACATCAAGCACATTTGTTTTTATTTCACCAGATAAGTGATAAATTTGACTTGCTGGTGGCACGGCAGGAAGAGTCAGTGGGATTCATCCTCAGGGGAACATGAAGGTCTGAACAAAGTTTCGCTTCAGTCCATCCAGTTACTGCTGATATGTTTCAGTCCGCAGAAATACAAACACCTCACTGTCGACAGTTTTCATGTGAAATACACTGAAGAAATAGTCCCGGTGGAAATGAATCGTATGGGTGGAGGCAGAAATCTGAAACTAAAATAAAATCAAAACCTTCTGCATGGACAGGTTCGACCAGAGTAAGTGAGGATGTTGAACTGTCTGAACCGGCCTTTTAATAAAAAATAAAATGTTTGTAGTCCGTCCGTTTTCATGCGTCCTCACAGGACTCGTGCAGCAGAGCCGGACGTCCTCGCTGCTGTGAGAACAAGCTGTTCCTCTTTTTCTCGCTTCTCTTCACACGTTTGGCTCCGAGTTGTGCTGTTCAAGTTTCGTAACCTCTCTCGTGCGCTTTGAGGAACGTGAAGCGTCACAAACGTTTCCCTCGCAGCGCGTCACAGCAGGTTGACCTTCGCCACCACTTGCTTGCAGCCTGTCTGGGAATACTCGTGCCCCCCCACAGCGGGGTAATATTCAATCTCCCCTGCGAGGCGCTCTATGTTGGTATGATCCGGGTAGAACCCCTCCCGAGTCATTTCATCCAGGAAGCACTCCATCACGTGACCTTTCTCCAGAAGGCCCAGAGGTAAGATGTCCACCTCCGTCCACAGCGAGTGAAGCTTCTTCAGAGTGCTGCGTAATATTGGCGTCAGCTCTTTGACGAGATTACTATGACGACCGGACGCCGTCATCGTCATAGAAATACTTGAGGAGTTGTGTAGCATATGTTTGGTGATGTGCGCGTGGCCCAGGTTGCTCAGGAACAGGTAGATAGCGTTCAGGTATTCGTTGGACTGTTTGGAGGCCACCAGCTGCCACAGCGCGTCCAGGATCTCGTCGTGCATGTGCTCGGCCTCGTCGAAGATGAAGAGCGGGATCTTCTCCTCCTCCTCGGCGCGTTCCACCATCCCCGAGATGAGAGCGGAGAGGTCGCCGGCGCACTGCAGGGCGTTGGCCTCCTGGGGGCAGTGGTGCAGGACGTAGTACTGCAGCACCAGCGTCTCCCCCACCACGGAGCGGAAGTGTCCCGCCAGGAGGCGTCCCAGGTGGCTCTTGCCCACGCCGCTGGGGCCGTGCAGGGAAACCACCAGGGGCTTGTTGTGGACGTAGGTGGACAGGTAGTCCTTCAGATGGGACAGCAGACCCTCCACCGCTCCCTGCTGTCCAAACACCTCCCTCCTCAGCGTCTTCTCCAGCCCCTCCAGGTCGTATCTGAGCACGTGGTCGTCTAGGTTCTCGATGGCGTTGTACACCTGGAAACAGACGAGTGACACGTGTTAAGAAGAGCAGGTTTATTACTACCCAGAAGCCACCAGGTTCCCTCCTCAGTTGTTTTAGTTCATATTGAGCTTCAGTTCAGAGAGACTGACTGATGGCGCTGGAACAGACATCAACAGCTCGTCTTTAACGTGCTCACAACTTGCTACGTATTCAGAAGCATTCAGGGACACTTGATAAATAAACAAATAAAACCTTCAGTTGGATAAAGCTGAAATTTGAGGAGAACATTTTGGAGTCCACTTGTTTGTTGGTTATCTCTACTAATGGACCGTGTCATCTGTGCAGACCTTCTCTTTTCTCTGGAAACGTAGTGTTCAGAGGAAACGGCTCGAGTCCAAGTTTATTTCCGCTCAGCTGCAGACGTTATCAGACCACAACAGGAAATACACTCAGATCCATTTAAAATGTTTGTGTTTGAAACTGCCGAATAAAGGATCTTGCTGTGTGATGCACGTGGCAGCAAAGCAAGAATCATGGCCAGGTCAGGCATCTCTACAGAGTGGCAGCTCAGGGTGAGAGTTAATGATCCACCTGAGGGCTAAACAGAAAGATATACTTCTATCCCGAATGAAGTCTGACATGACCGAGCATGTAGACCCTGCGTACTTCTTTCACACAGGAGCTGAGGATAATACCGACTCCTGCGGCCTGACACACGGAGCTTCAGGAAAAGTAAAGGGCCCAACAAAGTTATAAGAATTCATCCTGCGAGGGAAACATGAATGAGTGTGCAAAGTTTTATGGCAATCCATCCAATAATCGTTGAGACATTTCACTCAAAACTACAAAATTCATCCTTAGTGGCGCTAAAGGGAGAAGTCAGGGGATCACCAAAGTCTAACCCTTTTTTTTGAAAAATAATGCATATAGTGAAATGGTAATAAAATAACCTCATATATTACTGTCATAAAGACAAAATAGCAGAAGATATTTGGTGAATAAAGAATCAAATGTTGAAGAAGAGTTGTGCAAAATGTTTTAAAGAGTAACTTAACACCCTCTAAATATCTTGTTTTTGCTGATTTAACTTCTAACCATAGAGGGCATCAGAGCACTGCTTTTACACCTGCTGTTTAAAGTTACTCTTTAACCTTCATGGCTGAATTTATTTAAGAAAAAGCTCAGGACTTGTCACTGCCACTTCCTCTCGAGGGGATGACCGTCTGTAGATATTTCGGACACTTCACCTGCAGGAAGACGATGGCACAGAGCAGGTAGAGGCAGTATTTGGCTCGGCTCTGCTCCTGCTTTGGTGGAGCTCTCCGCTGCCCTCCGTTGGGAAACATCACCCGCCTCCTCTTTCTCCTCTTTTTCCTCTGGAGGACGGAGGACGACAGGGCGGGGATGGAGGAAGGGGTGAGTGCGTCGAAGGTGAAGATTTTGGGGCTGGTCCGCGCCGGAGCCCCTGAGAAGGTCACGGCTCCGTCCAGCCCGAGCGCCATCTCCTGACGCCGCTTCTTCATGGCCTGGTACTTCTGTTTGATGCGTATGACGGCGCGCAGAGAGGAGGAGAAGGAGGACAGACTGTGGACCGTACTGTCCCTCTGTTTGTCATCTCTGTCTCCTTCCCCCTCCATCTCTCCCTCTATCTCTCCCTCCATCTCTCCCTCCATCTCCCCCTCCATCTCTCCCTCCATCTCTCCCTCTGTTTGAGAGGCAGAGGAGCTGCTGTCCTGGTCACTCATCTGCAGAGAGAAAGAAGAGGCCTCTTTATAACAATGGATCACATGACTACTCGCATGTAAAAGGTGTCACCGACCCACAGAGAAAATAACCTGACTCTGCAGGAATGCAACACAATCTTTAAAGCACCACTAACTCCGGAAAACAGCCGCCTGCTGCAGGAAACATGGATGATGAGAGTGAACTCTGCAGGACGGGAAACCAAAACAACGAGCTGAAAGAGGCCGAGATTCACCGCAGAAAAAACTTGTTTGTGGCTTCGGTGGGAGCTTTGTTAAGTTTGAGAAGTGGCATCACCATGGTTTCTCACCTTGGGTTTATGGGAAAAGGCTTGAATGTTTTTGGTCGTCAACACATTGTAGTAACTTTAAATCTGACAAAATCTGTTGTGGCTGTTTGAAGTTGTTGTATAATGTGTTAATTTGTTGACTTTAAAGGTGCTAGTAAACATATTTTTGACATTTGGATGAAGCTAAGCTAGCTGTTTCCAGTCTTAATGCTAAACTAAGCTTAGCTATCATATGTATATAGTATATATGTTGATTTTTAATGTAAATAGCAAGACAAGGAGTTTGACTGTTGGCAGCCGAACACAATAAAAGTTTTATAACTCTCACCATGCTTCCTTCCTGCTATCTATCTGTTCCTCAACATCAGCAGCTTTCACCCCCCGAGGCACCAGCGGTAAACACCGACTGATGGCAGGGTCTAGATCGCTTCGTCATACTATCAAGTCGTGGGATCAGTGACAGCGCAGCTTTCTGTAAATTTTGGGATCCAAGCAACTCACAGCTGCATATAATTTACAGATGTTTGGAAAGTGATTCCAGACAAAGGCCGTGTGTGAGACCAGAGGAGTGTGGAGCGGGCGGTGTGAAAGATACCTGCAGCTGATGCCGGTTCCAAACAAATCCCTGATAAGATCACGCAGCTCAGATTGCTTTTGATAAGTGTCTCTTTTTTGTTCTATCAGTAGAAATCCTATTTAATCTTTTATACCGTCATGTGATGAGTTACTGCGGCTGTACTTCCACACTGACACTTTTGCATCTACAGAGCTGCTGTTTCCCCTCAAACATGATATTCAAATCAAGCGAAAAATATGTCATCTATAAATGTTCCTGCAGAAAGAGCGAAGAGCTGGTCCTGTGCATAATAACTTGCACACACACGAGCATTTGCATGTAACATAATCTTACAATACACTTTGCAAAACTTCCCTTAAAGCATTTTAAATAACAGTTGTGGTTTCTGATTGAAACACATCAGGTAATGTATCTTCAATAATTAAAAATTCACATTAATCAAGTTAGTTTGCAGAAACAGGGTCAGTCTGCAGAGTTATACAACACTCGTCTTGGCATTCAACAGCACAAGGGGGGGGGGGGGGGGGGGTTATTGAAAAGGAGGAAATATCAGTTACACCCAGTGGTGGTCAGATCAAGAAAAATGTGCTACATACACAGCACAATCAGTACTTGCTGCTTAACAAGAAACCTATCTTATGGTAAATGTATTTTTGTTCGTGGCACAGCAGGGAAGGAAGTAACAGCACTTATTCCAATGAAAACTGAGCTGGGTGTTTGCATTGTGAGCCTGACATCAGAGCTCAAAATTAATCTTGGCACAGAGACGCCGTCACTTCTGGTATAGTTGCAGAATTTGTCTGTCAAGCCCCTTTTTTTTCTTTTACTTCAGCACATAAGAATTCAGAGCAGCACACAGGGGGGGCGGGGGGGGGGTATCAGCACTTCATCTTTCTCTCTGTTGTCTTTTCATTGGAAAGGCAGCGGAGACCTTAGAGGATCAGCTGCATACCAGGCATTTTAGAGAACTTTAACACTTTGATGTTAAACAAAAATCCCTCGTCAGTGAACCTGCACGGACATGCATGTACTGGGCTGAAAACACACAGATAACACACAAGGTGGAGGTCAGCGGCTTTCTACAAATGTCTTCTTTTCTTTTTTGGTGGAGTTTCACTGATGTTTCACACAGATCAGAGACAGGTACTGACAGGAACCAAAGCAGTGCATGTAAAGCAATGAGAGGGGGAGAAATGTGACTGAAAAATGAGAGGTGAAGATAAAGGACATGCAAGGGGAACAGAGAGTTTGCTTACCTTGAAACGTGGCTCAAATGTTTGAGTAGAGGAATGACTCCTGTGCAGGTTTAGTCCATAGTTTAGGAGCGGAGTCAGCAGAGAAGAGCTCCACTCAGCCGGTCGCTCTACTCAGGAAGAGCCCTCCTATCTGTCTATCTTACCTCCAAACCCTGTGCTCAACCATCTGCAGGCTCCTCCTCTTTAATTCTCTCATTCTTCATTTCCAGTTTCTGCTGCCTTTTGTTTTTTCAAAGGGTCTGACACATTACTTAACCCTGGGTTCATTCAACAGCTAGAGAATTTACAACAGTGTTTTTCTTTTTCATCATCTTAACAGGTGGAAATAAAATCTTTTTCCTTAAAAGAAAATAAAAGAAAAAAGTTTGCATTTAACACCATATTCCTTTGATCTGTGCTAACGCTGTTACAAGTTTCTCAGGGTCCAAAAAGTGTTTGTGTCACTTGTCACCACACAGGAAACACGGCTTATCTTAGCTTATCGCAAAATAAACAAAACAAAAAACAACAAAAAAAAATTTGCTGATGCATCTGCAGACTACATTATGTAATTAACCTCATGCACTTAAAGGAGTAGTTAATAAAATAACTGCTTATTCATTAGAGTTAGTTAGAAGATTTATACCACTCTCATGTTGCTACACATGAAGCTAAAGCTAGCATACAGCTAGCTTAGGTTAGCATTAAGACTGGGAGCAGAAGGAAATAGCTGGCTAGCATGTAATATACATTTTTGATATATTGAATACAAAAAAAGAAATAAAAAAACAACAGTTAACAATTTTCCGGGGGGGTTATGTAGGGGGGTTACGTTGTAGCTTCCTGGCTAAGCTAACCTGCTGTAGCTAACTGGCTCATATATATATATATATATATATATATATATATCTTTTTAATTTTAATTTGAAGTTTTACTCAACAACATGAGTAAGTGCATGTCACAAAATTTTATCCAATTTTAGATACTTTACACTACATCATCCTTTTACTCCACTACATTTATTTAGCAGATGTACCTTACTTTCAGTTGTAACTTAGTATTTCTATATTGTTGTATTGGTTTCTTTACTTAAATAACGGACTGTACGTCTTGAAAGAGTGAAAACATTGAATTGGTGCCATTTACTGGTTGAAACGTGACAGAATTGAGAAGGTGGGTCTTTGATTGGAGGAAAAACAATGTGTTTAAAAATACCAAAAAATGTCCCTTTCTGTCTTATATGATAGTAAACTGATGATTTTTGGCAAAACAAGCATTTTAAATACATCACTTTAAGCTTCTGGAGATTGTGATCAGCTTTTTATAAAGAAAACGATTAATCCACAGAAATAGACTAAACTGCAGCCGTATGATTGAGTGGGTGTAGAGACATTAAAGGGCCGTGCCTGCGATATAAATAGAAAACAGAGGTGTGGTATATGTTTGCATACCATACGATTTGCCTGCGATGACACATCTAAAAATAAAACTTTCTGTATCATGCATGCTTGAGCTGATAACTTCACCTAGTGTTTGGTTTTAAGGGACTGTCACATTCATAAAACCTGAGCGTCTGGTTACGGTTTGCAGATGACAGTGACTAAAGCTTCAGAGAAGAGTTACTGTGTATAGATGGTGTGAAAAGGGAGTTATCAGATTGCGTCAAAAAGGAGGCCTGAACTTTTTCTCATCGTTCAGTGTATTTGTCAGTGCTGTCTGGAGAGGAAGGTGCAGTTCCACCCAACACAGTTTACTTTGAACGAGCTGCTGGAAGTAAACTGTTAATGTTGTAGTGAGGAGAGGAGGAATTAGTCACGTATGACAGCATGCTTGTTACAGCCGGTAAAAAGTAAATCAGGCCTCAGTGGTCTGAACCGTTACAGCGACGATGAAAGCTGCACGCTGACGCTGCAGAAAGGAATTAATTCATCCTAGCTTGATGCATGAGGTGTTAAGTCTGTTTCCCACAGCTAGTACGTCTCTAAACCACAATGTGATTTGCATCCGTTTCACTTTAACACCTCATCAGTTCAACTATTAAACTATTAAACTATAGAGTAAATTTAAAACAACTTTTAGAAAACATTTTATTGAATTTTGGAGGATGAAAACTGAGCAGTGCTATGACCAAAACACATGTACACACGTGTTCTCAGACACACAAGCCACATCTTCTTTTTCTTTTTTTATTGATGTAGGCAGTGTAACAGTACAAACTACACTAAGAAACTACAAATCAGTTCTTTCCAGGTACTATAAAGTGACAGCTGCTCTCTGGCACATTGGATATAAACTTCAGCTCCCTCCCACCGTCCTCTTTACCGAGTACTTCATCATTCGGGTAAATCTGCTCATGAGCTTTCTCGCTAAAAACACTCATATCTGCACGTTAAATACGAAGCTACAGCCTGGAGATTATTAGCTCAGCACATCATAACGACTGGAAACAGAGCGAGTGATTCTCTAACTTTTAGCTAATAAGCACATGTACCCAGATGTTCACCATCTCTTCAGGCTAAAAGAACCTCTTGCAAATTCTACCTCTCGAGTGGAACTGGTCTTTTGAGCCAAGTTATTTAACATTCAACACCGTACATCTTAATTAAGGCCTTTCGGATCCATCTAAAGCTTTTACATGCTATTTGAAATGTTAAACTAACAAAAAAATAAAAAAATAAAAGCACAAAATACTTTAAAAGGAGTGAACAGAGCCACCGACACTTCGCTCACTTCCTCCCTCCTTCACGAAGGGTCATATCTTTAAGGTCAGAGGTCACGCCAGTGTTTTCAAAATAAGTTGTGAGGCCGGTGCTTTGTACACAGGAGACGTGCAGGTTCACACCTCACACAGCGGGGAAATAACCTGATGACCTAGATCAGCGGGTTCCCAACCTTTCAGCCGAAACATCCGTTCATTACTTACGATTAGCGATACCACAACCTCAAAACAGAACCATCACAAGTCAGAGTTAGAGTACGAAAGTATCAGGAGCAAAAGTGAAAGATCAGAGAACATTTACAACTGTGGTCTCTGTTCGTCCGACTAAATATTCAGTTTAGGATCATTTTAACAGAAGTTTTTACATGTGAGAAGTTCAGACAAGAAAATGTTCAGATTTTTTTTTTTTTTTTACTTAAAAAAATGATTCAATTAACAACAATCAATGCGTGATTTTGTCAAGTTACTAACTGATTAATTGACCGATTGTTGCAGCGCTAGCTATAAGCATGTATCACGTATAGAGAAAAAGTGAACGTACAACTCGGTGGTCACTTTATTAGGTACACCTGTGCAGTGTAATGTAATTCCACACAACAGCTCCGCCATAAGTTTCTGTGTAAATGTGTAAATTATTACGGAGGTCACAGTTAAAGATGGTGGTGTTGTTGTTGTTTTTGGTCCTTTACATCCACATTAGAAAACACCTGATTATAATCCAGTCCAGTACAACAGCATCAGCAGCTGTGAACCTCAGTGATCAAAATAAAACAACTCAACATTGTACAGGTGTACCTAATAAAAAGGCCACTGAGTGTATATTTTGTATGTAAACTGTATGTAATCTGTAAAGTAACGACAACTGTTAATGAATGAATGAATGAATGTAATGGAGTGAGAGGAACGACGTATTTTCACTGAAACACTGCAAAAAATATTCAAGTACAAGAACCTCAGCGGGTTGCGTTCAGGTGTTACCACTGAGGTGTGTAGGGGGCGTGTCCTGTGCAGTCAGCCTCATCAAAGCCGATAGTGTATTGGTCATTTTGATGATTCGTATTCTAAGATCAGCTTCAAACACATTTACAATTCAAATTGGGTGTTTTTCTTCCTCCTATTCACAAATGCGTGGACTTTTTACTCCCTATCCTCTCAGATACTTCCTGGCTGTAGCACTCCCTGCGGTTGACTCTCCCCTGGTTGGGAATCACTGACTTAGGAGGAACAGGAAGTATATTTACCTTTTTTTTTTTTTTTTTTTACCACCTAACAAAGCTTCCTGGCAGCGAGTACGCACCGGCTTCTGCTCCTGGACTTTCCAGGGACGAGTAAACTGCACTGAAAAGTAAAAAAGCCACAGGGCAAATCCACGTTTCTCCTCCATCTCTTCAACCTTTGACATCCTGAGTAGTTTTCAATGGAAACTATTAAAAATAATGTTGAAAAGAACAAAAACAAAAAAAATTCAGCATTTTACTTAAGCACAGACACACAAAAAAAAAACAAAAAAAAAAATGAGATGAGCCTAAAAGGATTCTGGGAAAAACAAAACAAAACTTTACACAAAGCAAACTCATTAACCTCCCAGCTTCTCTCTGCCCAGCGCTCACATGTAAAAAGAGGAAATATAAAGATGGCGAACAGACTTTGTTAACAACAACCATCACACGGAGTCAGACTGGGCACAAATGATCAATTCTGATCAGATAAATAACAATTATGACCAAAATAGATACTCTTTAAATGTGGAAACAGCAGAATATATTTATAATCACGTAGATGTTAAATGTGTTTGGGAACCACAGAGGGTCGTCGTGTCTTTAATGACTGAGAAATCCACACTTTCCACTTCTCTCCTCTCGTAGAAGCGACATTAAGTTAAAAGGTGTAAAACTGAGCGGGTAAATATCAGCACTGTTTACTCTTCAACAAGTCGAGTGTGAAATGTCAAGTCTTCGTTTCTCCTCCGAGTGCTTTCTGGTGAACCACAAACAAGCAGACACATGTTAATCAATGAACGGCCGTGGACATGTGCCCACACCGAGAGGTGGCCGTAGTTTTCTAGTGCTTTCCTGCAGACTTTAAACGCTGCCTACTTCCTCTTCCTGCCGCGGCCTCTCCTGCCTCTGCCGGAGGAAGGGCCCGCCCCCGCCGAGCCCAGGGGGCCGTCCGCCGGGCTGGCTGCGATGTTGATCTGTCCCTCCTGGATCTCGCTGCGAGCCTCCGGAGGAAGGTGTTCGATCTGCTGCTGCGTCTCCAGATAAAACATGACGTCTCTGAGCTGCTCCTGCAGTTCTCCTATCGTCTCGTCCTTACGGTCTCCTATAGACGAAACAAACACGTGTATGATACACACATCACCTTTTTAAGTTGTGTGTTTGTGTCACCTGATGAATCTCAGCTCAGTGCTCCCTCTCTTTGAGCTCTGTGTTTGGTCTCCACCAGCTCCTGAGGGAAATCTCTGTCTCTTTAGCTGCTAAATGCTCCACTGTGTTCAGCTGCTCTCTGACTGAGTGTGTCTGCTGTTTGCTGCTGAGCAGGAAGTCTTTTCAGACGTGAGTTTTCAGAGGTTTTACAGCAGTGACCAGAACAGTCACGTTGTGTCCGGACAGATGAACCATGAGCTGAAACTCCCTGTAAAGCTCCGTGAGGCTGAGCTGCAGGTTCAGCTGATGATTCTCCGTCGGTTCATCACGACCACTCACTGTTTCAACACATTGATTCCAGCTGCTTTAATGCCTCATGAGGAAAAATCACCCAGTTACTGACGGATGCAGTTGGCTCTCTCAGCTTCTAAAAACTTGCTTGAAATATTACAGAATTTGTACAACCCGTCCTGCCGGCCTCAGGGTCATGCCTCAACACAGCTGTGTCAATTTCCTGTCTATGCAAGAGCCTGAGATAAACATTTAGACATGAGATAAGCTGCACAAAGACTGAGGAAACCTATACAACATAAATATAAAAAGGTATGAAACTGTGAAATATGAAATCATCCATCTCACGACTGAGCTGGTGTTGAATTTCTAATGCACTGCTTGATTTTTTCTTTTAGACAGCTATGATCGGCCGGTGGAGCTACACCGACAGAGGAGCCATCGCCACGGCTGCGGAGACACAGTAACACACATGATGAAGTTGTACTTCTCCGTCTGTGTGGCAACACCTGAGATGGTGAAACACTCCAAGTGGTGCAAACTCTGAGAACTTACACAATAATACTCAACACCACAGAAAACCAGAGGCTGCTGAAGCCGCCGTGTCAGAGTCTGTGTCCGACTGAGATCATTGACAGATTACAGTTAATCACCGGTAGAATAAATATCGGCGTGTGCGTCAGCTGATAAGCAACGAGAAACCCTGCTAACACGTTAAACTGAGACAGCTCGGGGCTTTAACAACACTGTTGGTTCATGACGTCTCTTTCTTTTTGTTTTCTTTAACAAGGATCAACAGTGAATTAGAAAAGTTTCTTCTCCTCTCAAATATCAGTCTCAGCCTCAAAACCCAAACATCTAGACAAAATAATCGCTGTCCCTCGGCCAAGAAAAGCTCCCTGGATTCAAATAATAAGAAGCTGAACTGTGAGGAAAAACTGTGAAGCTGGTGACAGATGAGAACCGGACGTTTCTGAGCTTCCGAGTGTTGAATGATGCACAAAATAAAAACCGGCCTTAAAGAAACAGAAACATCTGGAGAATCACTTCCTTTTCTTTACAGCCAACGTGATACAAACAACATTGATTTATCATTCCTCGTGTTGACTTAGCTTGAGTCGGCGAGCGAGCTGAAAGATGTCTGACCCATGAGTGTAACCATAACATCGCTCGACTCAACCTACGGCCACTTTCAAACCGCACAAATTAGATCAGTCGAGTTCATGTTAATGTGAACAACAGGAAACTAGCGCTAATTATAAGCTGCTTCAGTTCTGCTCTGACAGTAAATTTAGAAATGAATCTTCTAACATTTCTACAAAGGCTGGGGGTTAAACTTACAAACCCCTCTTATCAAAACAAGTGAAATGGTACAGTGTGTGTGTGTGTGTGTGTGTGTGTGTGTGTGTGTGTGTGTGTGTGTGTGTGTGTGGGTGTGTGTTTCTTCCACATAAACAGAGCGCACATGCACCGGGGTTCGTCTGTTTAGACGATCCTCATCCTCAGAGCCGACTGAAGCTCAGGGAAAATACAGGTATGTCTAAAGTGCAGACGGAGGATTTCCATTCAAACCTTAAACCTGACATTTCCGTCGCCCTCAGGCCGAATGGTAATGGAAACACGCAGAGCTTCACCACGTTTTAAACACACACACACACACACACACACACACACACCATTACACGGTGGACTGAAGCTGATTCGAAGGCTCCTCTCACAACTTCATGATCTTGTTTTCGTGTTTCTTTTATTCTGTCCGCCTCCTGTATAAACAGCTGTATAACCCTCCATGCAGTTCCTGTTTACCTGCAGAAAGTCACTACTCTCAGCTACAGACACGGCGTTCTGTGGAGCTGCAATTTGTTTATGATTTGCAAATATTACTGTCTGAATGAGGAACTACTCTCTGACTGCGGGACCCGACCCTTCCAGCTTCAGGCTCTTTTCTCTTTGGCAGTATCGACATGTTTCCAAAGCATTGTGCACGTCACTGTGGCCCATTCTTCCTGTTGCTGTGGATCCTTCAGTGTGGTGACACATTTGTTTGGCGTCAGCAACAATAGGTGACACAAAGGTGTAAATGAGCAGCTGACTGATTTGAAACCAGCGACAGACGAGCTGATTGAGACAGGAAATGTCCCGAGTAGAGGATCGGTATCTCGGCTGATTGGGGCAGATTTTTCTACTTTTTTATTTTTATTTAGTCTATTTAGACTTTAAATGCATTGTTTGTTACCTAACTCGCTGTTTTTGTGATCGGTGTGAAGTGGCTCCTTCCTTCCTTCAGACTGATTCTGAGTTTTTACACCGAGGTTGGAAAATACACATATTTTGTTAAACTCTTACATTAACAAACTTCTGCTGCTCTGTACAAAAACTTTCAGCAGCAGCTTCTGGTGTTTAGCCGGCGCCGACAGTCGGCAGTTATAAAGCCAAACGTCAGCTGCAGCGGGTCAAATCAGCTGTTCTCTGATCAATGTCAAAAATCGATCAGTAACTTCATGAGTGCTCTCTGCAGTATCAACTCCACTGAAGGTTGTTTGAAAATAAACTGTGCAACGTGTGGACTGAGTGAGAAACGATTCAGAAGTCGCAGTCTCTAATAATCAAACTTTATTAGTTATGAATCGGGAGCGTTTGGATCATGGAGGGTGGGGGAGGTGCGGGAGGTGCGGGAGGTGCGCTGCAGATTTCTACACTTGTTATTCATGCCAGATTCATGTTGTGATCAACAGGATGAACCTGGACAGGAACCAGGATCAGATTCCTGAGAACACATGAGTCTGTCATCATGAGAGACGTACAGCGCTCTGTGCTGGTGGATTGTGGGTGTTATGTTTGTGACGAGGAGGCGAGTTCAGTCTGTGTTGATGAAAACACTCCACCCTCCATCATAAACGTACATTAGCAGCATGTTACTGTATCCACTGCTCTAGGGCTTGACCTCTGCGTTGTGATGATGATTTTACATCATGTACATGTATCCCCCCCACCCCCCCACTCACCGCTCTCTTTTCCTTTGCGCTCCTCCTCCGCCAGCTGGGACTGCAGCTGCGTCTGATTGGCTCTCAGACAGCGGTTCATCTCCTGCTCCTCCTTCAGCTCCTGGCTCAGCTTCACCACTCGGCCGTTCAGCTGAGTGTATCTCAACACACAAACACAATGGAGCCGTGAATTCACCAGAACCATAACTTTCCGTTTTGACAGGAGGTATTTGGACTCGTCACAACAGGACGAGAACAGGTGGAATAATAAGCTGTGCTAAGGTTTTAGATGTTTAGGTGTCTGACTGGTAATAATGTGACTTTAGTGGCTGTGACTGCGTTTTATAATTGGCTGTTTTATGTCACTTGAGGATCTTTGCTTCGCCGTCCCAGTTAAAAAAGCTGCAGTGATTCTAAAATGATGCACCGGTCTGTAACAGTGTTGAATACTGGGAATTAAGATGATGATTTCTGCATGCACAGTCAAGGATCCGGCCGAACCCTAACCATCAGCCATGGGGACGCCCCTCCCTCCTCTTTTTTAATGTAGTTTAATATTTTAGCTGATGTTAAAACTGGATTCTCTTTTGGTGCCTCACAAATAAAGTTAATTATCATTATGAAAAAACAAAACTCATTAACGTTTGCAGGTATAGTCCGACGCTAAATTTCTAAGTTTCTTACCACAACTTTTCTGTTACTGTTTAGGCGTTTGTTTTTTTACATCAGGTAAATGAAGCATAAATTTGCAGCACCAGAGCCGATGGACTGTCTTCACAGGAGACATTTCGGCTTCTCGTAGCAAGAAAAGATGAAAGTGACTGCTTTTCTGTCTGTGGGTTTCACTGGAAGGACTTACTGAGTAAGTCTTACTGAGTCATTGTTAATAAATGTAATTCAAAATACAGAGGAAGGGGTGTTACATTTCCTGGAAGGAAGAATATGACTCGCCCTGTAGTTTACCAATCAACAAACCTCACAAACCTACACGCAAGATGTAACGTCAGTCGGCACCTACTTTTTCTCCATGACCTGCTTCTCTTTGGTTATTTCTCCCAACCGCTGCTCCAAGTTATCACAGCGCTCCAAGGTTTCCTTAAATTTCGCCTTCATGTTGTTTATCTGAGGGGAACACACACACACACACACACACACACACACACACAGAAAAGTCAGAGGAAACATGTGTGCACAGGATGACATGACGAGATGAAATCAGCTGGTTAATGTCAGTCGGTACCTCCTCGGCCGTCTCCTTCTCCAGGTGAACGATCTTATTCTCCCAGTAAATCCTCTGAGACTCCAGCTGACTCGTCAGCAGGTACGAGTACTGCACACACGGAGCGTTAGTCACAACGGTTTCGGTGTTGACCCAGCAAACGAAAGCAGCGAGGAGGAAAATACTCACCTCTAGTTGGAGTGCATCAATTTTCTCAGCTTGACATGTGTCTCCCTCACATTCATACTGCACCATCTTCCCATCAGTCTTACTGGCCACCAGCCGATGCACGTAGTTATCTACGGTGACACGCAGCAGATCAGACACGGGCTGCTGTGTCAGCGTCTTAAAAAACTCCACAAACATCAATCAATCAACTGAAAATTAATTGGCATTTTAAAAATAGGTTAATTGTTTTGCTGTTTTTTTTTATTTTTTTTATGCAATCAACTTTGAATTTCATCTTGAAACACAGACGAGTCCTTCAACACAAATCAGACGAGCAGCTTCTGTCTATTTTTATAATCTTGCTTTATATTAACTATACTTTGCTTTTACTTGATACAGTTTTTATTCCTTTTATTCTTTTTTTTTTAAATTCCTTTTTATGTTTTTTAAAACTGTTTTTAATATTGTTTTATTGCCCTTTTATTTATTAGGTTATATTGCCCCTTGTGTCTTCTGCTATTACCAATGTTTTTGATTTTAATTCTTCTGTGAAGCACTTTGAGCTGCAATTATCTATAATAAATGCTATACAAGTAAAGCTTTTTATTTTCATCATCATTATTATTATTATTATTATTATTATTATTAAAGTCCTAATGGGAATCAAATCCATGACGGCTCAGCGTCTCCATCTGTTCATCAAGATCGTCTGATATTATCGAAGCTCCAGAACGAATCAAGAGACTGATGACTGGTGAGACTGATTTACTGCTGACTCCGAGTGAATGCTGATATTGCTCTGCGTCTGCTGGGTGTGCTAGTAGACAACAGCTTGCTAACAGGTTAGCCACAGCAGCTGTGTAAGGTTATAGTTCACAGGACTGTCTCAGCCTTTTTTTGTTGTTGGTATCTTTCTGCCCTCTAGTGGCCACAGTTGCTTAAAGCAGCAATAATAGCTATAAATTCTCAGTAACAACTGTAATCTTGTAATTAACTATCACAGGGGATGAACAATTAATTGAAATATTATCAAAGTCACAATATGGCCAAGTGAAATTTTTTCATAAGGGGTAAAATGCGTCAATACAGACCATAAATGAACTATAGCGTTGCTACAGAGACGCCCAGGTCTACAGGTCATACTCTACACATGTAAGGGAACATATGTTTGTTTGGTACAGACCTCAACAAAAACTACATCATCATCATTTTTATATATTTTTTTTCCAGTGAAAATGAAACGAAAAAAATTCATCATGAATTATATTAAAACATCTGTTGAAAATAATCACAATGTGATTTTTTGATAAAACTTTACAATAAAACGACCCTTATAAAGGATTTACAAATGGATTATAATTAGGTTATAGATTCACTGTTAACACTTTATAAATCATAAATAAACAATGATAAACAAGTTATAGCAGTTTTTTTCACTATCTGGCAAGCAACAGGTCACTTTTATCTAATGCTTTTAAATGATTTATAAAGTGTTAACAAGCTAATTAATAAGCTAATTATAAACCCTTCATAAATCCTTTATAAGGCCAGTCTTATTGTGAAAAGGTACTAATGTAAAACAGATTCATACCTCCTGCGTAGTCCCACACACGGTGGTTGGTGAGCTGCATTGCGTAGGTGTGCTGCGTTTCCTCAAAGTGCTTGTAGGCATGCCGGCTGACGTAGCGACCGCAACCGATGTGGCCGCAGATCAAACAAATCCACAGGTTCTACAGAGAGAGAGAGAGAGAGAGAGAGAGAGAGAGAGAGAACAGCAAAAGTGTGTCGAGAGATGTTTAAACTGAACTTTACAAAATGAAAAGTGAGTCCACAGACGACCAGCAGACACAGACTGATGTCACTTACCTCCTGCACGCCACACTCGAAGCACTTGTTCTCTTCAACTGGCTCTGGTGTTTGGCAGTACCTGCACACGGGACACCTGGAAACAGAGCACACATTCCTCTACTGTCACACGTGTGCGCGCTCGTCCTTTGTCAGAACACATGTGAGGAGGAGGAGGACAAAAACAAACAACACATGACGTGAGGCCTGGAGAAATAACCAGTGCACTGAGAATCAGGTGACGCAGCATGTGACTGTCATTAGTGAGAAGGTCCCTTTATCTACGTGGTTGTAGATCAGTCTTATTTTTTTAAACTGAACATCACACAGATACAAAGAGTGTCACAGATGAAGGTCAGAGATGATTTTTAGTCACATTTCTTGTTAAAAATAAGGTCAGAATCAGGCTCATCTCTAAAGTCCTGTTTTCTCCACATATTTCTGCCGATAGTAATTCCAGAAAGCAAATATCAAGCACAGTAAATGACTGGGAGCGGCCAGAATAACATGGGAGAATTTAACAGTATGTAGGAAACACAGGGTTTCTTGGTGATCCCGGGGGTGTGTGGGTGTGAGTGTGTGTGTGTGAGTGTGTGTGTTTGTGTAACTCACGAGGCGTCTTCCCACCGCTGGAGACACTGGCTGTGAAAGCTGTGGTTACACAGAGTGGTGAGGATGCCGTTGACCGACTCGTCCATTCTCTCCAGGCACACGGTGCACTTCGGCAGCTCCGTCAGCTCCATCACCGGCAGACTGGCTCCCTGAGGAGGAGGGGGGGAGGGAGCAGGGGGGGTGGGGGTGGGGGTGGGGTTAGAGAAAGTAAACCATGTGCTACGTGGGGTCAAAGGTCTGCAGGTTTTCAATCCTGAACAAACACTGCAGGATCGACTCCACTGAGTTCTTCCTTTGCTCTGGCTGAAAATGCGTTTTGATTAGTATTAATATAGAAACTGGAACCTGCTTTGGACCCACAATGCACCTGTTACCAGAGATAACTGTAAGTTTAAGACACGTCCTTAAATAAAATCCTTTTGGAGAAACCGGATCACATCTTGAGAATAAATCAGGTGATCTGCATCTAACGACTGAATAATGGAGCCATTACCTCGTCAGACTTTATAACCTCTGCCCGCTCCACATAGACCAGTTGGCACACTGCGTCCTCTATGGAGTTGAACTGGCGGCCATTACACGCTGTGTAGAAACTGTCTGCGTCTGCCTAAACAGAGACGGGGAGGAAAACAGCAGCGTTATGAAGAGAGAAATACGCACAGACACGTTCTGTTATAACTACGGCAGCTTTAGAGGCAAGAACCCGCACAGACAACACAACTTCAACAGCTGAAATCCAACAGTCTCCTCGTCTGTGGTCAGATTTGTGAGGAAATGTTTCATGCTGCACAGGAGATGTGGCTAACTCTCTAACCTGAGAACCCAGAGCTGAACGGCAGGGACCAGCTGTTCATTGATGTTTATTCAAATCAGTTTGATACTGAAAAAAATTAATACAAAATTAAAAGGACACGCACTTCACTTGCATAAAGCTCCCCAACAATTTGGCCTGGCTCTCTCTAATTACTATTGGACTTGTTGTACAATGCTCAGCTGCCAGTATCTATTAACATCAGTACAAGTCATTCACTGTCTCATTCAGAAAACATTTTGGTTTCCATCATCTCTCCAGAATCTAAGAACGAATAATTGGTCCCTTCAGTAACAGATCCAGCTTTTGGTCCATGGGCCTCATTGGTCCTCATTCTTTGTAGTTCACATTTATTTCGTTTCCTCCTCCAGAGTCTCGCCAAGACAACTTCCAAAGGTTCTTTACTTCCATCATGTGCAACTCACTCACTCTGACACAAACTTTGGTGCCTGATGCTGAGAACAGATGATAAACCCACTCTTTCCTTAATCTATTTATTTTTCTAGTCATTCCGTTTCATTTCTTTGTTCTTAACGTTCTTGTTGAGGTCTGGTTTCAGGTGGGGTTGTGTTGGACCTTACCTGAGTACAAAACTTAATCAGCACCATGTACTGGTTCGGAGTGGAGTCCCTTATGATCTTCATATGCTCCATAACATCATTAAACGGCGCCAAGAGCTTCATGAGGTCATGGCTGGTCATGGTCGCCGGGACAGTCAGGATACACACCATGGCGCTGCGTCTCACATCTTCAGTCAGTGACGTCATTTTGCTGCAACAAGACAAAAACAAATATACATCCCACGTCAAAGCAGCTACGGACTTCTGGAGTGATGAATATACATGTGAGGTGTGGCTCACTTGGTCTTGTAGAGGTGCATGATGCCATAGATGATCTCCACAGAGGGGTTTCCACTGAAGAACGAGATCTGGTCTGGGAGCTGTTTGGAGGGGGAGTCTGGAGCAGCGCCTGTCGCTGCACTGTTGTCCTGTGAAGCCTCTTGACCGTCTGCTTCAGTCTTTACAGCCTGAAGTTCACTGGTCTGCTCCGTCTGCTCCGCTTCACCTCCTCCTTTATCTAGAGGAGAAGTTCAGTAGTTTCACATCTGTAATTCTCGTCCTTAAAAAGGGTAAACATGGTAATATATGTCATATCTTTAAAAAGACATGAAAACACCAAAACCCACAATGTGATAGTTTCACAATACTTTGACTTCTCTATCTTCACTGTGGCTCTCAGCTCCAAATGTATTTCCTTAAATAGTGTAAATGTACTGTCACAAATACAGCAGCGTGTTGAGGATTTAGGCACTTTAGGTGTTTAGATTCTTCTTTATCACACTGGAGAATCAAGGAGGCGTCTGATCAGCCGCAGGTTTATTCTGCAGCTGAGTCCAAACAAACAGTCATAGAGAACTATCTTCAGAGAAGAGCAAGGAGTCGTAAAAAGACGGTCTAGCTCCAACATCACGGGGTCAGTGTGGGATCACATGAAGAGACATACGACACAGACTAAATCACAGAACACAGCTATGGCTCAGTAATCTCCTCAAACAGCTGACCACTGTAGTTTTTAGCAAAAGTTTCTTAAACAGGTGTAAATTGGGCATTTGTTGGGGACTATTTTCAGTGGCGGATTAAACTAATACTCATTTTAGTCAAAAAGACAGACTTAAAACCAGATGCCAAAATGAACACTGCAGTGTATATGGACAAAATAAACTCCAGTGTTCGTGTTCATCTTCACATTATCGTGCCATAAACATAATCTACAACAATCGACCCTCTTATGATCGTATAATCAAGGAATTAAAGTTTTGGACAGGAAGTCGATAAAATCTCACCACTGACATGGTCTTCAGAAATTAAATATTTTAAGTTTTGATCATTTCATTAAATTTGCAAATGTTCACCTCATCTTTTAACGCCTACATAACCAGGCTCTTATGCTCAGTGAGCTGGTGGTTCCTGGCTCAGGGACATGAGGTGCGTCCACGGAGAACTGTAGGACACCCTTTCATAAATCCTCATTTGGAGAAACGTCTTTCTCTGTTGGAACTCTTCACCCACAGATCTCAAGAGTTTATTATGATGATGAAACTATTCTTAAGGAGGGATCAGGCATGTACAGTCAGGTAGCCATTTGTTGTGTGATTGTTTGTGAGTTTGCGTTGTTTTATATGTATATTAGTGTTGAGTTAAATAAATAAATAAATAAATCTGCATCTTAATTACATTTCATATAAAAATATTGGGTTTGTTCCTGGTAATTCCAGCTCCTGAGGCTTTCACAAGCAAGATGTGATATTGTAGACTCTCCAGTGTGTTGTGGGTCTACCCTGGGGTCTCCTTCCAGCCTGATCAGATTCTGATCAGATGCCTGAACCAACTGGCTCCTTTCTTTTCGTAAAGCAGTGGCTTCGCTCCTCACTCCCCCTGGATGTCTGAGCTCCTCTGAGCTGGATTTCAGAGCATCCTGTAACATGTGTGTCTTACCTGGGCTGGGTTCAAAGGTTTCTATAACCATGTCCCCCATGGCTCTGCTGCCAATGTGTTGGTGCAGTACAGCTGCTCTTTCCAGCTCGGTCTTTCCACTGAGAGTGTGTCTGGCTAAACCCAGAGCTCTGTCCTGCAGCTCCTCCTCTGACATGCCTTCAACTGTAGGACAAAAAAAAAAACAGAGTCAGACCGCTGGTTTTCTCTGAGCTCTCACTGACAAACTGAACCATAGAGTGTCCCAGCACCACGGACACACCTTTACTCACACCTGTGTTGTGATGCAGCTCTAGTTAGATCGGTTCAATAACTACTGAATTGGCTAACAGTAGATATCGGTGTCTGTCATCATGGTTAGCTTCCCGGCTAACTCCACACAAAAGCAGCGACTTTAACATTAACGTGACTCACCGGCTGAGTACTGGAACCCCTGTGGAAAGGGAGACTGGTCGGCTAACTCCAAACGGATAACAACCAGCGACACACTCATGTGTTATGACGGAAACTGCCACTTTCACGGAGAACAAAACAACCCGGTGACAGTTAGCTAAGCTAAACCAGGTCCACACAGCTAACGCGCTGATTAGCTAAGTATAACTAGCTGAAGAAAAAGCCCTTGAGTTACAACAGCGTGTTAGTCATACTGTTTTTGTCTTCGCCGCCCGTAAACACATTTCTGTCTTAAAGCTGAGCCACATTAGCTAGCTATGACTTAAGCTAGCTCCTAACTGTGTGTTCACAGCTGTCTCTATGACGCTCTTCTTCACACACAAAAATAAGGAGCGGCGATGAACCAGAGGCGTGTTGCTGCCACCTACAGGAACTAACCCGGTACTGCGGCAGCCGTTACACAGGTTTATGTAAAATACAGTACGATAAAAATACAACAAAAAAATCCCTGTAGAAATTTTGAAAGTGAACAGGTGTCCCTCAAAAAGCCTTTTGAAGCCGTCACGACTGGCCAAAATAACCTCACACTGCTGGTTTCAAACACAAATGTGGTACTAATAGTGGTACTGACCCCCAGCCCTTTCCTGAATTGAGTATTTTGTCTTAGTTCCTAGAGGTCCCAGCTTCCTTTGGAAGATCAGGATGGAAAATGTGACGTACGGCCAATAGTGCTGTCAAAGCAACCAAAGAAATGCTGAAGTGTATGGCTCAGAGTGAAACTGTCTCATAGACTTCATCATCAGAATGATCTGAATTAGATTTCTGACTCAGTCATGTCTGCATCTCCTTCCACGCCACCTTCCTCCTCACTAAACACTGCTCCAGCTGCAATGTCTGAACATGTCAGATTATGCCTTTGCATTGCAGGCACATAATAAAATACAATAAAACATTTGTATCTGTAACTATTTAATGATTTAAGAAAAAGAAAAGAAAGGTAGACACATCTCACATTTACCTTTTTTTATTTAAAAAATCTTTGACATTCCAGTGTTTCTGTTTTCCATTTTCTAACAAAAGAGGGTGGTGAGATGACACTCCAGATTGTCAACCATTATTCTGAACCTCAACAACACATGTGGTCAGATCACAGACATCTTCTCCATTCAAACAGATGGGTTCAACAATTCAAAACAAAAAAAGAAAAAAGGAAAGAAAGAGGAAAAGGCATTTATTAGCAGATGTGTATGTGATATACACGACTGACTGGAAGGGGAGGATTCACCATGTCCTCACATTTTCACATTGCTCTGCCAAATTGTTAAAACCGTAAAACAAAAAGAAACCCAACTGCACTCGAGCTGCAGCGGCGGCAGTCACCCGTCAGCATCTCCTTTTCTCTCCGGGTCATTATATCTCATTGGTTATTGATAACAGTAGAAGATGATCGTTTTTCACAAACTGAGAAGACGCTGAAGCTGATGATGTTGTTTTGGTTCACGAGTCTTTTTTTTTTTTTCCAGAGGGGAAGAGTTGGTGGGAATGACAAAAAACATGAACACAGGACAAATGTGATAGTATCTACTGCAGCTGCTCTTAACACACTAATGTCCTCGCACACGCTGTTCTGTGAAAAGGCTGCCTCGACTTTTATTTACAATTAGGTCCAATGTCTGTCTGTGAAACGCACCTCTCTGGGTTTGAGCTGCTAACGACCGGAGGTAAGAGCCACCCCCTCCCCCCACCCGAACATAATATCCTACAAAAACTGCTCGCTGGCTGAAAATAACTGTCTGCTGTACAATCAGATCTGGGTCAAAGTCGACAAAATCCTCTCAATGATCCGGACTGAACCAGAACTCACGTGCCAAAATATACACTTTAGCATCCAGCCAATCGTGTCCATTGGTGCCTTTGTATTTGTCATTTTTGTCAAAACACACACACACACACACACACGCACACAAATTTCTTATCGGGGGTTTTTCCTTTTTACTCGATTAAAATAAAGTGGTTGCACACTGATGTATTTATCACACTGCTACAAAGACTTTGCACGTGTGTCGGGAGGAAACAAGGAATCGTGCACGATGCGAGGGGGAATCGATACTGGATCTGGTGAACAGTCACGTTTAAATAAATCACATACGGTCTCTTAAATATCTATCGTCAGTCCAGTCGTAAAGGATTCTGCTTCTTTGATCCATGCCTGATTTATTTATTTTCCTTCTTTGTGCTGGAACAACCTCATTCACACAGACGTGTTCACAAGCAACACTTCTACTGGTGGGAAAGGAAAGGAAAGGAAAGGAAAGAGGAAAAGGGAACGGGAAAGGAAATGGTGGCAGACAATTCAAATTTTTAAAAAAATGTCCTGGTTATTGAACTCATACCAACATTGCTCATTATAATACTGCGACTACAGAGGTGGCTTCACTTTCAATACCAAAGCGACACACAAGATACACACAGAAAAAAAAACAAAAAACAAAAAAAAAAACACACACACACACACGAGACAAAAATAATTCTTGAATGAGAAACTTCAATCCGAAGGCTTTCTGCTGGTAGCCAGGTGTCCATGTCTCCACAGAGTGCATCAGTTTAATGAAAATTGTGCCTGTTTGCTCTTTAAAGAGAGAAACAGCTGGAAAAGCAGCACATTGAAAGAACTTTCCTCCTCAGAGTGAAGTGTGTGTGTGTGTGTATGTGTGTGTATGTGTGTGTGTGTGTGTGTGTGTGTGTGTGTGAGTGAGACACTGTGTTTTACTTCGATTGTTGTCAGAGTCACCGGAGGAAAAAACAAAAACCCAAAAACAAAAGTGAGGAATAAAGATGAAACGTAACTGACCAACAAACAGTATAGTGGTTTATTGTGTCTTATATTCTCATTTAGTCAATGAATTGTGGTAGTTGCTCTTTGCTATGTACAATAATTTATTAGATTAGTTCATCTAAAACTGCTTCTTTTTTTTCCTAATTTGCTCTATTGATTTTAAAGGAGCATGTGTGTTTTTTTTTTTTATTTTTGTATTTTTTTGTAACTGCTGTATAAATTCATGAGTTTACTTACAAGCTTATGTGCTATAAGAGTTGCAAATGTTCCAGAGGTGTGTGTTGAAGTGAAAGAAAAAGAAAAAAGGTCCAGACTGAGAGCTCACAAACGCGGAGTTGAGAAACACGCGAGGGTGGGGGGGGGGAGTAAGAGGCCTCGTAGGTTAGCTAGTGGGCTGAGAGGGGGGGGGGGAGGGGAGGGGGCTGATGGTGGGAGTATAGTCATCTTAATTTGGGGTGCGTGGTGGCGTTCAGATCTTGAGGTTCTTTATAGTTTCCGCTCTCTTCTTCAGCAGATCTCCCACCTCCTGTAGCGAGCGCAGGTAACTGCTCTGCACCTTGTCCATAGCAGCCTTCGCAAACGACGCCTCCTCCTGAAACACACCGGAGGAGGAGGAGGAGGAGGAGGAGGAGGAGTCAGCAAATCTCACACACAAGATAACCTTCACATCATGATACAGGCGGGTCAGGACTTCAGCTTCTGTAAGTTACTGACAGAATAATCGTGACCTAAATCTACAAAACAAATCTCTGTTTTAAATGAAGCTTCATGTAAAATATTTTTTAGCGGTTTATCTTCCCGTCAAAACAGCACTTTCCTTTGGTACTACATTTTTCCCCAACCGCTGAACTACCGTATTCCTACGCACAAGCGCACCTACAGTTCAGACTGTGTCACAGGTCAGACAGAACTAAACTTCACTTTATTTTAATGGAAAGATAAACGGCTGAAACACTTTTCTTTCTGCTGAATCTACTGCAGTAACACACTGACTATACCACTATAACACGGACGACCCCTTTAATAACACATTCATCATTTGAAGGTTTGATGGTTTCAGATTCTCAATGTTAGAATTTGCCTCTTTTCGTTTCCATATGTGAGAATAAACTGAATATCTTTGGACTGAACAATGTAAAAAAACTAACTTTGATTGAATACTTTCACATCAAAAACAGAAGGAAAGAAGAGACGAAGTGGCCCGGAGACAAACAGCGTTCACATCAGAGGAGCTCGGTGTTTGAAAGTTTATATTCTGCTCCGTGTAGCTTTTATTTTTCTCTCCATATCAGAAGAAAACAACAACAACTGAGGAGCTTCTGATCGTCTTTCTATGAACATGTTAGAACAAGAGAAACTGCACACTAACCTGTGTGTATCCTTCCAAGCTTAAACTGGCTAGTTTAAGGGCCGTCATGCCAGTCTCCTGCCCCTTTATATGCTCCAAAGCCTGGGTGAGCAGGTCCTGCAAGCTCCCCGTCAGCTCCTGGAACCCACACACCACCACCGGCTGCAACACACACAAACCGTCAGTGGGCAGCAACAGAATATTGTGTTTTTACAGCCTGTATATACCTGGATGTACCAGAGGATGAGAACAGGGGGTGGGGCGCGGGGCGGGGCTGTACCAGAGCTGTGTTTGCATCCTTTTTCTTCTTCTTCTTCTTCTGTAGACTGGTCTTGAGAGGTCGGAGGATCTTGGCACAGTAACTAGCCATCCACAACACTATGCACACCGTCTGTGCAGAACGACAGTGAGACGTTACAACACGACCACGTCATATTCAGTGTGTGTGTGTGTGTGTGTGTGTGTGTGTGTGTGTGTGTGTGTGTGTGTGTGTGGACGCTGCGATGTCTCACCTCAACAAAGAAGATTAGGTTTTCTAATAAGGAGGGTCGGGTTTTTAATTTGCTCTCTTTCATTTCCAATACATCTCCTTTGCATTTATTCAGTATTTCTGTGGAGGGACAGACGGAGGGAAACGTGAGGCATGAAGGACACAGGATGAAGTTCACCGTTGTTTATTGCTGCTCACTCACCTTGAAGCTGTACTACTAATGATTTGAAACCGTTACAGATCTGGGTTTGAAGCTCCGATGACTCGTCTGGGAAGGCGCAAAGACGGAGAAGTGAGTGTAAAAGCATCGAGAAGATATTTGAGCTTCATGTTACTGCAATTTATCTTTTCATTTACCCAGTCCCACAGTCTCCAGCTCCTGTAGGTGGACAGACAGCTGGAGGGCCGCAGCCTGACACTGGCAGCTCCCACTGGACAGAGCTGGGGCCAGGCGGGTGGAGGGGGGTCCCAGGAATGGATACTGCAGAGCAACGATAACATCATTACAGCGACGCACTCCGCACGTTTCATGTCAGTCAAATGTCCTGAAGAGAGTTTAACTTCCTCACAACGTTTAATGTGCAGATATTACCATTTCCACAACAGGTACGCACCTGTATGCTTTTCTCTGCCATCTGAGCGGCCGTCTGCAGAGTCTGATGGAGCTGGGAGAGCAGGCTGCCGAGGATCGAGCTCTTGTCCCCGACGCCGTTCTCGTTGGTCGTCTCGGAGTTCTGTTGCGAGGGCGCGTGCCCCATGCCGGCCAAGTAGGCGAGGAGGCGAAGCGTTAGAGAGCGTATCCTCAGCCAGACGGACTCCTCCTCTAGAGACCGACGCCGGTGCTCGTCGGTTATCTGTCTGCGGAGGGGGGAGAGGCGGAGGGGTTGATCTGGGGTACGAGGACTTCTGAGTGGGAAACATGTGCCTCCGTTTCTGCTTTCAGTGATTCTTTACCTCTCTTTAGGGTCCCAGCTGGTAAAAACCGTTAGGTCTCTGTTGTCCCTCATGTTATCCCAGGGGATGTCGTCCTCCTCTGCAGACAAAGACATGGCCTTCACACTTTCCTCCAGACTCAACACACTGGAAGACGCATAAAAAAAATAAAAAATAAAAAGAAGACGACATGTGAGTGAAAGATTCAGCTCCACAGGTTTCAATCGTTACACTTCAGTGTGTGTTTCGGGAATATTCTCACATATCAGCCTCAAGGAACAGGTCCAGCAGCATCCTCTCAGTGCGGACTTGAGCAAAGTGCAGCGATTGGTTCAACCTGTTCCTGAGAGCGATGAACTCTGGGATTTTCTCAAACGCACCATACTTGTACGCCTGGATGATATACTCTGAGGTCTGGAGGAAGGAAGAGGGAGGAGGAGGAGGAGAGAAATAAATTAAAGGATAAAGATGAGTTAACGAGGTAACGTGAGAGCGTGAGAGCCAGGGTTCAAGTGTCTCAGAAATCTGATAAAGAAGTGGGATAAACTTACATCTTTCTGGTTAGAGTGGAAAAACCTGAGGGAGAAATTACAGGACTGGGAGGCTGCAGCGAACTGACCCAATGACTCAGCATAACGTGTTAACAGAAACCTGGGAATGAAAAGGAAGTGGTAAGAGCGCATGTTGGTCTGGGCTCGTATTTATCAAGCGTCTCCGAGCAGGAAGTCGGTCTGAGCTGGACACAACTGGCTTTTTAAGGCATTTTAGGTCCGTAAATGAAAAGCATTCAGAGCACAGTCCACGGCAGAGGAGATGCTCGTGTTTTAATCATCTTTTGCAAAACCAAAGGCTCTCACAGCTTTATGGAAAACAGGGAAGAAGCAGCTTATCATCATTCTGTCACCACTGATGAATAAAACTCTGATCACTCACACAGCTCTCAACATAATTCATTCATTCACATGTAAATTAACTGAGAAAAAGAAAGTCCTAATTTACTTGAATTACCAAGGAGGGAGCCGCGAGATACGTTTATTGCTTTTCCCCATTTCACTGACTATATAATTGTTTGAGGAAGTGTTGTAAGAGTTTTGGATCCTTCTGTATATTTCTTTTCTAATCCATGCGAGTGGCCTGCCGAGGTTTAATTACAGCCTGATGAAAAGACTCGTTAAATGATTTTATAAAGTCAGTGTAGGAAGCTTCATCAATGACTCTTTGTTCCCTGAGGTGATTCTTCCGAGGGATTCTGAGATGTTCGTTATAAAAACAGTCCCAAAATGTAATCGAAGGTAACTGTGTTAACTATGTGCTCACCCTATGGTGTCGTGCTGGACGTGCTTGGCGTCCAAGCTGGAGTAGAGGTCCACGACCGGCTCGAAGGCTCCCAGGTGACAGTAGAGGAGCAGGAGCAGCAGCTTGAACTGGGCGTTGGAGGAGCTGTGAGACAGACCCTCCTGCAGGAGACCCAAACCCTGCCACACCATGTTCTCGTCCCCTAAACACCCGGAGCGACACGTTCAGAGACTCGTCATCACTGACGCACAGAAACATGCGGAATATATGAGAGAGAGAGAGAGAGAGAGAGAGAGAGAGAGAGAGACTCACCAGTCTCTGTCCACAGGTCGATGAAAACATGAGCTGCCATGAGACAATACATATCAGAGAACTGCAGCTCCGTCTTCAGAGAGTTCTTCCCTGTGAGAGAGAGAGAAACAAGTCACACATGGATCTTAACCCTAGAAATCCACAGTTCAGTGCCTATTAAATGTTTGTTTTTTCCAAAATTAAAGTGATAAAATTGCACATTTTAAAGGAGTCTTTTATTGTGACCAACGATACAACGATAAGCCACACCTGTCAGGTGGATGGATGATGATGTTCACCAACATCGATTTAAAGACATTTGTGAACAAAATCTAAGACATAAACTCTTTGTGTGTGTGTGTGTGTGTGTGTGTGTGTGTGTGTGTGTGTGTGTGTGTTGAAAAGGTTTTAGATCTTTTATTTCAACTAATGAAAAAAGGAAGTGTTGCATTTATGTTTCTGTTCAGTATAACTGTGAAGAATATAAACCTTTTTCTACCGATCCCTTTTTCCTCATCTGTCAAAATGAACCTGAACTTCTTGCCCCTCGACATCTGAGCTGCATGAAACTGCTGTTTAGAGCAACATTAAAATCTTATGATGCTGTTTAAGCTCAGTGACCAGACAGAAAGAAACCCTGTCTCTGCCTCGTTCCATATGCAAATGTGTTGATGTGTAACAGAGCAGAGAAAAGGTCGGGCGAACATGAGAAAGAGAAAGCAGCGACGGAGCGAGCAGGAGACACGAAGGGAGAAACAGGGTGAAGCAGACTGTGTGACCTTTCTGGCTTCTTCACTCTCCTGTCTCACATCGACTGAAACCTCAGAGTCACGCAGCAGTTTGATTTAGCGCTCGGTTCTCCAGGTGTGGCGGCAACACAAACAACAATCTGCTAAAGGGACTTTTCACTGCCACCATGATGAAATCCCTGCAGCGAATGTACCGGACAGGTGATTCCATTTTTCTGATCGCTGAGAGCGTGTAACACTCGGAAACATCTTGCATTCACACTTTGTTGTTAAGAAAGTCTTAAATCTGTCTGGTGCGGATGATTTCATACGACTTGACGTCTCTCTGCTCCGTGTGTGATCTGATTATCCTGAACAGACGGAAAAGCCACGAGGTCTAAGAACGAACAGAGACGATGTTCTTACCGAACTTGAGCCCGTGACGATAGTGAGCCTTGAGCTCCGTGATAAGCCGCAGTTTCCCGTCCACGTCCAGACTGTGATGCAGCCCGAGCGCTCGACTCAGCTGACACACACACAAATGCCTCTGCAGTGCTTTGGTGTCCTCTGGAAAAGCAAATCCCTCCTCTCCCTGCTCCCCCAGCGGGACCGCTTCACTCAGACGGTTAATGAACTACAAAGGTAAAAAGGGAGAAATGTGTTTAACAGACTTCACAAGCGGCAGCTCAACAACAACAACAACAACAACAACAACGCTGCTGTAACTCGGCCTCACCTGAACGTGCTGCTCAGGAGCGAGCAGATGCAGGTATATTTTTAGGTCGGTGATGCAGCACGGTTTGTCTCCAAACTTCCCAAAGAACTGCACCATCAGCTCTAAAGGCTCACCTGTTTCAACCCAAACAACAAACTGTCACACACACACACACACACACTCACAATAACGCTGGAGCACGTGGTGAAGGGTGGATTTACAGAGTGTGTGTTTTACCCAGCAGGCTTTCTTCTGGACAGCCTCGTTCTCTCAGTCTGTGCATTAATTCAAGACGAGCTAAATACGGGCCTCTGAGTGAACGGGAGTCTTTGCCGTCCTCCCCCTTGATTCTCTCTTCCACAAACCTCACCACCTCCGCCACAGTGTGGTGCACCGCACCCTCCGAACAGCTGGAGACACACACACACACACACACAGATGCACACAGACGCAGATCAGAGGGATAATAATTATATTTATATGTTTAGAAAAACTTGATGCCCTCAAAAGTTTGGCGCTAAAGAAAAGACCAGCACCACAGGAGCTCATGGTGAATCAAGGACACCTCAGCAGGTTGAGTATTTCTGCAGGTGAGGTGTGTGTTTGAGGGATGAGCTCTAATCACTCAGCCAGCGGGTCATCCCAACTCCAGTATACTGCTGCGAGCACAAAGTGAGGACGGATGTAATCAAACCTACAGGCTGAATTTCTCTGAGCTTACTGCAGATGAATCAGTGTCTGTATTTATAACAGCTAACATCTTTTCTGAATTACTAATCCCCTTAGTTAATATCTGATCATCACTTTCCAAAACAGCTGAACACCACTGGTAATATCAGAGCGTTTATTATGAGGCACATGGAAATGAGGAAGAAAGCTACTGTTCTGTTAGTTTACTGTGTTAGTAAAGCTGGCATCTGTTGACATCATTACTGGTTATTTTCCTTTTTTAGAAATAAAAGTAAACCCTTATAATAACAACAAAAAATAAAGATTTGAGGATAAAACAAGCGGAAATAAAAATGCTTTGTACTCACTGCTCGCCTTCTTCTGGCGGACTCCACGACTGATCCATCAGGTGGAAGAGAGATTCAAAGTAGGAGGGATAGAACTGCCAATCATCAGGACTAGAAACAGAAGCGCAGCAGTTTGTTACTGATGTGTACCGTCTGTGCTTCCTCTCACGTGTCTTAAGGTCGTGCAGCAACACTGATCATTTCAGTTTGTTGCATGCCTCACAATCCACCATCGTTTTTTTTTTTTTTTTGGCCTGTCAGAGAGCAGGATGTAAACTTGGTGAACTGTAACTCGAGCCTCGCCCTCACAGGCCAAACGCACACGGCGTTAAGACTCGGGAGTGTCGGCTGATACTCACTTTTTGAGCAGCAGCTTGTGGGCCAAGGCGTTGCACTCTGGCCAGCGCTGTAGTCGCTGGTACAGCATCATACACTTGTTTTCTCTGCTCTGCAGCTCGCTGGTCAGCTTCTCTGCGGGAGGACACGTCAACGTGAGGCGAGGACGCGTCTGAACGGACGCCGCGTCTCAGCCGATGCTACGTTTCTACTTATCCTTAAAGTATTTCTGTTAACATAGTATTTTATCAACCTTGATTCATGAGCTTTGTCCTTATAAATAAAAGAACATTAACTGAAACGACGTGATGCGGGATCAATGACTCACTGACACACCCTGAGTGAAGAAACGAGACACATGAAGGAACTCGCTCAACTCAGACCGACCTTTCAGGCCTTACAGGTGCAGAAACAAGAAATCATACGTCTACCTACCCCCCAGCGGGCCCCTGATCACCTCCAGAGCCTCTACACACTTTCCCAAGCGCTCCAGGATCATGAAATACAGCTGCACCTACAGTGACACATAAAAGCCAGAAACACATGTAGTTACTAGAAGTATCTGCTTGTGTGGTAGTTAGAGAATTAAAAGGAGACCTACTGGAAATTACATTTAGAAAAAGTGAGTAAAGATTTGTGTTTTTCACCTCATCAGACGTTGTGTTTGACTGGAGAGCGCGCAGGTGTAACACTGTACAAACTGAAGCCTGTTTTAGTGTTTGATAAAGCTCATTTAAAATGATAGATTCACAGTTTTTTCACGTCAGGCATCCAGATCTAAATTAAAACAGTTTATTTTAAATTTGAATTATTCCTCCTGTTGAAACTGGCCGTTAAAGAGATAATGTTTCAGTGCACATATGGACCTGTGAGAACTGAGAGACTTAAAAACTGTGAACCTATCCTTTAACCTCTGGGAGCCTCTGACAGATCATGTGACGTGTCGGACTGCCACGGAGGGAAATGGGTCATAATCGTCTGCAGAAACCGACCGAATCATCTGTGCACCAGCCAAGAATCGCTGCTGTAACAGAACGTCATGAGGAAGTGAAAAAGATAAGAATCTTTTCTTTCCTTCCATTTTTATAAACTGAGTCGTTTCACATTCAGGCCAATACGGTAAATATCCAACTGCAGAGGTGTCGGTAAAACTGCGCAACAAACAACTTTTCTAAAGACATAAAGACGTCAGGCAGACACATGACTCACCTCTGCTTCTGCTTCAATCTTCTCCTCCTTCACCATTTTCTCCACCATGCGTTCAGCCAGAGGCAGGAACATGGTCTGGGCCAGTTTTTCATCTTGTGCTGAGATGGCCTGAACAAAAGGGAGCACGAGGATTAACGTCAGAATAACTTCCGACGTTTAAAGGGTGTAAAACGTGTGTGTCGTAAAACTCCTGCTCATACCTGCATCACCAGACTCATGACAGACCAGAAGTAATACGGATTCTTGGGGACAATTTTATACAAGGCCATCCCTGCCTGTAAAGTGCCAAGACGCAGTCGTCAACATCCTCTTCATTACTCTGATTAAGTGTCCGTCTTTTTAAAAATTACCAATGGAGCACAAAAGCCACAGCTGTTAGTCACGTGTGTTTGCATGTTCATATGCGAGTGTTGACGTGAGCGCTCTCACCTGCTGCATCTTCTTGTACTCGCCGACACGGGCGTACGCCATGAAGAGGTGAGAGTGATACTCCTCACTGAGCGGGACCTTCTTCACTGCAGCTTCATACAGCTTGGTCACCAACTCCGCTGTCGACAACAGGGCGCGACGTTTCAACATGCAGTCATTACGGTGTTATTACCAGCCTTCGTGTGTGTGTGTGTGTGTGTGTGTACTCACGGCGTTGCATCTCTCTGTACAGTATGGTCAGAGCTTGTAGCGAGTTGTCGTCAGTGGGCTCCAGAGTGGCCACTTCCTGGGCCAGAGTGAAAGCTTCATCCTGCTTCCCGGTCCTCTGGAGGCCGATGGCCTTCAGGACCTGAGAGGACAACAACACGGAGTTACACACAGAACAACAGAGACCAATAAAAACCTGAGAGAGGTTAAAAAAAAAAACAGCTGTCAGGAGCCACAAACGCAGAAGTTTTAATGTAAAGTTTTCTGCAGTGTGTGTGTGTGTGTCAGAGCTGGACATTTAAACGCTGCGTTACAATGGCACCAAAGGTCCTTACAACTGCAATAACTCACTGTTTGTGGCCACTTGGGGGGCAGCAGAAACAAGTTCTGAACACATCACTGACACACCACCACCTTTTTAAAATCGATACGGTGAACTTCAGTTTTAATTTACACACGCGTGACGATGAATCTCAGCTCAGTGTTCCCTCTGTTTTTAGCTCTGTGTTCGGTCTCCACCGGCTCCTGAGGGAAATGTCTGACTCTTTAGCTGCTAAATGCTCCGCTATGTTCAGCAGCTGCTCTCTGACTGTGGACAGTGACGGTTTTTACAGATGTTTCTGCTGAAAACAGCTGTCTGCTGAGGCCAGAAAACGGACGCTGTGAGTGTGAAGCAGAACAGTAACCGTGTGTCCGGACAGATAAACGATGAGCTGAAACTCCCTGTAGCACTCGGCTGCAGGTCGACTACGATCGACATCTTTTACCTTTTCTTCATACGTTTTTATATCATAGAAATACTGATTCTTGCTTCTTTCACCAGGAAACAAAACTCTTCTTGGTGCATCTGCATTTGTGTTTTCGCTGCATCTGAAGAACTGTGACTATTAGGCAAATTACACCAATGAGACATTAAGAACCGACGCTGCTGTCTGTGATGAGTTTGAGGGGCTGTGACGGAGACACGCAGAGACTGTTTGATGGTTAATTGTTTAATAATTAATGGTTAATTATTTCTGCTTTAGAACATAACGTGACATAAATGTTTAAAAATGAATCAGCGACTGAAATGTTGCGACTCTTCTTCGCTTTGTTCCCACATCACCACTTCCTCCCTCTCCACACAGTCTCTCTTTCTTTTAACAATTCAGGAAGCCAGAAACATCACTTTCTTTTTTAAGTTAATAAATAACAAAGAGAGGTCCACCCCTCGTCCTAATATTGATACTACAGTAACAGTTCCTTATTCTTTTTTAAATGAAGCAACACGCAGGTTGTAGCAGAAGTGGAAACTGTGTTTGATAATTCAGAAACATTCAGATGTTTCCTCAACCATGAGTAAGAGAGGGACTTTTTTTGCAGCTGGACCTCTCACACAGGAATAAATTTAGTGTCTTCAGTCAAATGCAAGTGGAGTTCATGAGTCGCTGAAAAGGCACTTGGTCCTCTGGGAAAGTTTCTGCGGTGTTAAAAAAAACCCCATTATTGAATCCATCATATGAATAATTTCCTGTGTGAGTAACTCAGATAAAAAGTGAAATTGTCACATTTAAAAACTTCCATCGAATTGCTCACAATCTTTGTGGTCTGATGAAAACCCAGGTGCTGCTTTCAACACTAAGTGCTCTTGTGATGGTTTAAACCATCCTGGAGTTTGGAGAATAAACTGGTTCTCAAATGAAACAGAGAGATAAAGGTTCATACAGAAACTTTACTTCTGCTGCTCGATCCCGTCTACGCTGCCAGCTCCACATACGTCCACAAACATTTCTATTGCAGAATAAGTTCTGTCTAATATTTCCATTCTTCTTTTGAAATACTGGGAAGCTTCTTCAGGAATCTAAAATATTCAAATGAAACAATCTCAATAAAATCTTCAAACTGACCACAGTTCAGACATAAGCGACATAATGCAGAGAGGGAGAAAACGAAGCTTCTCAGAAGAGGTTAAGAAAAAAGGTAAAAGTTAAATCTATTTCCTTTTACAATTATCTCTGACTTTCAGTAGACCTTACACTAAGTTCATCAAACCTTCATTGTGAGGAAAGAGAAACGAAAGCAGGATGAAATGTCGTCCTCAACAAAGAGGCTCCACAAACATTTCACATGTGACAAGTGTTTTTACTTCAGGAATATCAGACAGATGTTCAGGTCAACCTCAGCTACTGCAGCAACACTCTCATTTCAGAAGCTCCAATTTGGAGGTCAACGTGTTTTGAGGTGCGGGTGACAGTGCAGTGGGTTTGTCATTAAAGCCATCAGGTCACAGCTTTAAACCACTGCAGCAGCAGCAGCAGCAGCAGCAGCAGCATGTGTTCATCCCCATCAAAGTGTCCTTGAGCACAGTGCTGCACTCTTCTTAGTCTGGTGAAGTGTGTGCACGTGTAGAGGTGCAGCGTATGCAAAGGGAGAGATTATAACTGCGTTACACAACAGCTGGAGAGTCCTCTAACAACATATGGAGATGTGCGGTAGGTGAGGACATGCTCAGAGACTTTCCAGAGCAGCGTCAGTGCACTAGTAACTGCTCTGTACACACAGGGCTTCCTAAGAGAAATGTGCAGATCCACGTAGAGAAGACAAACAGAACTCCACACTTCCCTGAGTCACCCACCTTGGCACAGTGCAGGTCCTTATGTTTCTTCAGCAGTTTATCTGCCTGCTGTATCGCCATTTTATTGTTGCCATTGTCAAGGTAATCTGTGAAAAACACACAGAAAACAATGTTATATTGAGGATGTTCGACTTGAATGCATCACGCATATAACCAGAGTTTGAAAGCAGGGCTGAAACTGACTCATTAACGATTAATCTGCTGATTATTTTTTTCAATCATTTAATCATTTAGTCCATTAAATGTAAAACACAACATCTGCAAATGTTTGGTTTTGTTTTGTTCGACCCAAAGTCCAAACACACAAAAATATGTAGTTTACGATGATAAATGACAAAAAAAGGCAGGAAGTCCTCTGTGGCTTTGTTTCTCTAGGTTTGTGAAATATATTTGTTAAAAACAGTTGCCAATTACCTTTCTGTTGATTGATTAAACGAGTAATTAACTAACTGTTTTCGCTCTAATCTCACATACTAATTAATGCATCAGTAACAATAATATAATGATATAATAGTGAAACAGTCACAGAGGACATTTCTTGATACTTGAAGTACATTTGGATGATTATACTGAGATACTTGCTGGTGTAATGGAGTATTTCTACAGCGTGTGAAGGACCTGAATAATTCCTCCACCACTGTTTGATTCGTAGCGACTGAAACTGAAGAGCATTTCACACACCCGGACTGAGAATGAACAGCTTTTGATGGGAATTACTTTTTCTCCTTTCAGTGAAGTTTTAGCTCAGCAGCTGCAGTGAAACCAAAACTCAGTTTGAAAACTAAATAAGTAAACTCTCAATATTAAATGTTAATGTCAATTTTAAGTTAAATGTCTATTTTATTCATGACTGCAGCGTCAGTGCTGCTGAAGTTATCAACCCTGGATCTGAACGATGCGTTCGGGTTCCTCAGATTTCTGTGGGCTTCCGTCAACTTTGGTTGATCTGTGATGACAGTTTAAACAGAGAGAATAGACATGACATAATCACAGTGTCCTGTCTGGCACGGTTAATTTTGGCAACCAGCTGTCCTGAGGAGGCTGAACTGGGGTGTCAGTGTGTGTGTGTGTGTATGTGTGTGTGTGTGTGTGTGTGTGTGTGTGTGTGTGTGTGTGTGTGTGTGTGTGTGTGTACGCACACGCATACTTCAGCCTTTGCCATCCATTCAGACACACATATAGTTATGGTGTCAGCTTTACGTATTAATACACTCGGTTATCTAGTTAGGCTACTACTAATGATTAATTTCTTTTTTTATGACTTGATATTTTTATTTTGAAATAGAACTGAAATAGAGAATAAGTTAGGACTCAGTTCAGAAAAAAACAAACTTTTTCAAATGTAAACTTTCTCTTGGAGCAACAAACAGAAGGACCTGAAACAGTTGTAAAGCATCTGGAGAGCAGTGCTCTGTTTCTGCATCTTAAATGGATTCAGTCTTTGCTTGTTTATTTCCTCTTTATTAAGAAATTTGTGTAATTTTACATCTGGTGTATATTCTCATGATGTTTGACAGTGAGTCTGTCGTCATGTGGTCAAGGAGACTCCTACTGTAGCTGGAACTAACACAGAGGTGGTTTCTACTATGACAGGTGTTCATGTGTTTGAACTAGTGATTATTTACTTTACCTTTTATTCTCCCAGTTATTTTCTCAATAAAATGTTAAAGTTTATTTTGGAGAAAAAACTGATAAATCTCCAGAACAGATTCCTGAGATATTCTGTTGGTTTACTGGCTGGGTAATTGATGATGCTTTAGTATTTAACTTACTGCTCGTTACTTTCAAATACAGCTGCAGCTTTTAGTTGATTAATTGATCAATCGTTCGATAGAAAATTAATCAGCAATGTTTTGGAGGATTGAATAGCCATTTAAGTCATTTTTTAAAGCAAAAAATGTCAGACATTTGCTGCTTCTTGATACTTTTCTTTGTCACACCATATAATATATTTGGACAAGACATTTGTCACTTTAGTCTGTGGGAAAATATATTGGGTATTTTAATATACAGGTGCAGTTTAGTGGATTAATGAAAGGAACTAATTTGATAACAGATTGACCATTTAAACCATTTAAGTGTCAAACATCCATTCCAACTCATCATTGTTGTTTTTCTCAGTTTACTGTGACAGTTAATTCAATATTCATACATTTTGGACTGCTGTTAAAACAAGGCTTCAGGACATTGTCTCCCGACTTTCTGTCATCTTAAAGACAAGACGATTAATTGAGAAAGTAAGTGACAGATTAGTTAATAACAAAATAATAATCATTAGCAGACGCCCTACAATATTTCCCTCTGTGACATATAATGGAAATACTCGAGTAAAGTACAAGTACCTCAAAAATTGTAGTCCACTACTCGCCAGTAGAAAGCAGCTGTCAAACAGCCGGGGTTCCTACCAGTTCTATCATTTACTCATAAACAAAAAGACAATATAACTCCACTATTTCTACTGTTCAGCAGCACAGTACAACGCTTATTAACAGGTCCATGCTAACTTGCTAGCAGGCTAGCGCCTCTCATGTACAGGAGTTAGCTTGAAGCATTGTCCTTTAACTGTTATGAGCCTAATGCTAACTAGAAGCTAACCGCATTACATTTAGTTATCAGGAAACAAAGTGGTTATCTGTTCAGACTGCACCCGGACACCCGACCACAAAGTAAATACCTGTCAACCGGAGGCACAATAACCCACATTTCACAATTAAACTACTTTTCTTTTTAGCGTGGAAGCGGCTGCAGCATGTCCGCGGCTAGCTGACACATTAGCAGGCTAGGCTAGCTGTCAAACAGCGACCGTTAGCACGAGAAACTCTTCGAACCGGAGGACACAAACACCACCGAGAATGTCTGCGGGTTTAACGAGGAGACACCCGGTTTCACCCACACAACAGCCCAGGTTAGTCGTGTCCTACCTTGGGCTCGGTGACAGACCGGTTAAGGTGCACTGTCATCGGGCGCTGCAGGCAGCAGAACCCGTGGTTGGAGCTGGAGGGGCCGCAGCGCTGCCCTCCGACTCCAACACCCTCCACTTCAAACACATGCACCGGTACAGACCACAACAACGGTTAGCAAACCTCCAAACACGCATACGTGTACAAGTCCACAATGAGTCCTTACCGTATATAGGTCTGAGTCTCCTGTCGTTGGGGTCCTGCACATGGCCTCTCGCCGCCATGGTGGAGTTTACCTGCTGGGTAAATGTTCACACATGCGCACTGAGAGCTGCCCCGAGGAGCGATTAAAGGATTTAGTCTGGGCCGTTTTCTGCCCCTCAGCACTGGAGGAAGTACTCACTGAGGTAAATGTAGTAAAACCATACTGTGAAAATACTCCATTACCGTCAACCTAAGTAAACTTGAGGAAAAAAATGTTTTCAGGAAAATGTACCTGGTCACAAATAGATTATTATTAGTCCGGTTCATTTTTATTTGTAAAGCACCTTTAATACACAGTGACACTTGAAGGTGTTTAACATCAGCATAAAAGCAACAAAGAGACAAAGTCTAAAAAGTAACGAAATGCAATAATTAAAACATCAAATCAGCACACAAAATATCATTATTATTATTATTATTACAGCCTTGAGAAAACCTACAGACTTTCTGTTTATTTCATTATTTTGTATACATAACCGTACATCAATACAGCAGAATTAAAGCTGTTCAGTATAGTGTAATTCAGTATACAAGTAAGCATAAAAAACGTAAAGAATTTAAATTTTCAATAATCTTTCTTCCCCAATTTTATTTATTCTTCCTCTAAACCTTCAGATTTTGTACTTTCGTTTTTTTCTTTTCCTTTATTTATTCAGGGAAGTTTCACTGAGGCAAGGTTCATGGTGATGATGGTCAGTGTGGTATTTATATCATAAATGCACCAAAGATGTTCTCAGACCATCCGTGTTGCTCAATTTTTGTGGTGTTGCTGACTGTCACATAAAGAGCATCATCTTTGTTCAGGCGAAACACTCCACCCAGGTAACTGTTGGATCGAGACTGATGTGTCTCTGGGGAGTATTTCCTGGACTGCAGGAGGGTCAGACTTCCCCCAGTATACTTTTGAGTCTCCATACTGACAGAATGGTGAAATACACCTTTGTCTAAGAAGAAAACCTTTGAATAGACATAATAATAACCCTCCTTCTGAATGATAAGACGTCTGTCTTTGTAGCTCATTCCATAGAGGAGAGGGTCTGTGATCATGCTCCACGCCATGATCTGCTGTCCATGAACTACATCTGTTCCATCTGGAAATACACAAACAAGACAACAACAACAACAACAACAACAGACATCATGAATAATGCTAAAACCTGATGAATACAAATACTGTGTAATTCACTGAAAATGATGATAAATGATACGACAACATCTCTGGTCTCACCTGTCAGATGTGCAACTGGTTTGGAAGGAGGAACATCATGACCAAGCTTTTCAGTGAAAGATGCAACTTCCTGACCTGAGTGAGGAGCAGACACCGAGTCTCTAATGTGGCTCCAGTAACTGAAGATATTTATTTATTTATTTATTAATAAAAAGTGCTGAGACATACCTGCAAAGAGCTTAGAGGACGACGCTGTGGTGGCCTGCAATGCAAACAAAGGTGATTTACCTCTTGTGTGTGTGTGTGTGTGTGTGTGTGTGTGTGTGGGGTGTGTGTGTGTGTGGAGATGCAAAGTTGTGAAAATAAGATGCAAAAGACTCCAGTCTCTCCAAATGTGAGCAGATCTTTCCACATTTTTCCAAGCCATAAAACTGAAATTGTGTTTCAGATTCACTTTTTGTTTCCCTGTGATTTCATTTGACAGAGTGGGACAGATCCATGTTTCTGGTAAAAAAGAGCAAAATGTCACAGGGCAGAGACCACTTCCTGTTCTTCACTTCTTCACCCTCCCTTGTTTCTACATGACTGTCGCAGTGACCGTCCGCCATCACTGACCATCAAGTCTGGTCTGTGCAGTTCTCCATAAATGAACCAGACTTTGATGCACTTCTCCATCTCTGCTTCGCTCTCTTCCCCATCAGAACCAAATACTTTCACCATCAGCAGTTTTAATTGGAGTGAATGTCACTTTTGTTTATGTCTCAAGGCTCCTTTGGTTTAAACTGATGCTTCTGTGAAGTGTGAATCTCACAATATGCTGATGACATTAATATTATTTTAAGCTGCACCACTGAACTCCCTCCTGGACCGGAGATATTTCCAGACTGATTACAGACAGAAAGGCAGAGCAGACAGTTTCCTACAGGTAGCACGTGACTCAGAGAAATGCATAAATTACATTGACATTACTTCATTATTTACTTATTTATTGTACAAGTGACAAGTGCAATTTTGAAACTCATATCCTTACATATTTCAGTTTTTTTCTCTTTTATATATTATAGTATAAATACATATTTTTATATTTAATGTATATATTTATCTTGTGTATACATATGTACTTTATAACCTACTTCATATTCTCTATTCTCTGCTGAGGGAGCAACTGTAACTCAACCTTATTTCCCCCTGGGGATCAATAAAGTAATGTGATTCTGATTGATTCTGATTGCAAAGTTGTGTGAACAGTAGTGACTGTCTTGGCATTTCCATCTTGTTTTGTAAATGTTGCAGCTCTCATCAGCAGCACACGACGTGTGCAGCTTTCATGATATTTCATGTTGTCATTTTATCCTGCAGTGTCACTAATTTCAGCATTTTGTTATTTTTGTCTTGACATTTTACCTCAATAGAATCAATATATGTTTATTATACTTCAAGTAATTGGATCTGTGCAGGAGGATATTCAAGTACAAATGCATAAGTTGAGCAGATACTCACAGATTCAGCTCGGTAGAGACGGTAGATGAAGCAGGCTTCTATGACCATGCCACACAACGCCACGCTCACCATCAGGAACAGCAGGGTCTGCGCCCCCCCCACACGCCACTGCCACTGGCCCAGCCCGGGTCGGCTCTCCACCACATGCACAGAGAGAAACTTCTCCTCCTCAGTCACTTCTACAGGGCTCATCCTGAAACTGCGGTCCTCCAGAAGCTGTCAGAGGACGTGGGAACGAGCAGAGACTCGAGACGTGAGAGACAGAGAAGTGTGAAAAAGCAGAAACATGGGCGGACCCAGCGGTGGTTGGTTCAAGTGGAGGTGGCTCACATGACAAGCTGTTTTAACATTTTATCAAATTCATCTGCAATTACATGTTGGATATCAGTATTTCATAGTTTTCTATTTCAGACGGGGTTTTATTCTAGTGTGAATTTTATTGCAGGTCAAAAATATAACTGTGGATATCTGAAAGTGAAAGCTCAATAAAAAGGCAAAAGTGGCATCAGTCATTCCAGGAAGAATCTGAAATGTTCTTTTTGAGGAGGCAGAAGTGAATTACAGAAATCTGCACAACACATCTGGTCTAGTGATTAAACTTTACAACAAGCACTTAAGATTTTTTGGTATATTTATATACTGTTTAAGGATTTAAAGATTTCTCAAACTGAATTTTGATTAGGAGAAATAAAAGCTGTAGGTATTTTGAAATACAGTTTCTACTAGTAAGAATGTGTTGATGTCTGTCACTGACATTCTCACCAAGAAGAATATTATTTTGATGATGAGAAATGTTATTAAGGATGTTTAAGGTATAACTGTGGATGGACCAGCCTGTTTACATGTCAGCAGATATCAACAATACATTTGAGGATATCTGTTTGTCATAAGTGTGTTGAATATGAACACGTATGATGAGAACAACATGTTGGTATTAGTTTGGTGGTGTCAGTGTAAAGTGATGTGATGAGTGTGTACTGAACAAGACTGGAACCTAAACTTTTTCATTTGGATTGTTTTTATTTTGTTTTGTTTCTTTTGTCTTTCCACAGTTTTGTAATTATCAGAAGATCAAAATAAATATAACGTCCTGATCAGGAACCAACGGCTGTGTGTGTGTGTGTGTGTGTGTGTGTGTGTGTGTGTGTGTGTGTGTGTGGGGCTCTTGTTTCAGCGTTAGGACAGACTGATTATATTTCCACACAGTGTTCGGGGCGTAAAGCAACTTTAAGATCTGTAGAGCGAGTGTGTGGTGAACAATAAAATACTCACAGTCACACGTTCCTTACACAACAAACAGGAAACAGCACATTGATTCTCTTATTTGTTCAAATTTATTAGATATTCTGTTATGTTCCATTGTCTAGACCTTCTGTCACAGCTCGACAGCCGTGAAAAGAAAAAAAAAAAAGGAACTAATTGTTTTACATTCACTACTAATTCCCCTGAATTTTGCCTTATCAGAAAAGAGAAAATTGAATACATTGTGAATCTTTGTCTTTCAAAAACAAAAAAAAAAAAAGAAAACATAAAAGAAAAAAAAAAAAAAAACAGTAGATTTTGCAAGTGCTTATTCATGATTACAATAAAGAAAACAGTATTTTGGACTCCATCTGTTCCCTAAGCTTCTATCCCTCCCCTCACAGTCATACCCTGGCTGGCATCACTGGTAATGCTACAAAACTGTACATCACACAGCCTGTTCTAGTTCTACGGGGCGACTCCCGTCAGCGTCAAACTCGCTCAGGCTTTTCACTCCTCGTCGGTGAATCTGAGGTCGAGCTGAAACCAGTTTGATTTTGAGGAGGAGCCGCCCCTTTAACAGGAGTTCCCTTCTTGTCTGATGCAGTTCAAGAGCTTCTCAAAAGCACTGATGTACTGATCAAACGGAAATGGAGAATAATCGAGAGAAAAGAAATCTTTAAAAATAAAAAAAAAAAAAGGAAAAATGTAAAGAATACAAAAAAAAAAAAAGAAAAAGTGTTGAGCATGCAGATCAAATCGAGTTTTAGTAAATCCACCTGTCCTCATGTAATGATGATATAACGGGTCCGCGTCATGCTTGTGCAGGTGTGAAACATGTCAGCGTTCCTGCGGGTCAGAAACGTCCTGCATAGTTTGACACATCTATTTCGTAGCTGTACATTCGTAAGCATGGATGAGGTACAGTTAAACCGTGGTATGAGCAACAACACGTGGACAGTTTGCTCCACTTCACACACACACACAGCACACTGTCCACAGAGCTGACGTCAGCTGCTCTGACAACATCACGACTTCCTTAAAGTTACTTGTAGCAGTACAGTATAATATGATAGACCTGACAACGCCTAGTAGCTGTGAATATCCCATTCAAGTCAGTGTTTGTATGTACAGTTTGTCCACTTCTAGTTTAAAGTACACTTATAACCCTCTTTGCACCTGTCCGACACAGACCACACACAGATAGCTCACAACGAAAACCTAAGAAATTTTGGAGACACTCATACCTGATTGAATAAACAAGGTCTTAAATCGCAGCTGTAGAACTGCGCTAAGCTACGTCATGATCATAGAAAACAATCACTAAATATTTTCACCTAGAGCCCGACGGGATCCGCACAAGTTCAAAGTAAAGACGGCTAAACTCAGCTCTCGCTGCGACAGAACGGCTACAACCTCAATCAATGCAGCCACAAAAAAGAAAAAGAAAAGTTGTGTGAGCAGGATGAAGACGCCACCTGTTTCCAGATCAAGGCTCGTACTAGATCACCCAACACCGATCTACACTGTAAGAGTCAAATCTATCTAAGCTTCGCCAAAGCAGTTTCATCCTCAACTAGAACCAGTCAAGAAAAGCTCAGACCGACCTCGAACCTTCTCCAAGTTAAGGTCGATGAAAAGCTTAAAAATTCAGTATACATGGTGAAAATAAAAAATAAAAGCTATGCACTCAGAACGCTTGTCAATCCACAGCTGCAACACACATCGCACATCTGCCTGGACCCATTCGCTCTGTCAGCTGAGAGAGGAAACGGTAGTTTGAGAGAGATATAAAAAACTGCCTTGATTCATGCACACGGCAACGCACAGACTCTCATCCTCGTTTGTTTTAGTTTTAAGAAAAAAGAAAAAGAAGAAGAAGAAAAGCTTGTGTGGAGGCAGTGGGAGCCTCCAGTTAAAGCCCTAGCCAAGGAGAAAGGACATGCAGCGACAGCATGAAGCCGAGTTCAACAGGCTGAGCGCACACGCCGCGCACACGCCTCCATATCAAGCTGAACGTTCTCGTCTCAGTCCCAAGAGTGACAGTCCTTTAAGAGTGAAGGCAGTTGATAACACAAACAAGCACACAGATGCACACGCTAACACACAGGTGTATTGTACAGACTCTCCTAGAGGGCGCTAACCCCCCCCCCCCCCTCTAAAATCAACACAAACAATCCACTTGAGCGAAGCTGCACTGCAGCGACTACACACATGCAACGACAGTTTACTGAGGAGTTGCTGTTGTCCACATGCACTTGTGACGGAGAGCGGGAGGAGGGCCGGTGTGCATGTTGAAATGTGGGACGTGTGTGCATGTGAGGAGGGAGGGGCGGGGGGTACGATAGCAAAGAATTACCTATCATGCATGAGCATTATATCTGCTTTGAACCATAAACAGACATGGGTTAGCCTCAAAACTCAAAACTGTAAAATAAAAATAAAAACAGAAACATCAGTATTCCCAACCGACTGCCAGACAGAGGGGACAGTGAGACACGGGGGGGGGGGGGGAAGCTAGACAAAGTTTACCTAGCACGAGAAATGATAGACGATACTGGAGGGGGAGAGACACGGATTTAAGTGGAGACAGAACAGTTTTTTTATAAAATACAAGGAGGGGGGGGGGGGGGGTACATGGTCCAATACCTGCTAAAGTCATCTGATACCAATTTTTGTGGGAATCTGTTTCGCTAAAAACAACATTCTAATTAATTTAAAAGGCTTGACTTTTCTGAGTCACGGTTTACACACCTGAATAAAAACAAAGCCCATTGTAATAATAAACTAACAATTACATATCAGGCAATTAACGTTCTGTGCAAAGAGTTTTTTTTTTTCTTTTTTCTTTTTAAATGTATGCAAAACCATGTTTTTTTATTTTCGGGGTGAACAGGAGGCTTGTGATTGGGGTAGGATCTGTACAGTACTGTTAACCAATCGTGTCAAACCCCCCAATGAATCATGTGAGACAGGAAGAGAAGAGGCGACGTCAGGGCCACTTCCTCATCGTGGTGGACGTGTCTCGGATGACATCATCGTGACAGGGTTTGGTTGATTTGCCTCATTGCTCATGAGCAGCACTGGTGCCTCGAATCGGACCTGTTTTACGCAGCTGTGGGACGGAGAGAGAAGTTTTATGTTCAGTTCGGTTAAAAAAATAAAATAAAAATAAAACACAGACTAGATCTGTCATGCAATAAGCCATGCACATGCAGGAAAATCAGCTGACTTCTAAAAAACGAAAAAAGGGAAAACATTTCAGCGAGGTGAGTCGTTATCTTTATCACCACGGTGATCACCACAGAAACATCAGGAGGGAAAACGAAGTGAAAGCACAGAGAGTGACGGAGCTGAAAGAAAACGTTAGTGAGTGTGAGCGAGGGCGACTGATGGGTTTATGAACAGACACTACAGACCATGGCCCTGTTCTTTGTGCGTGGACGACCAAGAAGCCTGGAGTTCTTTCTGGAGACGCTGTCCTTCAACCCAAACCGGCACCAGTCCGGTTAGATTTCTTTTAAAAGGCACATCAGATACGACTCTTTTCTTTAGAGGCTCCAGTAGAAAAAGACTAAGCAGCTAGCAGCTCTGTGAGGCTAAATGCTAACATGCTGAGGCTGATGGGAAAATCAGTTTTGCAGGACACTGAATCTTTGAGCTGATGATGGTGCAAGATGAAAAGTAGTTGCAGTTCATCCTGAGGGACACACAGACGTCTAAAAATCACAGATGTCAGCCTCATGTGGCAGCAGAGGAAGAATAAGTAAATAAAAAATATCAGGGGATCACTGAAGTTAATGAGATTCACTGTCTGGGGACCATGAATGTTTGTACAAAATTTCATGTGGACAGATAATATTGTTGTTGAGATATTTGACAGACATGTTGAAATGAAAATCTTATAAAAAAGTTTCATAAGTTGTGAGTAAATGACGAAGGTTCCTCGGCTTTAACTAACGAGTAACGAGCACCCGGCTCTACTCATGTCAGGAAAACTTGATGTTCACGTCCTGGTTAAAGAACAGAGCACATGGGATGAAAAAGAAAAGGAAACACAGCAGAAGAGACGTGAAGCACAAGGAGACCTGAAAACAAACAAACAAACAAACAAACAAACAAACAAAACAAAACAAAACAAACAAACCCAGAGATTTTTTATCGAGTTAGACAGCAGCTGGAGAGCGGAGGGGGGGGGGTTTATGAAAGGCGTGACGTGGCGGAGGATGAGCCATGCAGCTGCACCACTGCTCCTCTGTAGAGACTTACTCAGCCTGCCTCTAGTGTTTGACCTACAGTGACGGGCCTCTACTCGTCTGTTGCAGAGGTCCCTCGCACATCTCCCTTCTGACGCATCTGATGTGAAATTCAGGAGTAAAAAAGGGTTAATTCAAGTAGATTTAAATGTGTTGCGTCGGCTCCGGCCGTCTGCTCTGAGCTCAACACGATCATCTGTACGATTGGAATTCATCCTTCGCAACAGAAATCATGTGGAATTACAATTACAATATTTCTACTGCATTCTTTTATTTCTGCCTCGAACTCAAGCCACAGTAGAGTCCAGCTGAAGTTTGTGTGTGTGTGTGTGTGTGTGTGTGTGTGTGTGTGTGTGTGTGTGTGTGTGTGTGTGTGTGTGTGTGTGTGTGTGTGTGTGTGTGTGTGTTTGAGGAGTTAATTACCTCCTCGAGCTCTTTCTGAGTCTCCTCCTCCATCCGCCTGATGTCCTCCATGGTCAGACCCACCCATTTGTCGATCCAGCAGAACAGCTGGCGGTGGAAGTTGGTGAAAATACGCTTTTCTTGCTGCAGAGCGAAGGACAAGAATTAAAATTCAAGTTAAAAAAGGATTAAAGATCAGAAACATGCAGGACTAGAGCAGGGGACTCGTTTCCATCTCCAGTCCGTCTACCACTTCGATATTTAACAAGCAGGAGACGTGAACTATTTTTACATAATTACAGCTGATGCACTTTTGCTTTGCTCTTGCCCTTCATCATCTCTTCTTCAACCTCAACTGTGCTTTAATCTCTCTCTCTCTCCTACAGGTGCAGGGATTTTCAGTAAGTAATACTGACATGTTTCTGAAAGCTCTGTCTCCCTCTGCTGTGCAAAACAGAAACAACAGCCGTCACTGAAATCAAGGCAAAGCTGTGGAGATGTTGACGACGATAAACAAGCTCAAAATTCATGTTGAAGTTAACAGACTTAATAAATTATAATTTTCTGTTAAAAACTACAATTAAAACATGAAGAATAAGAAGACACTGCATTACCCTGTGGATGAAGTTTTCCACTTTGGTCTGCAGACCCCACCACCTGAACTTGACGGTGACCAGTTTGTACGCACACATGTAAGGACAGTCTGTCTTCAGCTCGTTCTGGGAGGGAGGGAAAAACACAGAGTGAAGAGCACAGGTCAGTCAAAGGTCCAGGAGGACGGAGCGTGAACATCAGGACGTTCTCAACATCTGCTTTCTGTTCCTGTGTCAGGTACCTTCCATTCAGGGCCCAGAGGTCCTCTGTCTGTCTTGGCAGAGTGGAAAAGAGCGGGGTCTTCTTCTGGCTTATAGTCCTGAAAGAGACCGAGGAGACATCAGCACCCGGCAGGAAACAAACCTGTACCTGAGCCCCACCTGTCACCCACAGCTGCTGCAGGAGGAAACTGCTGTTGCCGTTTTGTCGACAGCAGGAAATGTGCTCAGAACTAATTCACAAGAGTCAAGTACAGACATAAAACAAAGAGTCACATCAGAGATTTTCAAGAGAAGAAAAGCCGGCTGTTTATCATCTGGATGTTTGGAACATGTAAGAAGGAAATGACCAGAGTGTTTTCCTCCGAGATCTTGTGTTTTGTTTCTGTTTCTTCAGCATTGAGAGCATCGCACCAACTTGTTGAATGCTTTTCCTTCCTCATAAAACATTTACAAAGCTGATTTTTTAAATCTTAAATCACACAATGTTTCCATCCACAGTTGCTGCCTTGCTGTCTTCTTCTTCTTCACTGAACTTTACAGGACGAGTTCAAAACGATACTCAGTCGTCCATATTTACACAGAAACAGATTTTGCTTGCTGTACTTGCTCCTCCTCCTCATTCTGGACGTTAAGTGATTCCTATGTAACGTTAAGTAACGGGAGGCGAAACCCACAGTTATTTTAAAGTTGATCCGAGGTTAAAATGAAGCTTCAGCATCTGATTTCCAGTGTTCAGTACAGAATTCCCTCTTTGTGTTTCCTCAGTGTTTCCGTGCTGAGCTGTGCGGGACAGACCGTCACACACAGAGGGAGTCGTGTTGTTCAGACTGCTCCGGCCTCATATTCACTATTTTACACAGAACAAGGTTTGTAGATGACGAATGAAGCACATGAGGAAAGGATCTCTTAATCTCCAGCAACAGAAACCTGTTTGAATATTCATATTGGCACCTGACTGTTTTTTTAAATCTGTGAGACTTCCCTTTAAGGCCTGAGAAAATCCTGATAAACTCATTGGATCATAAGAAAAATAGTTTTGACATGGCGTAGTGTAATTTCATTAAGGCACTGAACTCCTCCACTTTCTCCACAACAAGTTCAGACTCGTCGGTGCTGACTCGCTCATACTGAAGCTGTGCAGTCAAGAGTGTTCACACTCCCGCTCTCAAACACTGAAGAATCAGCAACCGCAACACTGCGTTTACACTGCAACCCCCCCCACCCCCCCAACGCCAACCCCCAAATCCCCGTCCCCTGAGCTCAAGGCTCACTGTGCTGTTTTAATCTATCAGGTCTGTGGGGAAACAGTGGCGAAGACCTGGAGCAGATGGACACTCAGATTAAGCCTCAGCCTCAACACTGATCCACTTAAGTCATTATTGTGGAGGAGCCAGTGTAAGAAACGCTGTGACCCACCTGGGTGGAAATGGCTTAATGCCTCCTTTTAGATTTTAAACCATGGGCAACACGACGGTTCAGGTTTTTCCTGACTGACAGTCGCCCCCGTTCAGCGACTAAGTGGTTTTAAACAGCAGCGGTGAGTTTTATTTATTGGTTCTATTTAACACAAAATGAGACTTTAGTTCCAACGCTCGCTCTCCTCATCAAAACCTGTCGACATAAATCAAATGTTGCCAAAGCAACTGAATTCTCAGGTTAATGCCACAGTGTTGAACCGCTCAGCAAAGACACATAATAATAATGATAATAATAATAAATAATAATAATAATAATAATAATAATGATAATGTCATGTAACAGATAAATGAAAAGGTGCGTCTCCTGCAGACCAGCTGCTGGGAGCAGTGGGGGGGGGGTTTAATGTGATTCAGGTACATTTTGAGACTCACAGTTGGAGCTGAAGGAACACTTTCTGCGATGCGTCTGCACTGCATTAGAGTCACTCACTGATTGTTAATGTTGATGGATGATCAGCTAATGACATCATCCACTCAGGCCTTAATGGTCTGATTTGCAGTCCAGGGAGAGAGCGGTCTGCGTAAGCAGAGATGAAATACTTTTATTTATTTGGCCTGCGGACGCAACAAACAGTCACACGCTGAATGAGCCGGGGACGCAGCGATTACATGCTGTTAATCAGCCAATCAATGATCATATCGACTGTGAGCAGCTGAGGATGTGATCACTGACTCCTGATACTCCTGCTGATTTAAAACAGTGCAAAATGTGAAAACCTCTGACCCAATATAAAACATGCCGTCGTGACCTTCATGCATTTAGGACGTGAATAGTTGTGAAATTAGGATTTTTATACAGTCCATACAGAACCCCCCCCCATCATTGATCACATCTACGGAGCCTGACTCCTCATGCCGGGAGGGTCAGTTGTAATAACAACTGCCACAAGAAGAAAACAGAGGGAGGAGATTATTATCTGCCATGATAAGTATGGATAAATAAAAAAGCATCTGCCTGGCTGTCCCTGCTCCTTCGTCAACCTGTGTGACCACACTCCTCCTCAGGGTGGAGACACCCTGCTGGAAATCTCAGGTGTCAGTTACCTGCTCATTGTGCCGTGTGCTCCGCTCACCTGTATATAATGATCACACCTGATCCACTGATTTAATACTTTCAGATCTCAGTTTATAAAAAAAAATAAAATACTCACCCCAGACGCCACTTCTTCTTTGTTTGCAATATCTATGGGAACCACCTCCACAGTCCTCCACGTCTGCTCGTCCAGGTCATGGACCTGCCGCCGAGAGAAAGACAAACAATTAGAGCCGTAACGTGAAAGATCCGCTGAACTCAACACGGGCAACAAGGGACATTTCTCTTCCTCAGCGACGCTCATTCAAATCTGTTGTGTGCAAATCAAATGAGATTTAAATCCAGACGCACACGGGTGTATTTGTATTGTAACTTGTGCACACGCATCAACCTGTTCAGCCCACAGAGCGGCGGGGAACTGGTTTTTATCTAGGTGAACTTATTTTACACATGAGGTAATGTTTACTCATCATGATGTCATGACGGTCTGTGAGAGCAGCTGTCGACAGTCTGAGGAGATAACCCTGATATCCAGAGCTCAAATCATTCGCCGATTAATCAATGAGACAAACGGAACAATAATCAGCAATATTTCAATAATCCATTATTAGAATTATTTCAGTTACTGTTTAAAACAAACATGACAAGAAGTTGCTGTTTTTCTCTGTTTTATCTTTAAACATCTTTAGGTTTTGGACTGTGACACTTCGATCATTTTAAGGGGCATATTTCATTATTTTCTGGGATTTTTCACAATAAGTGATCAATCAGTTATTAAATAAATAAAAAGCAGCTAAATAAACAATAAAAAAATAATCATTAGTTTCAGCCCCAGTGATGTCATCAGGGTTACCTCTGCAGAAAGCCTGCGTCATAAACTGGGCGCATATAGTTTATCAGTGTGATGAAAAATGCTCTCATGTTGCATTATGGGAAATGTAGGATGCAGAGATTCGGGTGTGTGACTCAACCTTGGGTCTAATAATCAGATTATGCCAATTTAAGGAGAAGACAAAATCTTGACTTGGACTTTAAGGAAAATTTTAACTTGAGGTGTTTTGTGCAACGCAGCCTCCGTTTCTCACGGGTCACCTGACCACGTCCGATGGAGGTGCAACACTCATCCCTTTAAACATTATGACTCTTCTGCTCACTTACATTTTCTACTGTTCCCATGTCAGGTTTGTGCCACGTCTCAATCTTTATCATAAAGTCGTCCTTCATGTACTCGTTCTGAAAAACAGGAAGAAACGCACAGAAATTAAAAATGAAGTTCAAGCCTTTACGCAGAAAGCAGGTATTTCTCCAGACTGACAGGTACAGCTGATCTCAGCCGGGACAAACCGGACAGAGAACACCATGAATGGAGTTTCTCAGAGATGTACTTAAACCCTACGGCTAAATCCAATTAACCAATCAGACATTTAGACTGAAACAACACGGGCGAAGCTGCACTGCTCAGCTTGAATCTATATTTAACCCTAGCAACAGTAGTTAGCGAGCAGATAAAGTACAGCATTATCAGGCTGTGAAAAACTTCAGGTAGAGAGAGAGAGAGAGAGAGAGAGAGAGAGAGAGAGATAAAGATAAAAACAGAAACGTTTCTACACCATCTCGACCTAAAGGCCCAAATCAAACCAGGATTTAAAAACAGCTAAATCTATTTATTTTAATAAAACTGCAGCGATCAGAGGAAGTTGTGTCAGATTAAACTTTACTGAGCTTTCAGGTGTGTTTTTACACCGCTGACCAGAACGAGACGTCTTGTCACTGCTGAACTCTGAGGGGATGGAGGGACAGGAGAGATATCTGTGTTGCAGCAGTGACTTTTGTTCAACCTCCTCTGTGGGAGCATTAACTGCTCCACACAAGAAGAATGGTTTGCAAACCGTCAAACCGCAGGACACGACGGGACAAATGCCTCTTCTTAATAAATTGTCCCGTCCCATAGAGCTTTTTTCCTTCCTTCAGTGCCTCTGTATTGACTAAAATGATTTACAGTCCTGAATACAAAAGAAAGCTGAGAGAAGCTCTTCAGAAATACGTGCAGATAAAAGTTTGGCAAAAACAACTCACCGTCACAACTGCAGAGGAAGGACAAAGGGAAACAAGAGAGAGAAAAAAAAAAAAAGAGCATCAGTATCAAAAATCAGTTTGACATTTATCATCTTAAACACTTCTAAATTGCACAAAGAAAAGTATATAAATGTATAATATGCATAAAATCTTTGAGAAGCCATGAATACCATGCAACTATGACCTTTCATGTTCATCATGCGAGCGGTGAAAAGACACCGATTATGAAGCGATTTATCCCCCAGCATGAACTTACTGGTGCGACAGTACGGGTAGGCGTTCCAGGCCTTTTCATGAAAAACTAATGCTCCCTCTGGTGCAATCATCTTCACGTACCCTGGGACTTTACTGCAGGGAGGGAGACAGAAGACAGACAGTCAGTGCATCGTCATTTCATAAGAACTACCACATCCACAGGTCGGAAGCAGAGTGTCACTCAAAGCCTCCAATAATCCTTCTTTGTCTTGTCTGCTTCTAATGAATCGCCCTTTTTGCTGTTGGTGGCACTGGGCTGAAGCTCTGGTCCGAAAAACAACGTACAACACCTATTTCCTGCATCATCAAAGAAGCAGTCGTACAACACACAGAGGGCGGACAAAGTAAGAGGAAACACCTGACGGGAGCAGCCTCCGTCCTCCTACTGCTACAGGCACATTCTGTCTGTATGTAGTTGGCATATTAGACCTTTGATTATGGAGGAAGGCCTCAAAGCTATTTCAGGACTGAGACATGAAAATATTCCTGGATTCGTTTGGCATTTGTGATCACAGATTGGAGAACGGTGTTTGCACTGTGAAGGTGAAGCTGCGTCAGTGAAAATAGCTGCTTATTGTGGCTGTAATTCATGCGGAGTTACCATCACACCTAACGTCTCCCCTCAGACGGCTGCCAGTACAGTTCTGCCGTCAGATTTAACAGCTGGCAGCCGACGCTCTGTGTGTTAACAGCTTCCTGTGGTCCAAACAAACACGTCCAGATGGAGAAAAAGCAAAAAACAAACTCTGATCGTGTTGCTCTTCCCACTGCTCTGGGTTTTTATGTGCCTTACTCACTTAGGTTACCTGTTTGGGGAGTTGGTCAAAGACGGTAACAGTGCGATAAATCCCTGCTTTGTGCAGAAGGTAGATATAAAAAATAAAGATTTCTAAGTAGGAGCTGTTATTTATGGCTGTCGCAAAATGGTGTTCCCTCAATTAGGAGACACAGAACAAATGTTAGTTATGCCTTTAAGCTCTGTCTCTTTAAACACTCAAATGTGTTCTTGTGAATAAACAGCCAATCACCAGCATTATTAGATCTTGGTCCAAGCATGCTGCGTGCTGATTGGCTCACTGACACTGATGAGATTTACTCATTTACTCCTGAAGTTCGATACCCAGCTCTACTCGTAGCTGACCCTGGAAAAAGAACCCACTTTATTCCACAGACTTGCCTCTTTAGATGGTATATTTTATGTGTGTATTGTCCCTTCTCCCCATCCTTCTCGTAGGGTTCGTTCTTCAGTACTTCAATTCCTTCTCCTCCTCCCGTCTCATTCTTGCTGGCCTCAGCCACAGAGTACAGCTGCCCTACTTGATACTGTGAGAAATGGGAGCAAGAGGAGAAGACACACCCTGAATATACAGCGACAACTACTGTGACAACTGCTGTGAATATTTGCTGGAATAGGCAAAGACTGAGCGAGTCCCTGAGGCCAGTGCAGGCTCTGTAGAGATGCAGTACCACTGACGGCCACAGAGAAATGCCTAGATTGTATTAAACTCTTCAAAAGAAAAAAAAAAAAAAAGCTCAAACTTGTCTTTTTAAAAATGGAGATGACAAACAAGTTCACATCTAAAAGGAGAGATGTTGTCATCCTGGTGAAGACACATGTGTTTGTGAGGCTCTATGTTGTTGCATTAGTGCGCCTTGATCCACTATTTATGAATCCATTAACAACCAAGGTGGCAGCGAGCTATAAACTCAAATCATGCTTTGATCAACCTGGAAAAAAAAACTAAACAGACATCGCTGTTTTCCTGCCGTCTACGGGAAAAACATTGCAATTAATTTTCAAAATAAACTTCCTGCCTTCATTTGGACTTGGAGGCCTAATGAGGGTGCTTTTGACAGGACGTCACTGCTGATACAGTTACTGTGAAGGAATGTTAAAACTAGCTTGGCCTCTGCCTGTGTTCATTCTACAGAAAATCTTTATTTTCATGTCGAAAAGATGCATTTCTTGCTGCCAGACACTAAGTATAGAAGGCTGTGAACTTGGGCCAGTGTCTGATGTCACTGGACAACAAAGTCTACGCTCAGATGAAAACTGAACAAACTGTGGTAAACTCTTTCTTGTGAGGCCAAATAGTTTAAGTATGTTCTCAAAAACAAATGAGTATAAAAATGTGAGCGCTATTAAAAGCGAGATGTCACAGAGATTGAGATATTTTTAAAAGGCTGGGTCCAGTTCTCCCTGCGAACGCCACCACCAGCCTGTCACACAAATACCAGCGCTCCCTAACAAAGGCTATTCTGTCTTAGCCCCAGACTGAAGCCTGAGTGGCCGAGCCTTCTGTGTACAGGAGAAAATCATTACGAAGCTACGACCAGCTCGACATACTGTAGCTGTAATCTACATTCTTATTATCAAAAAGTGACTCGTCATGTAACATTAAAGAGGATATGGAGGTAAAGATACTCACCTCTTCGACAGACACCGGCAACACTACACGGCTGAGAGAGGGGAAAGAAAGGGAGAGGTGGGGCAGGAAATGAAGAGAGAAACAAATAAGTTAAACCCATTAGTAACTAATTCATAGAAAGTGGTGCTTCCTGTTTAATTTCCTGTGATTATTCACAGATTTAAGTTCAAATGCTCGAGCACTAAAAAGCATCACAGTCTCTGAACGCACCATGACCAGACACGGGTGGAAAAGCATGAAGTTGTGGGATAAACTTGATAAACTTTTGACCCTCCTTGGGAAAAACTGAAGAGGAAAGTCCCGAATACTGAGGAGCACAACTAAAGTAGAACACTAAGACTGGCTTTGTTTTTACAGCAAGACAAGAAATACTAATATATGAAAAGGAGTTCAATAAAAAACACATCAAACAGAGCTTTATCTGGATAATTGTAATATATAGCTAATTAATAAAGATTTATATTTATCCAGTAATATTGCAGCCCTCTAAGAAGTTAAATATTTAATGTTTTATCTTATTTAATTTTGGGTGGTTACATGTATTTCGTACTGACACCAATGGTTTTAAAAACAAGTTGCCCCCCCCCCAACACAAAATACTCGTATAAATTACAATTAAATATCTTTTACAGCAGCTGAAACTGCAGTTTAACCAGAGTGCTGATTATATCTGGATATTACAGTTTCATTCACTGCACACACAAAAAGAGGACATTTCTTCTTCTTCTTCTTCTCTCTCGGGCTACACTTCCTCCTTCTCCTCTCACAATCCATACAAATCCTCTGCTGTGATTGGCAGATTCAGGACCCCACCCTTAACCTACACACAGACTGACTGATGAGGCGACGCAGGCTGAGAATTTGGCCGTCTGTCGGACAAACTCAAATCTGAGCGGGAACTTGAAACAACTTGAAAAACGGCTATATGATGTTTTTATAGCCAAGAGAATTAAGAGAGAGTAGACTATTATAAAAACTGCAAGGACACAGGTCACAGGTCAGGGTGTGAGGGAACTCTTAACAGCTGAAAACAATTAATGGACAGAAAATAAACTGGCAATGATTTTTCTAATCAATTAAATGTTTGAGTCATTTTTTTCCCCCAGTTTCTTGATCATGTTTTATTTAATTGTAAATTAAAAACCTTTGGGTTTGGGATGTTGGTCAAACAAATTGTAGGTGTTATCTTGAGCTTTAAGAAATCATAATACTGTTTTTATACATGTTATAAAATTAACAATTACTCGAAGAATTGAGAATATAACTGGCAGGTTAATGAATAATGAAAGTAGCCGTTAAGCTCCACCAACAAAACATCCTGAACATCTGCATCTCCCAGCTCTTATGTGTCATTCAACGACTTCTTTTGTTCTTCAGGAAAAAAAACACAAAAAAAAAAAAACAACTTTACCCACTATATTGTATTCTATATAAAGAATACTTCATAATATATAAATAACCTGTCGTGATACATAAAACTTTCAAAGACAAAAACCAGGTTTTGGCACCGACAGTCATGTAAGTGGAGGAACAATGTAGCACAACTGGAAAAACAAAGGCAGAGTGCAGTGTTTGTGCTTTTGGCTGGCGGTGGTGTGCGGCGCGCTGCAGCTTTTGTAACAGGAGAGAAATTAACATGTTGGCTCTGGCAAATGTGCAGAAGTATCCACTGCATGAGATTTTCAAAACGCAACAAATCGAGCGGACTGACCACGTTACAGCTGAGCAGATTTAATCCTGCGCCGTGAAGAGCTTGGAGGTTTCGCTCCAACTGAAGTTTACACACCTGTTAATTTCCCTGATTAGCATATGTCAGCACGAGATGAGAAATTAATCAGTGGAACCACCAGTGACACACCTGCTCTTCCTGTCATATTCACCATCGTCTTCTGCAGGAGATTAAAAGTCTGAAGGCCTGTGACACGCTCACACCCCTAACTACTGAAATGACACCGGTTCTCTTTAGCGTACAACTAGGGATGTTAATGATTAATCAGTTATTGATTATTCACTGATAAGAAATTGATCCTGATGTGCCAGAAAAATAAACAAAAAAAAAACGGACCATGTGAAGTGTTTTAAACCTTAAAAATGGAGGAGAGACATGAACGACACAATGTGGCCAGTGACAGAAAACTGCTTGCTATTTGCAGCATTAGCAGTGAGTGTCAGGCGTTGATTAAACAACCAAATTAACTGTGTTTACACTCCTCAGGCGGCACAGAGAGGGTCTGCGCTGGTGTGTGTTTTGTTGTATTATGAAGGGCAAAACTGTTTGAATGGTTTAGCACCAGCTGACCAGTCACCATTCAAGTGGCCTTGTAACCTGTAGTTACATAAGCTCCAGTGTAAATCCCAGTACAGACATCACAGACACCTGCAGCACAGGTACCTGGATGCTGACACACAGAGGAGGTAACCAGCCTTTAGATGAGTTTTAACTATGAGTGGTCCGATTCATTTCTCTTTGCTACGACTAACAGAACTACAAAATCAACCGTGAAGTTAATCTAGAGCTGAAACGAATAGTCCAATTAATCAATTAGTCAATCAAGTGAAAAACCAATAATCTTCAACTATTTTGATAATAGGTTAATTGTTTAAACAATTTTCAAGCCAAACATTCACTGACTCCAGCCACTCAATTGTTTTAGTTTGCTGCTTTTCTTTGCTTTAACTGACACTAATCTGATTATCTTTGGATTTTTGTTTGTTGATCAGACAAAGCAAGTAATTTCATTAGAACATAATGAATATTTTTCACAGTTTTCTGATTTTTTATCATGATTAATTGATAATCATCAAAAATAGCAGAGTGATCACTTAATTACACCATACTATGACTTGCAGACCTAATGCACCTAAATGTACTGCATAACGTGTGTCTGTCTATCATGAGCAAAGCTGGATTTCACAACAGTGATAAGAACTCTCTCTCACATTATTATGTAAGTGGTGACTTTACAGTGTGGGTTTAAGCAGGTTATCTTGTGAGTATAACTGCATTAACTGCATTGAAAACCAATTTATGTCACAAAATGTCTTTTACAATTGCGTTGTATTGCAAATGTATATAAAAGAAGGTTTTGTAGCCAGGTTTGCACAAGTAATCAGATTTAATTTGGTGCTGACTTAGTGATCAAATGCAGACGCTGCCTAAAAGACACTGAACAGGATAAAAATGACTGTAAAGTTGAATCAACATCTGCCAGTAAACAAAAACAAACACTTTAACTTTGTCAAACTGTCACTTACTGCCAGGCTTTTAATAGTGTACAGTTCAGTTTATGGCTGCAGCATCACTAATAACACAATCATACAGGTGACTGTGGTGGTATGACAGAGCTCTCTCCTAGATGCCTTTCACTTCTATTTGGACACAGTGAGGAAATTAAATTGGCAAAGCTGATAGTGAACAGGCTTTTGTCTTTGTGAGCGCTTTAAGATATAGGCTGACACATTTTTACCTTCATCAACTGATCAACATCTTTTCCATTCACATTTTTTTCCTTCTGTATATGATAATCTCCTTGTAAACAAGATTCCTGCTATAAACGGACTGTTGCTATTGAGTCACAACATGCAAAGCTGTTGCTGTTGTCATGAATTTTACCGCTGGAACTTGTAAGGACATGATTTAGTCTGTTTCCTTATTGATTTTACTTTGAGTGAGATAGTTCATAAAGAGCAACAGGAATGAGTCTTAAAGCCTGGAAATAAGTCTAATGTCTAATTACTGGATATTACTGTGTAAAAGTGTTAAGTTAAAGCATGTTGGAACTGTGCTACACAAATACAGTTAGTGTTATTATTACGACAGTTCTTATGTTGCTTTTATTTATTCTTTTGTAAAGCATTCTGCAACCTAGGTTTTCAAAGGTGCTATACTTAAATAAATAATTGTGTACTTACTTAGTTACAGCTACTTTCTGAGACGTACAGTATAAATGGGAGTTTTCTAAGACTTTTGGACCCCACTGTATGTCTTATAGAGGAGAATAAATGGTATGCAATTGATACCTTAGATTAAACTCTGAGATAAATGTTGCTCCATCTACCTGCTGTCTGAAAAGCATGCAGTGTTGAGCAGTTTTCCTGCTGCAGTCTTGATCAAGCCTTCTTTTTAAAATTGATACCAACAAAACTGATCCATCACACCTTAGACCACATCCTGGGAACATGAAAAGTCTTCTTGTTGCTTCAGTATTTACATCTCTGCCCTGCTGCATTTGCATAGTTAAACATCTCTCCTAACAAACATTTGTTATTTACAACTGAAATCTAATTTGTGTTGCATGTGATTGACAGAATAAGAAATGCTAATGTTATGACAAAATTATTTGGAGGTCATTAAAATATCATCCGAAGTGGCTTGTTAATTAATGTTTTTATCTTATAAATCATGACATATTTCTCTCCCTTATACCATAGTATTTCAACGGCTTTTAACAATAAAGAAATTTCGGTATCGATATTGATATCCTGGTGCTGGTATTACTTGATACTGAAACCAGATTTGTGCTATAGATCACGGTAACAACAGGTACCGTTATCTGGAGCAGATATATGTTAGCCACATAATGAAAGCTAGCTTTACGGAGTAAAAAGTATATAAAACCGCACAATCCCAATGTAAGTGATTTAATTACCGCGGCAGCATTACTCTAGTGTTAGTCTTAGCCGCCCAGTTAAAGGGCTAACTGTCTAATGCTAGCGCCAACAAAGTAACAGCAAAGTAGTTAGTCCTTCCATAACCTCACGCTAGCTTGAAGGGTACAACTGCTATGTGGTATGGGCCGATATTTGAGGATAATTCCTGCCGAACCATTTAATAATGCCAAGGTTACGTGTAGTTTAACTACCGATTAGGTTATAACTTAACAGTAAATGTTAAATGTGTGCATAACAGATGAACTCCGTGGTCTGAAAATTGTCATGCTAGCAGCTAGCCGGCTGCTACAGCTAACTTAGCTAGCTAGCATTAATGGTAAATCCGACGGAGAAGGAACCTTAATCTGTCACTCACGGGAGCGAAGCTTCACATTACGGCACTTTATGGATATTACACGCCGCTAACCGGCGACCGGGCGATATATATAACCATCAAAGTCATGTTAACAAGCTGAATGTGCAGATTGTTTACGTGTAACCAGCGCTGTCTTTTTTATGTAACTCATTTTCATTAAGAAGCTAATTATCCCCTCTGCTGCTACAACTCAGGCTAACGTTAGCTCGCCCTAGCAACGCCTAAAAAAGACCGGTGTGTCCCGTTATCCACGTCCCGATCCACCCTGCTCAAAGCTGCCTTTTTACGGGCTGCGGGGATGTAAAATCAAGCGAACGACAGCAGTACACGAAACACACATGTTTACGCTTCAGTAATGAGCTCTTGGACAGATGAAAATGACACTCTAAATGCGCTAAAAGGCAATTTTTTAAAAGCACTTCAGACTCACTATTCCTTGATGAGCACCATCTTCGTCACCCGGGCTGCGGCTGCGCAGTGGGTGTCGACACCAGATAGAATTATAAACAAGATTGTCCCGCCCCCTGGACGAATCTGATTGGCTGAAAAATCCACACCATTGTTCATAATACACCATGTATGTACTGTATTACAGTGTTTGACTGTATTATGTATTATAACATATTTACCCAAACTGTGATTTACAATGGTCAACTGATACTGTCAGTAGTTGGAAATATATTTAACCAAGTATTGCACTTAAATACAAATCTCAGATACTGTACTTTACTTAAGTACTTTAGTTTGATGCTACTTTATTCTTCTACTCCACCACAGTTCAGAGGGAAGTATTGTACTATTTACAACATATATTTGATAACTTACCTACTAGTTACCTACTTTAGTGATATTATTTATTCAGCATATAGAGGTTAATAAGGTTAATGACAATTTTACAAAATATATGATCAGTTTATAAAATATGATGCATTGTTATACAGCATATAAAGTAGTAAACTTTTGTACATTAAAGTACATTTTGTTGCTAATACTTATGTACTTTTACTTAGGTCTAAATAAAACTTGTAATGTAATACTTTCACTTGTATTAAGAGTATTTTTATAGTGTTGTTTAGCTACTTCTACTTAAGTAAAATATGCAAATACCTCCCTAATCAGTGCTGTAATTTTACTACAACAGTCCTGTATTATAGGTATTTATGGTGATTTTATGATACCTAACAGTCAGACAACTTATCATACTTAATGGTGTTTTTCTAATTACATATTTTATCTATAGTTTATCAGTATTGCCTCCAGGGACCTCTTGTGTGCCAAGGGATAATCCATAAAAAAAAATTACCATACACCAAACACTCCAGTTTTTTCTGCAGACAGCTGTGTATTTCTATTTAATGCCACTTTATACTGTACCTGCAGTTCAGAGAGAAATGTTGTACATCTGACTTCACTACATTAATCTGACAGCTGTATTTACTTTGCACAGTCTTATAAACAACACAAAATGTAACCAACAAGCAAATTATAATGAATTATTTAAGCAGGATAAGACTTTATGAGACGTTATTGGTCCAAAGGGGGAAATTAACAAGCTACCCAGCAGTATATTAAGTAGTTAAATTATACATTACACATTTAATAATAAATATATATATATATTTTAAATGGGCCATTTTGCGTAATGAGAAGTTTTATTTTTGATGCTTTAAAAATATATCAATGCTAATACCTTTGTACTTTCAAGTTAAATTTTGAGTGCAGGACTTTTATTCCCCGACCTTCTTTCAGGTTGTGACGTCCGATTGTTTAATGTCTAAAAATGTATTTTCTAACGTTTTAACACCCTTTTCTCAGGGTTTGAGGCCATTAAGAGTTTTGATAAGGTGATCACTTAGCATTACTCCATCTATTAATATCACATTACTGTTATATTTGATTCAAAAAATGACTTACATGCCACAAGTAGACTACTTAAGTATTTAAGTAGGAAAATTAAAAGAACATTTTAATTTAAATACGTATCTTTTAAGTCAGTATCTATCATCGAATGAGGTAACATAATGGTGATTGAGCCTGTGACCCACTGAGGAGATTGTAAAGAAGTGCTGGCATTTTACAGCTTTAAGAACTGGGTGTCTGGTATGACAGAACTTGGTGGTTCAAAAACAAAAATGCAATTACCATGAATGGCCATAGGTGTCGCCAAAGATAAGGAAAAGGAGACCTGTAAGTATGAACAGGATATATTCAAACCATTTACTTAACTTTACTGTTACAAGTTGGAAAAGTCCTGCTTTAAAAATGTTCAGTAAAGTAAATATTATATTATTGGATTACTTTTGCATTAATATGTAATGGTACCTAAATGTTGTGGCTGGTCAGGGTGGAGCTAATTTTTGAATCTGCTTCATATTCTAACAGGTGATTTAATCTATGTATGCCATGGAAATGCATTAGAAAACATTGATAAGTTTTTAGTAGAAAATCTGAATCTAAAAAGTAATTAGTACCTATAGCTGTTGATTAATGGAGTGGAGTGAAAAGTAAATTATTTCCATTTGAAACGTAGTGATGTGAAGTATAAAGAAAAAAGTAAAAGTAAAAGTGAGTCACAATTGTATGAAGTTATTTTTAGGATTGAGATAAATATTAATACTGATTTTTCATTTAATTGTTTCCTTGTTTGAGTGGAAATAATGTGAAGATTTTTTAGCTACATTATGGATTTATATAATCAAAACAAGACAAGGAAAGGAACATTTTTATTTGTTAACTTCTTGAGAATTGAGAAATGTCTTAATAGGAGTCTGGCACTGCTGCAAAATTGTACATTATAAAGTGAATGAAACACTGAACACGGAACTGATCACACTTCAAATCAATAAAACCCATAAAAAAGAACAATTTCTTTACTTGAACCTTGTTTTAATTGTCTTTATAAAATGTGTAATAATGACTGGAAAACACAGTTTACAAAATAAATGACAACAATAAGCATCGGTAATGACATTGAGCAATAACTATTACACAATAAATCAAGATCAGATTCAGGTCAACGCACACAAACACAGCGAGCGTTTCGGTTGACGTGAAACGTCCTCCTTCTCTCAGGCGCTCAGTCGACAGACCGCAGGTCAGGATTTCTCTTCAGTGTACATGGAGGCATTGAGACACATGCTCTCTCGTCAGTCATGGAAACACACTTAAAGCCAGAGACTCGACGCGTCACCTCGAGTCATTTTGTCCTTCCAGCTCTCTCTAGAAGAAGGCACAGTCATCACATTCAAAACATCAACATCCCTTCACCAAAAAAAAGTAATGCCATGTAAAAATCACTGTCAGTATGAAACAGCACTTTCTTTCTTTCTTTCTTTCTTTTTTTTTTTTAAATCCTTGTCTTCAGCAGGTTTTTTCGCCAAAAACGGTCACTGACAAACCGAGAGCTCCTGTCGTTGTACAAACACAGAAGGTGAAACAGAGGATTGACCCGCTGGCTCTGGGGGCAAAAAACCCAAACGCTCAACATTTAGAAGAAGGAAAAAAGTGTCCAGGCGAGAGGAACTTGTAGCCGTTCCCAGAGGGAAGTCTGATGCCTCCTTTAGAGTTTGTGGGGGCAGTAGAAGGTGGAGGTGGGGGCGGAGGTGGTTTAGCCTCCAGTTTTTGGTGACCGTTTGTTCTGCTGTCAGTGTTGTGGTCCTCGGATCTTTCTACGTTTTTGCTGAGAGACTCGTGTTTGGGCGAGAGATTCAGCAAACCCAAAACATCCTTCTGAACTGTACTCATTTTTTTATTCCCCCCTCGGAGTAAACTGGCGGCGCAGGGCGCCTCGTGTTTCTGGCTGGCGTTGGCCCAGAAGGTTTTTAAGTTATGAATCGCCTGGACTTTATGATCCTGTTTGGACTGGTTCGGTTCGGGGGTGTTTGCGGGGCTGGACGAGGCTGAGACGGATCCTGTGGAGGAATAGGAGAGGGCCGGCGACGGGGCGCTGCCGGCGGGAGAGCGGGCAGGTGAGATGTGGGCGGTGTAAGGTGAGGTAGGGTATCTCAGTTTGAGCTGAGCCTGCGCGTGCACGTCAGGGGACCCCGTGGAGAAAGGCGAACCCTGCTCCTTCGCAGAGAGGGATAAAGAGGAGGAGGAGTGAGCTGGACTGTTGTAGCCGGAGCTGATCTTCTGCAGCGAAGAGGAGCGGGATGGAGGTTTGGGCCGAGTCGGGGGAGGTGTGGAAACCGAAGGGGAGAGGGGTGAGAGGTGACTGGGGAGAGAGAGGGGAGAGGAGCACGCTTTCAGACTGGCTCTGCTGGGCGGTCTGCTGAACGCGCTGGTCTCAGAGGGCTGAAAGCCTCGTGCCCCTCCAGCGGGAGTCAGAGTCGGGGTTGTGGGAGTGGAGAGCGATGGCTCTCTCCCCTCAGGCCTCTGCAGTGTCTTCCCTCTCAGGTTTGCTTTCTGCAGACTCTCCACAGCTTGCATGTGGCTCTGGGTCTCCTCCAGGATCTTCTGGGCCAGTTCCTGGGGATCCATTTGTCCCGCAGGCCCCGTCCTCTCCTCCTGGGACTTGACCGTGCTGTCCGTCTCAGTGCTCGACTGGTCCGACTCGGAGCTGCTCACCTTCCCTTTCCCAGTCCTCTGAGAAGACGAGCTGGAAAGAATTTTAAAAAAAGAGCTTAATTAACAAACTCAGGAACAGGAGTTATAATGAGGCTCCTCACGTTATGATATGGGGCTGTGAATATAGAGAGTTGTGAAACTGTCAGTACAGAAGTTAAACTGCTGCATAAGCCAAAGGGATAGGATTGTATTTTTTCACATGTGAAGAATAATTTAGCGTCACATTAGGTTAGCGCATTAGCATGTTAACATTTAGTAATTAGCACTGAACTTGTACTCGGCTGATGGGGATGTCTTTAGTTTTGCAGGTATCTGATGATAAACCAAAGATAAACTTGGTTTATCAAAATTAAAATGATCAAATCAGAATTTGGCTCCAGATCAAAAGTGAAGAGATTAGTTGGGATTAGTTGGTCAACCTGTTAGTGGAGCTGGGGGACGAATCAGGGGACGACCACAGTTATTAGGATTCATCTCCTGTGGGACATGAATATGAAACTATGCACCAGATTTCATCCGTCCAACAGCTGTTGAGATATTTCAGTCGACACCAACATGGTGGACGAACCGTCTTTCTGACGAGAACTCTCAGCGACTTGTCGGACTCTGGATCTCTCGTCACTGATTCTCTCTGACTCAACAAACAGAATCAAACTCACATTTCCTGCCTGAGGTTGGGGCCAGGTGGAGCCGGGGGCAGCGGCGGAGCTTTAATGGGGGATGTCGGTGTGCTGATGCTTCCCTTGGAGGAAATTGTTATGGGATACCCGTGACCCCCGTTAGATCCTCTCCCAGCACCGCCTCTGCCGTGTCTGTGTCCCGCGGGCAGCGGCAGAGTGTCACAGTCCCTCCCCCCTCGTCCTAACGGCTCGCTGCTGATGATGGAGTAACCCTCGTACTCCTCGTCCTCGCCTTCTCCTGCCGCTCCTCCGTGAGTCGCGAGTCGACCTCGTAACAGGCCGCCTGAGTGGCAGTGCGAGGCGTAGAGGCCCGCCCCGCCGCGAGGTCTGTCCGGCTCCTGTTGATGCGAGCGCTGGCTGATGATGTCACTTCCCGCGGGCTCGGGTCGGGACAGGAAACTGAGGGAGGAGGCGAGGGAGCTGAGGCTGTAGACGGAGATGGCGTCGCAGGAGAGGTTGTCCGGGCAGACGGGGGGCAGGAAGGAGGGCTGAGGCGGGTAGCAGCCGAAGGAGAGCGGCAGAGAGTGCGGCTGGGAGGCGGACTGCGAGGACGACAGCGACTCCAGCGAGGACGAGCTGTCCATGCTCAGTCTCTTGGGAAGCTCCGTGGAGTCTAAAATAAGACAGGGGAAGGACGTGAGGTACGAGGAGTAAAGACAAAGATTCAGCAGGATTCAGTTGTGAAAGAAAAAGTTCACGGTTCAGCAAAATGCTCACCGAACAGAGCCAGAAGAGACTGGAGGGCGAAGTGCATGGTGCGTCTGCTGGCCTGTTTCCCGGTCTTCAGCACCACCTCCTCCTGACCCACCTCACAGAGATCGAAACCTGACGGACACAGGAGGAAACAGAGAACATGTTTGAGGATGTTACCACAGTCTATTTAAGGGAGGGAGGGAGATCTCTCTCTCTCTCTCTCTCTCTCTCTCACACACACAAGCAGCCCTCACACCACCTGTCTTCTTCTTCTTCTGCTGTTCTGAGGATGTCGGTCTGGTTTGTCCTGATTAGTTCAGTTTTGATCTATTTTGGGTTATTTTATTGCATCTGTTAACAGCTGTATTGATCTCGTACTTTGGAGATTAAGATTTTTTAGAAAACTTTACATTTACGTAAAACAAAACATGATGAGCTGATAAAACCGGCTCCAGCAGATGAAGCAGGTCACATGAGCTCGACCTGCTACAACAGTAAAACACTGCGTACCACTTTCTGTTAAAAAGACACAAGTTATTATATAAAGTTTATAAGTGATTAAGTCTGCACTTGTACGTTTTAATAAACTTGTCGGACGTCCTGCAGCTGTTGTAAAGTAGCTACACACTCGACGTGACCTCGGGGTCATGAACCCAGTAATTAAAAGACTGATGGAGTCAATTAACGACAGTGAATCGGAGAGAAGTGAAAGCGGAGCTGAGTTTGTTCTGTTGATGACTCACCGAGCGCGGCCAGGAACTCGTGGCAGCCTGGAAGCCTCCAGAGCTGCACGCTTATCGACACTTGAATGGGAGCCAGTGAGAAGTCTTGCTCTTTGTCGCCTGACTGCAGCTGCACCAGCACTTGGTGAAGCTTTGGGGCGGAGAGAAGATACGATGAGGGAGAGGAAGGTTGACTGAAAGACATCACAGAACGTGGACACACCTGTCTGCCTGCGACTAAATGTCTAACATCACATTTGAAAACATGCAGGTCATATAATCGATTCTGACTTCTCTCTCGTAAAGCTGAGTTTGATGCAGCAGCCACATCGCAAACATCTGTCAAATAAAACACTAGCAGGCAGCTCAGTGCTCTTATCTCCTGCCTGGACCAGCATTAAACTTTCTCTGAACTGGAGTCAGTAACGTCGTCGGGAAACACTTACCATTCCCACCATGCTTTTAACCGCCTTTGTGAGGTGGGTAAGAGAGAAGAGGAAACAGAACTTCAGTGGTTTAACTCCTGTGTAAACGTTGGGTTTGAGTCACTGCACACTCAGCCATGCATGAACGATGACTCGCTCGTGTGTCGATGCTATCTGCAGAAAGCCACGTGGTGCCGAGGGCTACGACTAGCAAAGTGTAACCCGGGTGCCTGTCACTAACACGTGAATGGGTGGATATGAAATGTTTCACTTCAAGCTGAAGGTGGAGGTGAAGATGGGGCCGGTGCGGAACATGTCCACAACAGAGTCACACTGAGACACTGAAGCTAGAAACACACATGCAACGCTCACACGTCAGTCTGGTGAAGTCAGAGTGCAGTTACTCAGATACTCGCCTCAAGCACAGTTTTGAGGTATTTGTATTTTATTTTTGGCTTGTGGCGTCTTTTAATTAGTGTTTAATTAGGTTCCTTCGCCACATGTTTCAGTCTGTGAGAGAAAAGTTTCCCCTCTAAACTTCTCACTTTCCTTTAAACGACTATTTGAGGTAAAAACTAAAAATATTCCACAGGCGACATTGGTGCCTTTGCTTCGGTCAAGTATCTGAGTAAATCTTCCACCAGTGTTACGAACAGCTGTGACACCGCAGTGCATTGTGGGAGGCGGTACCTTGTGAATGAGCTGCTCTCCGGCCTCAGACGCTGTGACCAGTTTACAGAGCGCCTGCAGAGCTGGGGGGGTGAGACCTGAGGGAGCACAGGAGGTTAATTACAGATTCAACATCATGGTCATGAATATTTTCTGCTGTAACTTTTTACAACTGGTGCCGTGACGGTCTGATTGATCTGAGAGCTCAGATTATTTATTCTACGTCCTGGAGGCACAAACACGTTGTTATTCTGTCAGTGTGATTGACATGAGAGACATTTTGAGTAATGGACAGGCTGTGGTACCGAGCAGGGACTGCAGAGTGGTGCTGCACTGCTGCAGCCGGTCCCCGGGGTCCGATGTGGGGAAGAAAACCGCCGCGGGGAGGCCGGCGCCGCTACCGGAGAAGTCCAACCGGAAACCCACCGCAGACAGGAGGGCCTGCCACCCGGGCACCCCGCCGACCTTCAGCCCCCCGAGGAGAGAACACACACGGACGTGAGCGGAGGACACGGTGTGACATTTAAAGACAAAAGAGGTAGAAAGACCAACACGCAGACCTTATTCTCGACGCTCTGCTGCGACGTGTACATGGCGTTACACTGGCCGCTCTGAATGCGCTGCAAAGACTTCTCGACCTGCAGAGACACAGAGGTGATTCATGGAGTTTAATGGCCGTGGGATTTTCTGATGCGCGATGATGCGCCCGGAGCTGCTGTTTACAATATGACATTTAGGGGATTTCAGACGTGGACGTGTCAGCAGCACGCTCTGATGGAGGTCTGACAGACGGAGCGCAGCATACGCCCGCCATACCAGGTTTACACTGATCTTTGTGAAAGCTGAGCAGAGTTTTTTTTCCCATCAGCCTCAGCAACATGGAGGAACGTGGTTGCAAAAAGCGTTAATCCTCCTGCTGCCGCATTTATCTTTTGGAGGGATGACAGTCATTTTTTTCTTCAGCTGTATCGAATGAATGAATCAAAACTTAGTTTGAATCAGTGTTTTGTTTGTTTGATTGATTGATTGATTGATTATTGCGACTGTCCCCAACAACCTGACCCTCAGCTTTTTGGCGTGTAAGTCTGAACCTGATGTCTCTCATGTGTGAAGACGCAGCTGCACAGTGTGACTCATGATGCCTGATGTAACAGCCTCCTCCTGCCAGTGTGATGATAAACTCAGAAGGACTCTCTCTTGTTCCTGAGCCTTTTTTCCTACAACAATCTTAAACTCAGTCCCAGAGTTGCTCTTTGTCTCCCTCTTGCAGTCGTCTTCATTTCATCCAGAGCAGACTCGACCCCTGAGCACTGTAAGGTAAATCTGTGCAAGTCGTTTTGAGACAAAACGGCTCAAACAGGAAGTTTTAGTCTGAGACCAGAGTTAAACCACGTCTGTGAAACGGCCCTGAATTTATCATCGCACAGGACGAAGAAATTCAGCAGCTGTTCAACATCTGAGAAGCTGGTGATTCATTTAAAAAGAAGGAACTTAAACGATGAATCAATTATTAAAACTGCTGCAGATTAACTCCCTGCAGAACCACTAATGTGTTCACTGTGTTACAGTCAGTGTTGTCCTTCCTGTGGCTACCGGCGCCACAGAAGAGTTGGTTGTCCACTCCTGACGTGACTCCGAGGTGTAAATCTGATGCTGATGGGTCCAGACTCCTGTAAACTGTGACTCTGTTAATATCTGCAGAAGTGTGAGCGTGTCTCACCAGGTGCAGGAGCACTCTGAGGGCGTCCCTGGCTCGCTCTGGGTACTGCAGGATCTCTGCCAGGGCTTGGCCCACCAGCGACATGGGGCTGTTCAGCTTCACATCACTTCCAATCAACATGTAACCTGAGGGAAAACACACACCGGTGGATGAAACACAGTCACTGAAACACTGCAGCCGGAGCGTCTCTCTGCCGCTTGTGTGTGATTTGTAGATGTGAGAAAAACAAGAAGGGCTTTTCATCAGAGACAGAAGAGCTGCGCTTCATGCTGTCGGATGATAGTAAGAGGACCTTGAGTGTCTATGTGCAGGGCTGTTTGCTCACCCGCCCAGTTGGAGGGGTGTGAGAAGTGCTTGCTGCTCTGCAGCGTCTTCATGGCCTCGGTCAGAGCTGCGCTGGCTTTGGTGCCGTTGAGAAGAGCTGTGTAGAAGGTGTGCGTGAACAGTTTGGAGGCAGCGATCGGCACAGGCCACAGAGAGACACACACACACTGGACGCCCGCGGCCAGGAAGGCTCGGGTCAGACCCACCACGCCGTCGGCCGTCACCCTGCTGCTGGACTCCGGGTACAACCTGAGGAGAGAAGTCAGAGCTCAGGTGATCCGTCCGGCCCGACAGGATTTGTAAAATGTTGAACCTGTGGAAGGTTTTTACCTGAGAACCACCAGTTTGACGGTCAGACACAGGCCCAGTATGTCAGCAGCAGTGAGGAGGAAGTCTTGAAGCGACGGACTGTCACACACACTCTCCACCTCGCACACACTGTCCCCGTCCTCGCTGGTTTCATCCGCTCGCCTCAGTCTCTCTGAGCTGCTGTGACTCTTTGAAAACGAGCCCCTGATCTTTCCGTCCTGATCCACAGTCTCGCCCGAGATCGACGCCCCACACGGTGATTTATCCTTGGGTCGGCTTCCGGGCCCCTCCGCCCCGCCGTGCTCCTGGCTGGGGGCGAGGACCAAAGCGGCGAGCTTCCAGGATACATGAGTGGCAAAGTGAACGCACTCCGCCTGACTCAGAGCGGCGAGCACGCGCTCCTTTGTGGCATTCGCTCCGGTTAGGGGATGACATCCGAGCTGCTCCCCCAGCCAAAGAGCTTCGTCTTGGGCTGAGGGCAGGGGCCCCCACAACCAGCGGTCCATCACGCTGGCGGGCAGGCGAGGAGCTCCGACCACCGCAGCCACTGAACCTGCGTCTGTGCAAAGTGAGGGGCCGCCACGGCGAGGATGAGGCTGTGGGACGAACACAGACTCACATCAGATCTTTTCTTTTCACAACAATACAAGAAATACGAGAATATTACAAACAAATCAAAACTAAAATCCATCAGTTTACACACGGTGTATCATGCATGCAGCGTATCATTAGAACGATCTACCGACCTTGCTTGTGGCGCCCAGGCTGCCCAGAGACGGGACAGAGATGAGACTGAACCTTTCATACAGGTACTCATTAGAGGAGCTGCCTTTGAGCAAGGCAAACGGGATCAGGTACAACTCGCCCTCCAACACTAACACCAGCTGCCTGTGTCGGCCCACAGGCCCGCTGCTGTGCATCAGACCCTGCACAGCCAAGAACAGAAACAGATCCATGTTTAGCATAAAAAGGAAACGTTAATAAGCTGCTTGTTGGAATATGAAGGAGGTTTTTCCCCGGGACACGTGAACACCGTACACACCCCCTCCATCGGCGCAATGAGCAAGTCATACAGGGCTCGCAGGGGAGGTTTGCTGATGTTACTGGGTCGGCAGGGAGGAGAGGACACGCTGTCTTTGACCGGAGACACGGTGGCACTGTACAGGCTGGTCATGCTCTGACAGCTTCTGTTGACGGCATAAACACACACGTGATAAACACACAAACACACACACACACATGAACCAAAGGGAGCAGACAGATCCTCTGGGCACCGTGCATGTTTGTACCTGTTGAAGAGGTTGTTCCTGGACACCATGCGGAGGTAGCCGGTGGGGTCGGTGGCTGAGGTGAGTTTGTTGTTCAGCTCCTCGAACTGTTGGTCCAACAGATCTCCGGCTTCGCTCTCCGTCTCGCTGCTGGAACAGACTCTGTGGAGCAGACGGTGACGCAGCCGTGCGGCTCCATTACAGCGTTCAGTGATGACGCTGAAACTCTCTGTGTGTGTTCTCTGTTTATAGCACTATCTCTCTTTACTAAGAACATCTAACTGGAAGGAAGCGATTTTAACGCAACACTCCTCCTCTCAGGAACGTCACTACTCACACCGTTTGTTTTCTTTATTATCTGTTGCCAATAACTCCGTCTGCATCCGTACGACCCACTAAATGAACGATTTAGCACGTCATTACCAGGCTGACTCTGCACATCGCAGTATACAGCTTTTACCTTCGTGCAGTCTGAAGAGACGCAATGCATGATGGGGCAGTAGAGTCTGTCCAGTCAGCTCAAGCCGCACACTCTTACTAATCGAGAACTCACCCGGGCACATGACATTTCACCTGTTGTTTTTAATGTGAACATGTGAGCGAGTCACAGGTTGAAGGCCGTCGCTAAAACAACACAGTTTAAAAAGAGTCACAGAGGCAGAAATATCCACCTCAGTTTGCTAACGTTAGCCACCACACGCTACCGGTCAGACCAGACCAAGTAAGACTGTAGTGACATAAACCTTGAGTCTACGTGATGAAGTAAGGGAACATTTTATTACTGATGTATATTTTATTTTTCCTGACTTCAAACGTTACATCACCTCCCTTTAAAACATCCTGGAAACATTTTTAATTTGGGGGATGAAACGAGACGGAGAAAGTTACAGTAGGTAACGATGTTGCTCGTGAGATAATGAGTAATGTTTGAAACTGCAGTTGTTTGTGTGATTGTGTGACACCGCACTGAGAGAATAATGAGTCTTTTTACAGGAGGAAAAATAGGCAGCAGTTATTTATAGGACTCTTATGTACTGGACTGATGGCTCGCAGAATGTGCCATTAGCAAACATCATTACTTTTTATGGAATCCTTTGGCTGCACTTTTCACACACTCAGGGAGATTTGATCTGTGTTAAAATAGCAGTTTCTGCTGCCTGGATGCATGTTAGAGGGCAGTAAAAGTCTGCTGGTGGCTTGGAAAAGCATTTTAATGCTGCATATGTGCAAATACATTTCATGCTGTGGATGAGCAGGATTCATAATCAGGCTCCAGGCTCGCCACAGCTTTAACACACACACACACACACACACACACACACACACAAGGACAAACACACACACACCAACGCGTGCGCGACAGACGCAATGAATCGCTGCTGGCTACAGTGACTCCACTGCAGTGGTTTTCACAGAAAGTTGAGACGCAGTTTGTGTGGGGGAACATTTGCTGACACAACACATGGTAGTGATTTACAAACTCGTCCAGTCGCACCAACCAAGGCCTGAAGTTGTGGGCAGGATAATTGAGGATAAGGAAATATGGCAGCAGAGAGGGAGAGGGAGAAAAGGAAGACAGATGACACACGGCATGCGGCTCCTCTGCCCCCCCCCCCCCGTGTTTAATGAGTGGAGACGTACAACAACAAGACATAAGGCTGAGACTGCAGTCATGCTGGCGGCTCTGTGAGGCTGCACTGTGATGTTTACCATGTTCGTTATCTTAATTTAGGGCTGTAGCATGCTAACATTTGCAATAGCGCTACATACAAAGTGCAGCTCAGGCTGATGGGATCCTCATCAGGTTTGTTTGAAGTTTTCTGGATGACAGATCAGCTGATCACCAAACCAAAGCACATGTGGAGACATTTCATTTAAAACCACACCGTCGACCTCAAAGAGGCGCTACAGGAGAAACTCAGCAGGGTTCGTCCTCTGGTAACCATGAATGTGTGTGTTTATAGCTGCTGAGATATTTCACAGAGTAAGTCAGAGGATCAGGCAACAACCACCAGGTGAAAAGTTTCTCACTAAAGGAAAAGCTCTACCTGCTGTAATGGCTGTCCACCCCCAGAGCCTCTCTAGCGTTGTAGATGTACTGGTCCAGAGACAGGGGACTACTTCCTCCTCCTCCTCCTCCTCCCTGGGGGCTCCCTCCACCATCCTGGAGCTCAGACACCTCCCCTCCGGCCTCTCCAAGATACACCTCGTTAAACTTGACGATACCTGTTGTAGCATTTCAGAAAAGAAGGTGAGTGAAGTGGCGCGTGCTGCGCTGCATGAGTTATATTCATCATTTTAAAAGGAGGTGGTGCAGCAGTAGGAGGCGTGTATACAACATTTTGGGGATTTGGGGGAAAACATCTTAATTAGTAACAGAGCTAAAAGTTTTAAGCTCCAGTAGCTACTGGATCTTAGAGGCTGTAAAGGTTTTAAGACCCTCAGTGGAGAAATGCTGGATGTGATGGGGCTGCGAAGATGAAGGTGGCCTCGGAGGAAAAGTGATTAAAATCCAAATGTCCTTCAAATGTCAAGACGATTAGAATATGAGTCCAAAATAAAAAGGGTTCATCCACTGAGGAGAACGAGAGTAAATGTCATGGCCGTCAGCCCGTTAGATTCCAGCCCAGTTCCAGTGTCCAGACTCACAGAGGGTTTATGAAACTGGGCCTTTGATAACACGATAATGGGCAAGTGAGCAGGATGTAAACTGTGTGTGTGTGTGTGTGTGTGTGTGTGTGCACCTGTTCCTGGAGATATCAGCCAGCTGTACAGAAAGCCTCCAGCCAGAGAATAGTAGAGGACCATGGCCCTCTGACCGTTGACCGTCTCCAGGATGTGCTCTACGGTCACGGGGATGTAAGGGTCGGTGCTCGCTGCCTGCTGACTTCCTTTCTGCCGTTCAACCAGGAGATCGGCGAAGGCTCGCGTGCGCCCTCGCTCCGCTATGGCCAGCGCCTCGTCGTGCCGTCCTGAGTGGAAACACAAGAGGATGAATTAGGAGAACACAAAGTCTTAATTAGCAGCGTTAGGAAACAAATGCGCCCAGACGTCAGGTGATGATGACAGAGCGTGGGGATGAGAGAGGAAAGGCGAGAACACTGAACGCACAAAGCCATTCACCCTGCACAATAACAACACGAGAGGGAAGAGGACACTCAACTCACCTAGGCTGACGAGGACTCTCTGGAGAGCCTGGTACGAGCCGGTTTGCAGATCAAACAGAGAGAGCTTGTAATCCGTGCTGTGCTGCGTCTCGTGACGAATCGTCTCAAACAACACCGACGCTCTGTACAACTGAAACACACGGCGAACAAACACCTGAGAGTCATACACTGCATCGAACTCCAGTTCTCTGCAGAGCCACACACACACACACACACACACACACACTTGTACAAGTCTCCCATAGGTGTTGAGACCAGCCGACAGTGAAGACACTTTGTATTTGTCTCTCTGCTCGTCTCTTCCTGTCGGATGTCGCTCGTCTGTTTTATAAAACACTTTAATCTAAAGCAGAAGAAGCTGCTGGTCAAACCTGAATGAGCCGTTTCATTACTGACCACCAGGAGGCGCTATGAATACACGACACGTGTGAAGAGTCAGGGGGGACAGCTGGGTGAGAGCTCTCTCTCTCTCTCTCTCTCTTAAACCCTACTAAACCTAGATGGTGTCGTTACAGCTGATTGGTGATCGTGTTGATGTTTCTCCTGTGTCCTGCATCATTTATGTGTTTTCACACTTTATATTTTTATTTTACAGAATAGAAAAATGTAGGAAAAATGATCACGTGCAAATAAAGTTCATTAAAAAAACTGTAACAAACAAAAATAACAACAACAAAAATAAAAATAACTAAATATTGATCTAAATATTGATTTAAATCAGGCAATAAAATAATAATTAACGAAATTAAATTGAATTAAGAGGCTTTGAGGATCAGGATCATGTAGCTATATTGTAACTATGTATTTTTATTGTCTGTTAAATTGAATAAAAAGAATAAATTAAATCAAATTAACCCTCTAGGCTCCAGATTCCTTTGCAGATTATTCCATGAACTTGTTTCATCATTGTCTAACATGCTGTAGTTTGACTTCTCTTTGACTTCAAACATCACAGGCGCCTCAACAACGGTGCAAATAATGAGCGATGATCACTGAAGGTATTAGACGAGTTCACGGTTGTAGAAATATATTTAGTTTCACTATTTATACAAACGCTGCTCATCAATGTGACTCTGATGAAGTTTATTTACATGTGAAGTGATTTTTATTCCAACTCCCTTTTTGTGCCTCTTTAATGAAACCTGATGTGTGTCTGTAAATCACTTACAACATGAATAATTCAAAGACAGATCTTCCACATCATCTGGTTTTCTCAGCTCGTCTCTACATGACTTATAAATAAAGTTATGTTATTATCGATAAAACAAGCCCAGTGCATCGGCTGATGCGTAAACAGACTCGAGAGGGTTAAAAATGGATTTGATAGATCATCCGCATCGATCGATCGTGGAGTCATTTACACCTCCAGCTTCTCGAGGCTGTAACTCTATGGTGTGATTCCATCAGCCTCCTCTGACGCCCCTTTGATGCTGGTGGCCTGAAATGCGACTCCATACAAGACTCTACCACTACTTATCTTGTCACAACTCTTTAGAGCTGCTGCCATCTCAACGAGGGGCCTGTGGAAGTGCAGAAAATGGCTCTCGTCAGGGAGCTGCGAACGGATGAGGAGCGGCTCTGTGAAGGAGGCAGCTGTTGCCACTCTAAAAAAAAAATGGGGCTAACATCCAAAACATCCCTGCGGCAACAAATCTCTGATCCTGTCTTCACACTAGACTTGTACAGTAGGTTCTGAAGCACACACTAACACACACACACACACACACACACACACCTGGTGATGTGCCTCTTCCAGGTTTCCGCTGGCCCACAGAGACAGACCCAGGCGATGGCGTATCTTCGCTTCATCTTCCCGGCGCCCTAACTGCTCCGCCAGACGCAGACCTGAGGAGAGGAGGGAGAGAGAGACGGAGCAGGAGGAGATCAGATGCTGCTTTCCCAGAGGCTGATCTGAAAAATCATCTCTTTGAAAGTCCTGGCAATGTGACGCTCAACTGTTGCGGCACGCAGGCGAACTCGCTCCGAGCTGAAGGGTTGCTCACATTCGCCTTTCTTTTCCTCTCATTGTTCCTTTTGTCTTTTGTCTTATTATTCTGCTGATTCAAATTCAAAGTTCTCGTCTCTTCTCTCTGCTCTTCAGATACGTTTCATCTCCCCCTGCTATGAAGGCGCAGGCCGGCGCGGCAGCTTGTATTTAGCTCTCATTAAGCTCTCAGACTGGGCAGAATCTCATCAAGTTTGTGGTTCACACTTCTCTGGCTGTTCGTCTCCGACTGGCCCTGTGATGTTCGGGATCTGCGTTTCCTCCTTGTGTTTGGGGAGGTTAATTGGACGCACACTTCAGCTCTTGTCCTCACCTCAACTCTGAGCCCAATTCCTCGTTGCCATGTTCAGTTAATGATCAATTAAAATCCAGAGGATCTGCCGGTTAAAGTGACAAACCGTGGCCGTGTCTTACAGGGCCGACGAAGCCTGAAGGAGTTCATAAATAACCCCCGACCGCTCAGTTTAAACATCCATTACAATTAGCTTGTATCTGAATTGATCTCAGTCTTATTTACGAGTGCGTGTGCGCGTTAACGCTTTCTCTTTAATACACGAGGAAAGAGATTGAAACGGGGATTGTTTTCAACGAGGATGCAGTTTCACATCCAGAGAGAGGAATGAGAGGCGCGAGTGTTTCAGAGCGGAGTGGAGTCAGAGAAGGAGTTAAATCAAACAGGATTATTGACAACAAGCTGTCTGAAGGAAACCACACTCCGGGGTAAACACCCCAGCACTGATCTTCTATTAGCCTGTGTCAGACTCATGAATACCTTTCATGCTCCTTCAGAGATGCAACTCACAATGTTCTCAGGCCTAAACAACTCTGACTTTAAATAAGATACCCACACGCAGATCAAAGCGAGAGCCAGAGTGAGTCTGACTGCAGGGGAAGGTGAAACTGAGACTCACTTTTTACACTTTGAGAGTTTGTTGATACACGTCAGAAACACAGAACACAGCGGAGATGATGAATTCAAAAAAAAACCTTCCTCACCTTCCTGCAGGTACATCACGGCCTGCGCGTAGTTCTGCAGCGCGTGGTGTGTCCTTCCCAGGCTCCCGTAGGCCAGAGTTTTAGCTGTCAGATCGTTGGTCTGTGCCGCCACGCTCAGGTGCTGCTCCTGGAAGACCACGGCCCGCTCGTAGTTTCCCAGAGCTTCGTAGGTCAGGCCCAAGTTTCCGTAGGCTCGGCCCTGGCTCCTCACACAGCGGGTCTGCTCTGCTATATCCAACGCCCTCTGGTGCCACTGTAACAGCACAGCTTCAACACTTAACGGGCTCGACCGACATTCAGGGAAATGCTCTTATTTACTTTTCTTGCAAAGAGTTAGATGAGACAATCAGAGTATGTGAAATATGAAGCTAGAGCAGGAGAGAGTTAGCTTAGCTAGCCCGGCTCTGTCCAAACTGCTGGACTGTTTCTTGGCAGAGCGCAGTCACTTCCTGCCTGGAGTCTCTGCAGGTTGAATGGAGCCAGACACTTGAACTTTAGCTTAGTTTAGTTTATTTATTTATCTGAACGTGGAAGTTTCCAGTCGGAAATTTCAACTGGAACACGCCCTGAAGTTGGATTTTTTTTTTTATTTATTTAATACACCACCAAGGAGTAAGACAAAGGTTTTCTATTCCTATTTCTATTTCTAACTCGGAAAGTCTGGAATCCAAGATGGCTGCTCTGTGCAACAACAGAGGTGAAAAGCTGCAGGATCAAACTGTTTATTAGCACTTGTCTCATTAAATCAGTCACACAAACACAAGCGTCCCTCTTCTATGTGTGGACGTGTTGCAGCACCGTGTGCATGTGCAGAATACCACAATGTTATGAACTGGCGTTTGTGAACAACAACAAGCTTCCAACTTGTTGTGCGGGAACGCGGTTAACTCAGGTGTGACGTCACCCCCGGCTCCGCCCTCTGAGCTTTAAGCTTTATATTTAAATGACAGACTTGAAGGTGGTGTCCGTCTTCTCGTCTAACTCTCAGCGTGGGAGCGAATAAGCGTATTTCACAAAAAACACGGAGCTGTGCATTTAAATGATGGAGAGGAAATACTGAGTCATGATGTTTTATGAATCTGCACAGACCTGTAGCGCCGTCTCGTTGTCTGCCATCAGCTGATAAACGCCTCCGAGAGCATCGCTCGCCTCTGCTTCCAGGGATTTATCCTGACAGGCAAAGCAGGATTTACGGTATATTTGTGTGCATAATATACTTTTCATAAAGGAGGAAGATTTATCGTATTCAACAGGGCACAAGGAGGAAAGACAGCTGAAACGAGAACCTCTTACCCCTGCTGTGCGTGCGATGTTAAGCTGGTGCTCCAGGCAGGAGAGGGCCTGCTCGTAGTTGCCCAGCTGGCTGTGCAAGGTGCCCAGCTCCCCATACGCCTGAGCCTTACCCCCTCCTTCCCCACCCAGCTCATGGGCCACCACCAGCCGCTTCTCAAAGCACACCAGCGCCTGCTGGAGACTCCCCATAGACCTGAAGAGGGAGAGGTCAGAGACAGAGGAGAGAAAACACAGACACTCAAATCATCGGTTTCTTTGCATTTGGTTTTTCTGTTTTCAGAGAGAGACTTCAGGCAAATTAAGAAAGCAATCAACAAAGCTTCCTGGTTCTTAAAAACAGGACATTTCTGAAACGGTTCTGTATCCTGCCAGAGAAAAAAGCAAAGAAAACAAACATCAAACATCTACAAAGGCTGCGTTCATTGTGATGAATCAGTGACTCTTCTCTCCTCATTATCATCTCATTCACACTCCAGAGAGCAGACACAGACTACAACAGATGGATAAAGGAAACCCATCATTAAGCCTTGTTCCTGCCAGTGAACATTAGTTGTATAGTTTCATATGAAAAAGGACGGATCTCTCTGAAAAGCAGCGAGAGCACCAACCCTCTTCCTTTCACCACAGCTGCTTGTTACTATTATTACACTTAGTGAATTATGATTGTTTTCATTATTGTCATGACTCTAATTTAAAATGTGGAAAGTGAATTGCTTGAAGCGGGGGGGGGGGAAACTCATTTGAGAGTCATGCATGAATGCTGCGCTGCCTGAAGGGCACAGCCAAACTAATGGGAAAGCGCAGAACATAAATGTATGTATACATGACATAAATATTAACACAAATGTAATCGCAGAGTCTGGAGCAGTGGCGCTGAGTGGCTGCATGCTGCAGAAGAAATTACAAATCTGTTCACATGAGACAATTTTAAAGGAAATCAAACTCAACTAGTTCAACTATTATAAAATACAGTTTTCTGACTCTGAGACGAGACCGTCAGAAAGAAACTGAAAACACAAACTACACTCTCGTCAGGTGAGAAGTTTGAGCCAGCAGCCGATTAGCTTAGCTTAGCATAAAGACTGGAAACGGCAGGAAACAGCTAGCCTCTGGAGAATAATTTTACATGGGATTAAAATTAAAATGAAATAATTATGACTTGGTATTCAGGATAATCGTCACTGAATGTTTTGATGAATGAAACCAGGAAATGGAAACTGGACGCTGAAATGACAAACTGAAGTTGTGTCATGGAAACTTGAAAAAGCCTAAATGTAAATTTATATGTTTGTTTTTGCTGTTGTCTCATCTGAGACTGAACATCACAATCCATGTATTTCAATATTTTACTTTTCATTGTCATAAAACCACATTATACTACAGATATGAAACTGACTATTTTAATTACACTGTGCAAGAAAAGCACAACTAAGAAAAACAACAACTGTGTGTGCAACACATCAGTTTCATGCTTTTTATTGTCACTATGTTAAATTGCATCGTGTCTATCAAACAAGTAAAAAGCTTCAACTGAAAAGTGCAATTAAGAAGAAATAAAAATTTTGCATTTGCTCTTTTCCATTTGTCATTTAACATTTTGATTTTGGCTTTTTAAGTTTCATGTAAATGAGGAGGCGTGACTTGATGATGGAGGGTGGGACTGAAGGGGAGGGGGGGGGGACCAGGGGACTTGAGTGACCCCGCTGCTGCTGCTGTGAACCGACCGAACTGCCATCAAAGTGAAGACTAGCTAAAGCCTTTTATCCATTTTCACTAGAAGTTTAATCACACAGTTGTCATGTTAAATTTCTTCAACTTCGAGCCACTGGAGTTAAATTAGGCTAAAGTTGAGAAACTCCTTTTAAAACCACAAACTGAACCGTGTTTGAACTTTAGTTTTTACTCTGGCTTGGATCCCGTTTCATTTGAACGGACAGAAATGAGAGCCGTGCCGATCTCCTCATCTGACTCGTGGCAGGAAAGTGAAGAAGTGAGTTTGCCAACCTGTGTGCATTGCCCAGTCCTCTGTAGGCTTTCTCCTGGTCCTGGACGTGGTTGAGACTCTGAGCCACCGTCAGGTATTTCTCGCAGTACTGAATCGCCTCCTCGTAGTCTCCCAGAGTGTCGTAGCAGTCTGCCAGGTTCCCGTAGGCCCTGCCTCTGTCCAGCATGCTCTCCGTCCCGCTCAGCTGCTGCAGCATCGCCAGCTGCTGCTCAAAATAGCCGATCGCTTCCTCAAACACCCCCATGTTCATTTTGGTGATGCCCATGTTGCCGTGGACCTGGGCCTCCAGACGGGCGTCCCTGAGCCCCTGAGCCAGGCCGAGCTGGGCCTCATAACACTGGAAGGTTGTAGCGTAGTCTCCCAGGGCCATGTGCACTGCTGCCAGGTGGCCGAGGGCGCGGCACTCCCCCTGCTGATCACCTAGATCCTTTCGGAGGGTCAGTTCCTGGCTGTGGAAGGACAGCGCTGTGTCCAGCTGGCGGAGCAGCCTGAACGTGGGAGGAGAGGGGGAGAGGGGTGAGGGAAACAGAACCGAGGAAATCAGAGCAAATCACACGGCGGAAAACCTTCGTGTTTTACCTGTGAACTGATCCAAGCGCCGAGTAGGCGTCGGCCTCCATCTTCCGATCACCGACTTTCTGCGCCAGGGTTAACTGCTGCTGGTAGAACCTCACGGCTCCGGGGAGGTCACCCCGACACACGCACACGTCGCCCAGGTTCCCAAAGGCCCTGAAGACGGCCTGCTGATACAAATATAACCACAGCGACACTGATTAACAACCACTTCCTGCGTGAAGGACGAGTTCTCACAGATTATTGCACAGCCAACGTCGGCAGGTGACCTGAGTGTTGTCCAAGGCTTGAGCTAGAGAGAGCAGGTATCTCTGACACTCCTCTGCTTTGTTGTACTCCCCCAGCGCTTTGTGGGCCAGACCCAGGTTACAGTACGCTTTCGCCTGGGCGAGTTTGTCTTGGAGGTCCTTAGCCAAGGCCAGGTCCTGCTCATAATACCTATGAAATGGAAGAAACAAGTTTGTAATGACTCACTCTCTGGTGATCACTGAGGTTTATCTGCTTTCTAACAAGGAAAACGGGTGAGTTTCTCAGACCTGACGGCGTCTCTGTACTGTCCGAGGCAGTAGTGAGCGTAGCCGAGGTTGTGGCAAACTTTCCCCTCTCCCTCCAGGTCCTGCAGGCCCGGGGCCAGAGCCAGGTACTGCTGGTAGTACGGCAGGGCCTGGGCGTACTCGCCTCTCCAGCTGTGGAAGTTTCCCAAGTTTGCTGGAAAAGTAGAAAAAAAATAGAAAGAGAACATTTAATTTTTTTTTTAAATCAAGCAACATTCCTGCGCCTCTGTCCTCAAAGCGTCTCTCTCTTGTCCGACTTACCTAAAGCTCTCGCCTCGCTCTGAGTGTCTCGGAGCTCTCGTGCGATGGTCAGGTGGTGAAGGTAGTGCTGGAGAGCTCGGTCGTGAGCGCCCAGCGCCTGGTACGCCACCGCCAGGTTACCGTGCGTGGAGGCCTGCGACGGACGGTCATTCACCTGAAACACAGAGACCTTTGACGAGTCTGTTTCCTGCGAGTGTGTGAATGCGTCGTGTGAAGACTGAGCGGTATATTTCACCTCCAGTGAGATCTGCAGCTCTTGCCGGTGGTACCGGACGGCTTGGTCGTAGATGCCGAGCGCGTGATAGGCGTTGCCCATGTTGCCGTAGGCCCTCCCCTGGGCGGCGTAGTCACCCAGCTCCTGGGCGAAGGACAGGTGGGCTTTGTGGAGCTTCAGCGCCGTCTCATACTCGCCCTTCATCTGGTGGATGATGCCTGAGATGCAGAGCGAGAGGAGGGAAGACAAACCTTTAGAAACGAAGAAGCTACTTCCTTTCTTTGAGGTCTGATTGTTTAGCAGAGCAGTTTTTCAGTTTCGAGTCACCTGAGACGACCCTGATCACCTGAAACAAGTCAGATCTCGTCTTGAGTCATTTGAGGTCCAGGTCAAACCTTGAGCCTTTCAGCAGAACAGTTCTCTAGTCCAATAAAGTCTCATGTCATTTGAGGTAAATCGAGTGCACAGTTGATTGACAGGATTTTACCAGGTGAAATCTCAGTCTCGTCTTTACAGAGTCAAAACTCTGTAAAGAGTCAAAACACGGCACATGAGGGCAGGTCGGCAGAGTGATGCACGTGGTAAACTCTCCAGAATGATTCAGAAGAAAACACATATATGTGTTTGCGTGTGTGAATATAAATGCACACATGGTTTTCAGAACCCCGGGAGAGATTTGAGAGCAGAGCAGTAAATAATTAAAAAGCTACAGCAGAAAATTCAACAGATCTGCGGCTCTGGGTCTCCGAACTTTAGCAGCTCTCTCTCTCTCACACACACACACACACACACACACACACACACAGATCCAGAGAGGAGTCACACACACTCTGACTCTCTGTCCGGGGGAAAGAAAACCTGGGTCCCAGTGGCCTGAGCTGCTCTCTGTGGGATGATGTGTCTCCACCGCCGTCAACAACACAACTTTTAGAGCCAAAGTAGACACAAGCTGGAGGGGAGAGAGAGAGAGAGAGAGAGAGAGAGAGAGAGAGAGAGAGAGAAAGAGGGAGAGAGAGAGGGAGAGAGGGAGAGAGAGGGAGAGGGAGAGAGAGACAGAGAGAGAGAGAGAGAGAGAGAGAGGCAGCAGCTGCAGGATGAGATGAATCCTGGGAAATACAAACTGTTGATGAGCAGCGGTGGAAACACTTTCACACAAGTGCTGCACTTAAAACACAATTTTCAGGAACTTGTACTTTACTTCAGCATTTACTTTTACTCCTCTCACGTCTGAGCACAACATTCAGACTTTACTCCACACACTGAAAACATCTCCATCCCATTAATAATCATTTCTGTCTGTTTTTCAGTCGTAAAAGTCTCAGCGTGTCAGCTACAGTGTTATACTGAGGCTTATGGGTGAATCCGTAGGTAGAACATATATAAAGGCTTTGACTTGTAATGGAGTATTTGTAAAGTGTGGTGTTGTTGCTTTTACTTGAGATAAGGATCTAAATACTTCTTCTCGTATCGAGCGGTTTCATCTTGAACCTGTGTGTGTGTTTGATTTTGCAGGTGAGTTTGACTCTGACCTTCATCTTCCCTGTTATTGTGATTGTGTTTACCTGCAGGCCGGTAACTGTAACGATGATTGCCACTCTCATGTAAACACCTTAACTGGGTTACCTCCGTCTAATCAAGGTCCAAATCAGAGCAAACGTAACCAGATTAACACGACTGGGTTACACATGTACAGTTCAAATTAATGGTACGAATATCAAACCGGAACAGTTTGATTTCCTCTCAGTGTGTTTTGAATCTCACTCCTTTGGGGACAATATTATAATTAAATTGATGTAGAACATTAATGCATCAAATAATTATAACCCACATTACAATACACATCATCTCTGCACAATGAGTACTTTTACTTTGAATAGATTTCAGTATATCTTAATGCTAATACCTTTGTATCTTACTTACATATACTATAAATACTTTAAATTCAAACACGTATTTTCTAAATGCTGCAACAAAATGCTGTAAATGCAGTGTAATCATTCTTCTGTGACATCTTCAGATTATATATATATATATATATATATATATCTCTATCAAACACTGTTCCTGTGTCTTTATTCCTGCAGTAAAAGACAGAGGACAGATGAGAGAGGGGTTACGAGAGGGGAAACAGAGATACGGGGGGTGTCGAGACACCAGATGGAAGAGGTTACATGTGGCTTTCATGTCAAACTGTGTGGAGAGAGGGAGCGGAGCGCGCTCTGATTCACCGACTGTAAACTGTGAGTCCTTCTTCCAAAAAAGCCGTGGCTCGTTTCCAGCGGATAAAGCTGCTGATGATATTCTTTACTTTCCCTCTTTGTGGACGAACAACGAGCTGAGTATCGTCCGAGTATCTGAAGCTGCAGACACACACGCTGCCTCACACATAATCTACATAATTAAACAGCAACACATTCGTATTTTGTATTTTATGATTTATATTCGTCGGACGTGCTCATGAAACGAACCACGCACATTTAGTTCATGTTGTATCGTCAGTAATTGAGTTCTGTTGTCTTTATTATTATCATTTTGGGGGGGGTTGAACCGCAAATGATGTTGAGACATTCAGTCAGGTTGCTTTTGTCTTTCCAGGGACAGTAACTTGTATTTTCTCTTTTGAGGCAAATAAAAACCTTTTAATTTTTGTTTTTAATTTACACTGTGTGTCCTGCTGCGTGACGCCTGACAGTGAAGCTTCTGTTAAACTATTAAAAACACACACTGCACACACACACACACACACACTCCTTATAGTTTGACTGATATTTAAGAACGACAGCTCCCAGCTGTTTCGGGAGATTCCTGAACTTTCTTTTAAAGAATGAAACTTTTTTTTTCTTTAAACATTTATGTCTTCAGTTGAAACCGGCGAACTTGCCGAGTCCCTGAACGGATTGACGAGAAACTGATGAAGACATTTGAGGTTTGGGTGTTTTTATGGAATTAAATGTAAAAAAAAAGACAAAAAAGAAAAAGACGGAATAACGTCACGTTTTCTCCTTTAAGTCTCCAGTCAGATGCATAAACGTCTGTGGAGCTTCAAGGTTAAAACTCACACACATTGTGTCAGAATCATAAAGACTAAATAAAACTCAGTCATTGTGAAATTGTCTGGTTTCCACACACACTTACCAATATATTGACGTATTGCTATTCAGGATCTATGAATGCCTCTATCTGCCCCACTTGCCCTTAGACAACGATATAAATAGCAGAACTTCCCAGAATGCTTCACAAGCTATGACCATTTATTGCATCCATACTTGTAAAAATTCAATATTTCATCTGAAATGCATCTATAAAGCATCAGGGCCTGTGATATCATCATCATCGTCGCTCAGATGGTCGAACAATGATTTGGTTTATAGCCCTCAAACTGAAGCATTTACAGAGCTCTTCACAATAAAAGCACAAACAATAATAAAAAAAAACTTTAAGCCACAGATGTTGAATGTAAAACAACAAAGGCCGCCTGAACAACAGAAGAAGAAAAACTGGGGACAAAAGCAATGAATTAAAATTACGTTTATAATTGCATCTTTAATTGGCCTGTAACAGATGGATACGAACTGCACAAAAAAAAAGAAAAAAGAAGTCATTCACGCTCTGTGAAACTGTCTAACAACCTAAAAGAATAATGATGCATATTTTATTCTGTCTGTCTTTATTCTTTTTTAGTGTGTGTGTGTGTGTGTGTGTGTGTGTGTGTGTGTGTGTATGTGTGTGTGTGTATGGTGCATGTATAAAACACTGAGCTGTGTCTTCAGAGGAAAAAAAAAACGCCATGACACCCGACACACTGTGTTTGTGGACTCCCATCAGCCCCGTCTGCAGGAGCATGTAAGAAGCAGAGCGACGCGAGGGAAGAGGAGGAGGAGGAGGAAGAGGAGGAAGAGGCCGTCGGCGATAAGGAGAGGGGGACCTCGTTCATCAGGGTCTCGCGCTAAGAGGATTACAGAGAAGCCTGCAGAGTTGGCTGGAATAGCTGGTTACGGTTTCACCCCTCCTCCTAAACTCTGCTAACACAGGTGTGAGCATGAACACACACACACACACACACACACACACACACACACACACACACACATAGAGAATCTCCTGCAGGGCCGATAGCGCGCTCCTCTGAGGTGTAAGGTTGCCACATACTGTATCTGTAGATGTTCTGCCGGACAGTGGGATTCCCCGACATGGAGGGGGACGCAGTGTGAAGGGAGCAGAGCTGTAAAGGATTAGAGGTGTGGAAAATTAGCCGAGATCTGATGACAGCGTATTCGGCTGAACCAGCACGGAGAGCTTAAAGGAGGAGGAGGAGGAGGAGGAGAGAGGTGATCTCCTCTCTGCTTTCTCCACGGTGGTCTGGAAAAGGCTCTGTCGACTGAATCGGGCGTGGCTAACTTCTCCTGGTCCCGTTCTGTTGTCTTTCCTTATCTCAAGCTACATGTATAAATATCTTTATATTACTAACGTGTTAAACGACTTCATGTGATGTGAAAAACCACCCGACTCTGCATCTCCGTGGAGCGTTTTAGCATCTTTCAGCTCAGTGTTTTGGTCCAGACTCTCATCAGCAACAGGCTCCAGATAGTTGGTGAAGGTCCGAGAACGTGGGAGTGATGAGTCTGATATGAATGCTAACGTCGCTCTAGCATTTGCTGGATGTATCAATATACCGTTGCTAACAAAATGTTGCTAACACATTTGCAACAGCAACTTTTTTCAGGTGACATATCAGGTGTTGTGTTCACTTCCTGCTACTTTTAAACACCCGATAACTTGAACCTGAACGAACCCTCAGTGATTTTTAAAGACTGGAATTACTCCGACATCACGTCACTGATGGGGAACGTGTGAAGCTGAGCACATCACAGGCGGATGGGCGCGTAACAGACCGCTCCACCTGTTGATCCAGACTTTGCTGTTGTATTTCAAGGGGGCTCTGATCTCCAGAGGTTCCCTGAAGGCAGCGAGCTCTGCAAACACGAGCTGAACACTGGGAAACTCTCACTCTCTCTCTTTCTCTCTCTCTGCCTTTGTTCCATCCGCCCGCACAAAAAAAATAAAAAATGAAGAAGAAGAAATTAATGAAAAATGAAAAGCAGGAGAACTGGGTATTCTAAATATCTGCCTAGCTTCCAGAGATGGTAACACTTGCATCATATTAGCTAACACTGAACATCGCATCACATAATAAGTTGTACAAAGAAGAAGAAGAAAAAAAAAAAACAGTTTTCTCCTGATAATGACACGATGTTTGAACGTTAACAGAGGAAGCAGCGTGTGACGGAGCTTTACTCTCTGAAACGTCCACAGAGCTGAAATCTCACTGTTCACCGTTGTTGCTTTAAGTGGCCACGACTGAATTCAAGCACCGATTTGAAAACGACTGTAAAACGAGAAAAAGACTAAAGTCCAACTGAGATGAAAGTCGCTAAATACAAGGTGAAGAAGAAGAATCACGGAGCTGCTGTGACATCATCATTTTCTTACTGTGGTCGTTAAGATTTAAATGGTGCCAACACAAATCACTGAGGAGCTGCACCGGGCAACACGACACCACATCCTAGATGAGGAGGAGGAGAGAGGAGGAGAGGAGAGGAAACAGGAGAGGAAATAGGAGAGGAAGCGGGAGAGGAGGAAATGTGAAAAAGGGAGGAAATGGGGGGAGGAAAGAGAATACAAGGAAACCAGGGAAAGAAGAAGGGGGAGGGAGAGGAGAGGGGATTACAAAAAAAGGAGAGGAGGAAACAAGGAAATGAAGAGGAAAGAGGAGGAGGAGGAAAGAAGAGAGGAGAGGATGAAAAGGAGGAAAAGGAAAGGAGGAGTGGATGAAATGAGAAGGATTAAGCAAGGAAGGAGAGAAGAGGAGGAAACAGGAGAGGAGAGAAACAAGTGAATAAAGAAGAGGAGAGCAGGTGGAGGAGAGGGAAAAAAAACAGAAAGGAGAGGAGGAAAGGAGGGAATAAGAGGAGGAAAGAGAATATGAGGAAACAGGTGAAAGAAGGACGTAAAGTGAGAGGAGGGAGGAGGAATCAAGGAAGTAACGAAGAGGAGGAAAGAAGATAAGAGAGGAGAGGAGAGGAGAGGAGAAGGCAGAGGAGGAAAGGGAGGAGAGTGAAGGGTTGTCAAGTCAGCATTCAGAGAAACGTAATCATCCATAAATGATGATCTAAATCATTGATCTGAGCCTCAGACTGCGGCTCGTCTGTCAGGAGAGTCAGCGACTTCTTCTCCGGCCTATTAGTCGCACCTCAGAGCCGCGAGCCGGTGAGAGCGTTTCCCTTTCACTCGGTTCAGGCGGCAAATAATACGAGTCTTTGGCGCGTGACCCGGGTTGTATTGAAAGTGGCTCCGTGTCCATCTGCACGCCGTACTCAAACAGGAAGTGTTCAGACCGACGGAGGTGGCTCACGTTACCGGTGTCGGCTCAGCGGGCCGAGTCGGGTTCACTGGGTCTCGGATATCACTGAGGCCGCAGAAACCAGAACCAGACCGAGGAACCTTAATAAAACATGAGCGCTGATTGGCCAGATAAGGCGCCTGCCGCGGTCACGTGATAGGACCTCAGAAGGCAGGTGAGGTGACGGAGGAGCAGGAGCAGGTTTGGTTCATGAGCTGCCAAAGTTGTTTAGCATGTACGTGTAGAGGTGGCACACACACACACACACACACACACACACACACACACACACACACACACACACAGAGAGAGAGAGTCCTCTGTCTGAGCGCTCAGTGCTGTGGATCGATGCAGGTCGAGTCGGTCAGGCCCGGGACGACTGCTCCAGTCAGCCTATCGAGTCTCGGTGGCGACAGCAGTGACAGAGCGGGTCAATGGTTAACGAGGGAGCGGCTCACGTGACGGTGCAGGCCAGAGCCGGAGCCAGAGCCGGAGCCGGAGCCGGAGCCGGAGCCAGAGCCGGAGCCGGAGCCGGAGCCAGAGCCGGAGCTGGGGCCGGAGCCGGAGCCGGAGCCCTGCATCAGATCGAACGAGGACTTCTGCACCACTGTAGTTAATGGTTTTGGGTTTTGGGTGTGAAAAACTATGAGAGTGTTTGTCTGTTATCTGAAATTGCATCACTCTCTCTCACTCTCACACACACACACACACACACACACACACACACACACACACACACACACACACACCCACACACACACACACACACACACACACACACACATTGAAATTCACGCAGAGCACAATAAGAGGCGTCTCAGTGCTGAGGTTTGTAGGAGGAGGAGACAGATGAAGTCAGAGCGTCTCAGAATAAAAACAGCTGAATAACGTTTCCTTGCATTTTATTAACATTTACCAGTGTGATGAAACTGGTTATTGTTGCCTCCCATAATAAAATGTTTAGTTTCCAGTTAAAAGTTAAGACGAAGAAGGAAGTTAAACTGTCTGAAGTATGACAGTAGCTACGACACGGCCTGGAATTATTTATCAGTAAATTATATTTTTTAACACTTCCCACAATAATTCCTGATGATACGATCAATTAAATTAGTGTCATCTGGATCTGCATTAAAGGGACGGATGGATTAACAAATTAAAAATGATTCATTATTTTAATCTAATTCTAAAAACAGGTGTATAATATTTCCTGAAACATTTTAGAACAAACATATTCTGTATATGAAAACTACAGCAGTGACTTTTTAGAATTAAACTGAAACTTTTTAATAACTTCCCAGGCTTTTTTTGTTGAGAAAACTGAATCAGTTTTTAATACTTTTCAAGACCTGTAAACACCGTGTTTGATAGAGCGCTCGTACCTCATGATAAATAATGACGTATCTTTACCTCATCTTTGATCGATGTTGTTTTCTGGCGCCTCCGGCTCTTCACTTTGAATAAAAACAAGGATTCGTTTTTTTACCGACATGCAGACGGCGTGTCGGTGTGTCTGCAGTTTCCCTCTCTGCAGCTCCACAAACCAAACCCAGAACCCGAACTTCCACTTTCTAAAGCAAAGCAGTGACTCTGAATAACTGAATAACTGAATAACTGAAGAGGTGGAAATGAAATATATCAGCATGTTCATCTTTTCCGCTCTTCTCCCATCTGGTTTTTAGCTGCTCGGACAGATTTTAGAGACTAAATCAAACTGAACCTGAAGGTGATGGAGGAGCTGTTTGACCAAAGTCTGATTTTGCAAAGTGTCAACTTGTATATGGACGTTTTTAAATCACTCTTTTCCCCGTCACTTTCCTTTCCTGCAAAAAAAAAAAGTTTATAGATAGTGACTGAGAAACTTTCTGTGCACTCACAGGTGGTTTTGTGGCGTCTCGTTTTTATTATAGTGTCTGTATTTGTGGTTATCTCGGTTGTCACTCATTGCATTATTATTGAACCTTTCAAACAATACAGTACACTGTCAGCGGCAGATCGTGGCTTGAACTGAATATGAACCAGTAATTTAAAGCCAGCGTGCCGCAGACTCTCAAATCCTTTCTTCTTTTATTCGGCAGATGCACAGATCCTCTTCTTTGTCTCTCTCCTCCACAATGCAGAGAAGAAGCAATCTGCCACGCTCCTATTTGTTGTCGTCTGTGCATCCTCTGGGGTGACAGTGCAGCTTGATTATAGCTACGATGCCACGCTCTCCCGCCGCCTTCATCTTATTAGGACTTTTTCTCCTTATTCTTCTTTAAAAACCCAGGAGAGGCAAACAACTAAGAGGTGCAAGAACCAGGTCCCAGACTCTGCCACCTGTTTATAAAACCACCCCCGTCTCTCTGACGTGCAGCTTCCTGCCTCCACTTCCAGGTTTGTTAACTTGGATCAGGTACAAGTGTCGTGGTTGTTTAACATGTCACACAATCTAGTTTCTGCTTCTCCTGCTGCCGCAGCTGGAAAAAAAATAAATGGATGGATTCTAGTTTGAGACCCTGTTTCCGCCACTGTCCACCTGTCCTCAGACTTTCCTCCATGTCCCAGATCCACCTGCTCACCTGTCTCCTACTCCTCAATCACCTGATCGTCCCCGCCCACTCACGTCTCCCCTTTGCAGTAATGAGACAGGAGTAGATCTGTCTCTCTGGAAACGTAGAGAGAGTCTGCGGGGGACTAGCATGCTAACGTGCTCCTGGCTGCATAGCGTATTAGCAGTTAGCTCACTGGCTGTGCCACTTCTAATCAAATGTAAAATAACAAATAATCCAAGTGCAGTTAAATAAGTGGAAAGAACCAAGTCCAAACAAACATCAAATGTCATGAGGTCAAAATGTCGTCGCTCACACGGTTTAAAACTCACGCTGGTCCTCGCAGAGATAGGAACACAAGAACACAGACACACACACAGATCCGCACGACCTCCATCCAACTGACCCCTGTATGACCCTCGGTTAAACCTACCCAGGTTGGAAGAGGCTCGGCCCTGTGCGGCTCTGTCCTGCAGCTCCTTGGCAAGTTCTAGCTGGTGCTGGTGGTACTGAAGCGCCCTGTCCAGGTCCTGAGGATCACAGAGGCGATCGCCATTTATTTAATATGTTTGTTCATCACATTATCAACAATTACAGTTAATCAGCCTCCTTCAAATGGTTTTATACCAACCTGCATGCACCGGGCGGCGTGCCCCAGCCCGGCATATGCCCTCATCTCGATGGCTCTGTCGGCCTGCTCCTGCGCCAGCTCCAGCACTCTTGTATGGTACGAAATGGCCTTGTCAAAGTCCCGTTGAGAGTGGTAGGCGCTGCCCAGGTTGCTGTACGCCCGCGCTTCCTCACGCCGGTTCTCCAAAGTCTGCCAAAGACACCGGTTACTCAGAAAATCACCTGCATCGTGGCAGCAGGTACAAAATGACCTCCGATAAATCAAAAAAAAAAAGGACTCGACCACCGTTTGCAGCGGAAATATCTGTGTCACTCAAAATGAGAGAGGGAACAGATTTTCTATTTAGAAAGATGGAGATGGAGCCAACACATATCCAACAGATGGCAACACTTCCAGCTGAAGTGACCTAAACTGTCAAAACAAAAAATGACTTTACAAGCGTTCAATAGTCGGAGGGATTTTTACTTTTTCTGGTACAAATTTAATTGTCAACAGATGGTCAATTTATATGTGAAGAGAGGAAACACAAAGAGATGATGCTGGCTGCAGCGACGCTGGCCAGCCTGCAATATTGCACTTCATCCAAAAAGCAAATATAAAGAGCTGAACGAGCACAGATTACTGTGTTTGTTCGTGTTACATTTGCATGAAGAGCTCCAGTGTGATGCCCCAAATATTTACAGGCTCAGTGTCTTCAACGCACTTTATATTGTTTGGGAAATGTGCAATAACTTGGTTATAAAAGGCTCCATTCATCAAGTGACAGATGTGCTAAAACACACACACACACACACACACACACACACAACAGCTCCAGACTGAAACATCCCGAGATGAAACTGCTGCTGCGGGGAAGAAGAAGAAGAAGAAGAAGAAGAAGAAGAAGAAGAAGAAGAAGAAGAAGAAGAAGAAGAAGCAGCCCTCCTGTTTGAATTCATAATAGTCCTGAAATACAATTTGCACATCCCTCTCCATAATAATCCAGAATTCAATTACCGGATGTACCGCAGCTGATGGCTTTATACTCACTCTACCTGGGTGATGTCTTTCATTTTTTTAGCGTGTTTGTGGAGCAACGTTTCACACTGAAAGGATCAATCAATCCCCAACAACATGAAGGAAGAAAGCAGACCTTTCTGACGCCGTGAGACACTGTGATGTTATAACGTCAAAACTACTGTGGAACTATCTGTCGAAGTCCCTTTTAATGTGCTTCCCCTCAGGTGGAGGATTATATTCCTTTCTATAGGTTGGGATATTAAGGTGATAAACTAAAGCATGAGGCTGGTGACACAGGCAGCCCACAGGTTCCCGCCGAAGACGTAAATCTTAAAAACGGCCTACGGTGCTCGGTGTGGGAGGTATGAAAATTTATTTGGGGCAAAGACCTAAATTGTAACAGCGAGGGAAGTGGAAGCACATTTACACATTATGAGATCATTCACAGGAGCCATTTCACAGCAGTAAGACGCCATAAAAATGTTGGAAATGTAATGTAGAGGCAGGTGCCTTTTTTTTCCTTCTCCTTTCTGGAGAGAGGTTACTGGAAAACTGGGCGGATGGCTCGAAAAAATCTTTCCCAGAATCTCCCCGACTTGTTGTCGACCGGGAGACGGATCAGAGTCACCACCAGGAACATCTTCAGGCTTCATCTCTGCAGCTGGAAATATCCCTCCCCACTTTTTATTTTATTATCACTGACTGGGTGAAGATGATGACTGACAACACCTTCTTCTTCTTCTTCTTCTTTCAGCTGATGATCGCGTGATTAAATTATCACAGAGGAGAATTCAACCAGGTCTGGGATCATTTCATGAATTATGATAAAGGTGCAAGGGGAGGAAGACTATTATATTATTCAAGACCCTTCATAGAAGAGGATATTTAGCCTCTATTCAGTAGTAGTATGAACTTTTATTAATCCAAAATTATAAATAGCTCATAAAAATAGTTTTAATTTTTATAATAGTCTATAATAATTTCCTAAAACAGCTGGTCACTGTAGTTTTTATCAAACATGACTCAGACTGGAGGAAAGGGAGCATTTGTTGGGGACTATTTCCAGCGGCGGATTAATCCAAATGTGGTGCTTTAGTGAGCATTTGCAGCAGCAGGACGGTGTGTGTGGGACTGAGTCAAAATAAATTATAGTGTGTGTGTGTGTGTGTGTGTGTGTGTTCATGGGGATGAAGGAACGTGTCACCCAGAGCAACAGTGAGAGTCACTGATGTGTTTTAATGGTTTCTGGAAACAAAGGCGCTCTGTGGCTGAGAGGAGGCAGGTTACACACACAGTGGAGATGTTCATTGTTAGTTTTGGTCTGAACAAAAGTAAAACAACGTCTTTTCTACCTTTGCGATATCCAGGTGCTGTTCGTGACACTGAACGGCGTTGGTGAAGTCTCCCAGCGCCGTGTAGACGGCGCCCATGTTGCCGAGCTGCCGGGCCTCAGAGAGCTGGCACTGGGTTTGTCTCGCCAACAGCACACACTGTTTGTGGCTGGCCAGCGCGTTGGGGTAGTCGCCGATGGCTGTGTACACGTGGCCCAGACTGCTGAGGGCGTCGGACGCCGCCTGGAATCACACACACGTCACACACGGGTTAACAACAGGCGAGGAAAGGGTTAACAAGATGGACACACACATGTGTTAAATGTAAATTGCTGCATTATTTATGCAGCAATTATAACCCTCGTTAGAACTAATGACCTTACACTTAAAAACAAATAAAGTTTTTACATCTTTACTAAAAAAAGTTGATGGAACTGAAATTGTGAATACATACATAAAATTTACACATATATTTTTTAATATAAAGAGAATTAAACAGAACTGACCGTCACTATCTATATAATTAACTACTTCCTCACATGCATCTAAATCTAACACTGTAATATTACATTGCTAAGTTGCTCACACCTTCATGTGTCGATGAGCCCTGGTCTTATAATGTGGGTTATTTACAATGTGCCAGTGTTTAGTTATTTGTTTAGGTTTTCATTTTGCTTTATAATCTATATTTGGAAAATTACACGGTTTTTCATGTTCTTTATATCTATATTTTTGAAATTCTTATAGCGTGAACGTTTGGAATAAAACAAAACGTTTAGATTTTGCACATTTTCCACAGATGTCAGATTATTTATGACATAATGGTGATGAAAGCTGACTGGAGGGGCCCCCTGGCAATTTCTCCGTCCGGGGCCCCGGCAGACTCTGGAGTCGTCACTGTCAGTAGCTGCTAAATGCTCCTGTATGTTCAGTCAGTCTCAGACGGCGTGTGGTTTTGGAGCTGAGCAGGTAGTGTGCGGCGGCTTTATCAGACGTGTTTTTATGTTTGCTGGAAACAGCTGCCTGCTGCCGGTGACACGGCTGCTGACAGCTGGAAGACTGAAACAAAACAGTAAAGTTGTGGGCCGTAAAACCACAACTGTGAGGCGAGAGGCGCTGCGCAGAGCTGCAGAGCCGGGGCGACAAGTCTTTGTGGATTTTGTCGACAGAGTTCACGTTACACGCCGTAATTTTCAACATTCGTCATGTAAAAGTCTCGAGTGGCGCAGCTTTTAACGTTCTCTCACAGACTAGAGGAAAGACACTGACCAGAACTACTGTGTAAGCTTTTCCACTGTTGTTGCTTCAAGATCTTTTATAGTGTGGAATAGAAAACAACAAAACCACTACATGCCTCTGTTTTACAGAGCAGCTGAAACTAGTTTTGTTGTCACCAGATTTTCTGTCACTCTGCTGCTGCTGAGTCCCTGAGTTGTGGTGGGTGTCACCTGGATGTTTTTTTGTAGAGTTTTAGTTTTTCCACACATGTAGTGCTGTAAACGTAAACTGCAGGAGCTAGCGTGGCTAGGAGGCTAACACCAGCAACAAGCAGTTTAAAGAGAAACTCGACACCTGGCCGAGCAGCAGCGCTTCACTGATGGGTGTGGTCTGAAACGTGCTCTAAACCACACCCCAACAGTGATGTCATCGGGTCCTGGAATACACCTGAACATCAGAAACAGCTGCTCGACTCTAGGGGGCAGCGAAACAAAGTGTGAGCACAACACTGACGTATCTGGCTCTCCAGCTGCTAAACGCTCCGCTGTGTTGACCTGCTGCTCTCTGACTGCTGTCCGCTGGTCAGCAGGAAGTGGACAGCACTGTGAGAGCGGTGAACCACAACAATAAACAGATAAACAGCGAGCTGAAGCTCCGTGAAGCCGCGGGGAGCTGCAGGTTAAAAATCCACCCTGACCCCGACAATCATATCAGCGATTAGAGCTTCCCTTGTTTTGGTTTTAGCAGCCGGACAGTGAACCGACGGTTTTCAGAGAGGAAAAGAAAAAGTGAGGGGACATGGCTTCATCCCGTCCCTAATGGAAATCACACCCTTGGACGACACGCACATATTGGAGGCTACAGGGGTGAAAGCTAATCTTTCACATCCTATTAGACCCCGCAGTGAGAGTCTCACCCTCTGCCTGCACCACACCTGCTCTGCATCAGGTCCTCACAGCTCCATCATGAGTCTGTTTCACACACACACACACACACACACACACACACACACACACACACACACACACACACACACACAAGACACTTTTATTGCACTCTGAGCTGTCTGATGATTTCGAGCACCCACTTTTCCTGTTAATTACTGGCCTTCTTCTCGTATAATACCATGCAAATCACGATGTGCATGACAACGGGGGGCGTGAACTCACACCCCCACACACACACACACACACACACACACACACACACACACACACACACACACACACACACACACACACACACACCAAAACATACAGATCGTGTCAGTTCCCCCTCGTACACACTCTCGTCCGCTGCTCTGATTAGAGAGCGAGAGAAACGAGGAATAGTTGCTGCTTGGCCTCAGTAATTGGAAACCTGCCCACTCATTTGCTAACTAATCTTAAGGTTATTGGTATTGATCAGCGCTCTCCGTCAGAGGAGTCATGGGAAATATTCCCGAGGAACCGTTTGTTTCAAATTAAGCAGAAAAAATGAAGGTGAGAGCGACACGGTCGGCCGTTCATCACTGTGTCACTGTCGGCTGTTATCACCTAAACCACCGGTAAATTCCCACAGGTCGTATTTAAAACAAACTTCAGTGTATCGCTGCAACTAATGAGTATTTTCTTCACGAGTAGATCGTCTATAAAGTGTTAGAAAATAGTGAAAATGCCTGTTAAATAAAGCTTGTTGTGTTCGATCAACAGCCCAGAACCCAAAGATACTGAGTTTATCAGTGTTACATCCTCATGTGACGAGCTAGAACATGAACATTTTCAGCATTTTTGGTTGAAAAATTACTAAAAATAACTCACCAGTAACGAAAATATCACTGATAATCTATTAATCGTTCAGTTATATTAATTATTAACAGTTATCTGGAATCTAATAAATGTATTTCATTGGATGGATAAAGAGTTTTTCATAATGTATGTGGTGATGTAACGACAGTGGTCCTCCGGCCGACACATAAGCATGTTTATCCTGACACAGATCTGTTGTAGGAGGACGACGCTTCAGTTTAACACCATCACTTACTGAACAGCATCCAAGTAAAGTCACTCTGGCATCTACTGCACATTTCCCCTGCGGCGTTTCAGCTCCGTCTTCCCCAGAATTCACTGGTGCAGCAGAATTCTGCATTTTATTTATTGTTTATTAATTGACTGTAAAGTTTCTAGTAAAAGGTTGGAAACGTGAAAGAACGGCCTCCTCCAACGAGCCGCTCCAGGCCGCAGCGTCTGAGCTTGTTCCAGAAACATTCAGTCACTCTGTGTTGGCGAGGAGGTCAGTCTGAAACAACACGACAGTCTGCATACACACTGCAGTTTCCTCTGCAGGAAAACATGGCCCCCGATGATAATGACTCTAATCTGCAGAACACAGCTGACTGTATCTGCGAGCGCGGCGTGATGTCATCATCAATACAGCCCGTCCTGAGGTTCAGACTCTCACTGCAAGAACGATCTGCTTGATGCAATCACAGTGACGACTGAGCCAGAGCCTGTCTCAACCCAAACAGCAGTCACACTCATGACTCACACACACACACACACACACTCACGCACGCACACACGCAAACTCTAAAGTTAAAATATGAATTTGACCTTTCAAAGCAAACAGCGAGGGGACAGAGAGAAAAAAAAGAATCATCCAGGGACGATAATGAAATGTTTGCAAGTTTAAAGAACGTGAGAGAGAGGAAGAGAAGGAGGTGTGAATTATTAAAGAGCGGTGATCAGCATGTTCTTCACTCATTTATATCCCACAATGCACTCTCTCTCTCTCTCTCTCTCTCTCGCTCTCTCTCTCTCTTGGATTCAGCGTGTTGTTAAACTGAAACATAAGAGTCAGCCTTCAATTTTCAGACCTCGACAAACAAAGACGATAATAACAACAATAATAATGAAAAGAAAAACTAATTAAATCATTTTCTTTTGAAAATAAATTGGACATGAATAAGTATTCTGCTGCGTCTGACTCTGATCTATTACAGAGGAGCGACACACACGACATGCAGCGTGTGGAAAACGTGACGGACGTCTCTGTTTGTATCGTGTTCGTGTGATGAAGGCTCCAGCCTCCTCATCGTCGCTCCACACAGATCGGATGTTTCAATGACGTTAAAGTCACATGATTCATCGTTAGCGATCACTTCGTCTCTTCCGAGTTTCTTTTGATTCTTATTTTATGTGCAAACTGAAAACGTGAATAAAAATGAATGAATGACACTTAATAAACCGTCCTCAGCCTTTCAAATCCCCGTGGAGCTTTTTTCTTGCAAACAAACAAAAGTTACGATTACAACCAGTATTTAACGTACAAACATGCATCGCATGAACTCATGTGCTGAATGCATTTCCATCCTCACGAAACGTCTGCGAAGCTGATTGTTGAATCGTCTGAATCCTGCTGTTTACATCCATGTTTAGCGTAGCGTGTGCTGCACGCTAGATGAGACTGATACCAAAAAACCCAAACGGTCCCTGGGATGTTTTACTGGAGAAGATCTGAACATTTGCACTGAGATTCTGACATGAACACACGACACTTTGCTGCACAACATGGAGCCCAGAGCTGCAACAGTTAGTCGATTCATTGATTAGTTTATTGACAGAAAATAATCTGCTATTCTGATGGTTTTTTAATTCTTTGTCATTTTTCAACTCTCTCTGGTGTCGGTTTCTCAGTTGTGAAGATTTGCTGCTTTTCTATCTCAATTTACCCGAATAATTTACATAAATAAACTGCTTATCTTTTGGTTTTGGGGGGCTGCTGTTTAAATAACACAAACTGCTTGAATCCATTTCTTTGGGCTGTGTGAAACTCTCACGGGCATTTCCTCTTATTTTCTGACATTTTGTAGACAAAATAATCAAGAAACTTCTCTGCAGATGAATCTATAAATAATCGATAGTCGCAGCCTTAGTGAAGAAAAACGCAGCCTCTGGACAGGAAACATCATGTTCCTTTAAACCAGAGCCTTAATGAGAGCTAATAACGGTCACTGGAAACAGCCCGGCTGACCTTTAGTGGAATTT